GATTTCAGACTAGTAGGTTTGATGGACTGTGGATCTCATTTACTAGCTATATGAGCTGATATCTGACCTCTCTGTGCCTCAGCTTCTCTTTCTGTAAAACGTATCAAAAACAGTTTCTAAAAGTGGCTAGCACATTATGGATGCTCAGTAAAAAGCAAATTCAGCTCCACAGTCTAGTACATTGTTTGCCACTGTTTACCAAAGAAGATTCCACAGAACCTCAAGATGCTTCTCAAATAAGACTGCCAGGCGTGGTAGTACAAGTCTATAATCCTAGCACTAGAAAGAAGGAAGCACGAGGATCATGAGTTCCAGCCCAGCCTGGGCCACACAGAAATGCTATCCCTTCAAAAACAAACAAAAACTATGGCCAATTAGGTTTGAAAAAACACAGCACCTTCTCTTGAATTCACATGAGCATAGTAAAGACTTGGAGAAATCCCCTAATAAATAAACCTATTTCCTTTAACCATGGGATTTTTTTTTTTTTGGCACTAAATGTCTGAGTGAACACTGAAGAGCTTCTTTGGAACCACTAGATGGAGGGATACTCTGACCCTGAAGAGTAAGATGTGAGAACCATGTTTGTGAACTGTAAAGATGAGACTAACAAAACTGTGAAGGTAAAAGGGTAGGTTGGCCCAGCACTATACCTTGTCCTAGCTTCTGCCTCCCATCTCCAAAAAGAAGAAACTCCTCCTTCCACCATGCTGGGGGTCTAACCCAGGACCTTGTGCATGTTGGGGGGGTGGGGGGAGGAGAGACAATGGAACTCAAGGCCTCCTGCTTGCTAGGAAGGCACTCTACCAACTTAAGCCATGTCTCCAGTTTTATACTTTAATATCTTCAGGTAAGGTCTCCTGTTTTTGCCCAAGCAGGCCTCAGACTGAGGTCTTCCTATCTATGCCTCAGAGTACCTGGGATTACAGCTGTGCACTACCACACCTGGCCAAGAGGCAAGATTTTATGCTCCTTTACCCATTAGGGCAATAGGCAGCTGGCTCTGAGTAGAGCAGATAACAGCAAGCTCCACCCTATTTCTATGAACAAGACCTAAAGTTCTTTTTTACTTTTTTAAATGTTTTTATTTTTTTGTTGGTACAGGGGTTTGAACTCATGCCTCACACTTGCTAAATAAGTGCTCTACCACTTGAGCCAAGCCCCCAGCCCTCTTACTTCTTCATGCACCCCAATCCTGCTTACCTAGCACCATTCCCCAAGGTGTACTACTTCACCAGTGCTAACCAACTCACATTGGGCATGCCAGTGAGTCCCTCAACGCTGAGAATGGTCTTCCATTTGTTTCAGCTACCCTCCACCTCATCATTATGTTCACAAAATTAATAACTCTTGAGTACTTATTCAATATGCCTGCCACATTCCTAGGTATTTAATACACTTAAGCTCATTTAATCATTACAGTAACCCTATGAAGTCAGTATTACTATTTTCCCTCTTTCACAGATGAAGAAACTAAATTAGAGAGAAGTTAAATGTTAAATAACATGTCCAAAGTCCCATAAGTAGAAGTGACAGGTAAGAAAGATTCAAACCCAGGTTCCAGGCCTCAAGTTTGTAACTGTGAGAATGTGTAACTCAGATCCATTCAGTTTTAAGGATTCAACCAGTCAAGGTCTGGTTGTCTTTCATTGCTCCAAGAGGAAGAAACTAGTGGATCAACTGTTATAAGTCTTTCAAGCTTAGCCAGGTGTTAGTGGCTCACACCTGTAATCCTAGCTATTCAGGAGGTCAAGATCAGGAGGCTCACAGTTCAAAGCCAGCCCAGGAAAATAATTCGTGAGACCCTATCTTGAAAAACCCATCACAAAAAAGGACTGGTGGAGTGGTTCAAGGTGTAGTCCTTCAGTTCAAACCCCAGTATCACAAAAAAAAAAAAAAAAAAAGTCTTACAAGTTCAACCTGACAGAAATGACGAGCAAACTTAACCAAATTATTCCCTATGGCCTTGGGGCACAGTCAGAGGATCCCAGGCTATAGGAACAAAGGAGGACTGTGGGAGCCAAAGAGCTAAGAAAAGGTTAAGAATATCTGGCGTATTTTATCTAAAAACTAAACCTCTAAAAACTAAACCTAAGCCATTTCACAGAAATTTTACATATCTACTACATACACAAAATATACTACGTAATCTTAAGCGAAAAGCCCACCAGGAAAGGTTTTTGTTTTTGTTTTTGGGAGGGGGGGATGAAGGGGAGTACTGGGTTTGATCAGAGCCTTATGCTTAACACAAGTGTTCTACCACTTGAGCCATACCCCAGCCCCACATAAGGTTTTTAAAAGCCTCTTCATTACTGACTTTATTTTTTGAAGTACTGGGTCTTCTTGAGCCCAGGGCCTTGTGTATGCTAAGCAAGTGCTGTTGTGCTGAACTACATCCCCAACTCCACCACTAACTTTAGATAGCAGATGTGTTTTGTTTGTATGCTTAAGTCACTTTTCTTCTTGCCATTCTTTCCTTTTGGTCTTTAAATAGAACCTGAGACTTCAGAGCACAGACAAGTGTTATAGAGTCTGCTGTGTGCAATGCTAGGATCCCATAGTGGTATAGAGTAAAATGTTCAGTTCTCAAATCAGAATGCCTAGGTTCAAATTCTGTTGTCACAGAACTGGGGGTGTGGCTCAAGTAGCAGAGTATGTGAGGCTATGAGTTTAAGTCCAGTATTGTCCAAAAAAGAAAAAAGAAAAAAAATTACATACTAGCTGTGTGACATTAGGCAAATTACTGAATCTAGATCCTACACCATAAAATGCAAATATTTTAATAAATGGAAATCACAGTACTTCACTTACTAGATTATTATGAACAGTCAATGAGATAAGGCACTTAGAGTACTCAGCAAAGTACCTGACAGAGAATAACCAGTCAATAAATGTTAGCTATTAATATTGTGCATGCCTCTCTAAAATTCAAGCAATTCCTCTGTGTGGCTTCAAAAAAAAAAGTTTGAGGAAAAGAACAGATTAAGCAATCATGATAAAGACAGCAAATCATCAATTGCCCTACAAAGAAAATGGGGCACATGGCAAAAAAGAATTACCACAATGCCCATCAACTTTTCACACCCCATCCACAAACTTTGGCAATCTTCACCTGCTCTCCTAGAGCAAGGATCCGAATTCTTATCTGTTTTGAAAAGGTGGAGCTCAATATCAAGGTAAGTATTGCGAATAAAATCACAATGCCAAGATATGAAGAAATAACAAGCTAACAAACCTGCCAGCTAGCTGGGTGCCAGTGGCTCAAGCCTGTAATCATAGCTCTACAGGAGGCAGAGATCAGGAGGATTACAGTTCAAAGCCAGTTCTAGGCAAAATAGTTCTTGAGATCCTAGCTGGAAAATGCTCATCACAAAAATAAGGGCTGGTGGAGTGGCTCAAGGTATAGGCCCTGGTCAAGCCCCAGCACCACAAAACAAAACAAAACAAAAAAACCTGATTTTGTTATCAACAACATGTATGCTCAAACAAAAAGTTGAAATTTCAGTGATAGCTTGCCATCCTGTTTCTGTATTTAATCCAAAACCCTAGATATACTGCAGTTTCATCAAAGCTGAATTTATCCTGTTTAGTGCAAAATATATGTTGCATCAATACTCCTACCTCCTAAACTGACCAGCCTAAGAAAGATCTAGGACAATTTATTAAAGACTTCATACTCATTTTCTAAAAACTGGAATATGTTAACAAGAAAAAGACTGCAAATCCCAACTCCCCATTTCTGACCAGAGTAAGTAAAGCTAAATTAGGACTATCCTAAAAGGGCAAGTCTAAGAAGGCTGGCCCAGGAGCCTCCTACTTCGTATAAGACAGGCCTGGATCTGATCTCAGCCAGTCAGGAAGAAACTAGTTCTATGTGGGAACAGTGAGAGGGCACTAGGATTCTTGGTGCTTTTACACAGATACACAGACAATAGTAACCTCTGGAGTAATTCTGCATCTCATAAACCTCAAGTACTAAATGAATTTATTTCCTTCACATTCCCAAAACAAGTCCAATAACATGGGTAAGACAGGCCTATCTCAATGATCCTGACAAAGAAGACCCAATGGGATGATTTAAGTTCTTGGAGAGTCTGCTCAGCAGGATCTGTTCCCAATATCCAGGAAGACTCTGGCTACAGCCCCAACTTCCTGAGCAAAGAGGGCCAGAAGTACAAGACCAACAATGTTTAAGCCCAAGGAAAATGAAGCTCCATTCACTTTCAGGAAAGAGACTGTTTCCACTGCCTTAGGTCTGGCTTATTTTCTGGAAAACCAAAACCAAATCTTTCCTCCACTAACCAGTTTGAAAACTAAAATCTCAAATGCAGTGGACAGTTTTCTGGACACTAAGATCTCCTGGACACAGTCAGCCAGGCATCAGCTTACATCACCAAGGCACTTGGTTCACCACCTTCGTCCTCCACAGGGGAAAGAGGACGGTAAAAGCCTTTTGGAAAAATGCCCAAGAAAGGAAAAAGCTGACCGGTTTCCTGAGGGTGTCTCCATCCCTCCCGGCCAGTATGTGGTGACTTCCTACCAAAGGCCACCAGGGGAGTAATGGCCAAACCCGGCTCTCCAACACTACAGGAAACGTTTCAAGCCTAAAAGCCACTTGTAGGATTATCGGATTCATTCTGGGCACCGCTGCCAAGTGATGCCCCCGCAAGTGCAGACATCCTCCTCGGCTCTTTGTCCCCACGTTGCCTAGCTCTGCCCTGCCCTTGTGCCTGACCGGGCGCTAGCCCCACCCTGGGACCGAAGCAGTTCCCCTTCCCCTGGGCTGTCCTCCCAAGGCACACCCAGGCGCCCCGGTCAGCATTCCCTCCTCCCCCACACGCTCCTGCTCGTCGGTGGGAACGAGCCTGGGCAGCAAGAGGGCCACTCGAGCCCTCTGCCCACGCCCCTCGTGGGGATCAGCTCGCCAGGAACAGCCAGCCAGGCTGGGAGATCCGCGGCCCTCACCCCCGCCCGGGGCCTCCCGTCCGTCTGTCCCTCACCGGGCGGAGGCTGAGCGGGCGACGGGGGCACCGGAGGGCGCGGGCCGCTGCTGTTGATGATGTAGTGGGAGACGCGCGAGTTCTCGGAGACGCTGAGCACATAGTCCCCGGGGCTGGTGCTCGAGTCCCGCACCAGGAACACCCCATGCCGCTGGCCCTGCAACAGAGCCACCGCCTCCTGCCGGCTCAACCGCCCCCAGTACCAGCTACTCCGCTCCTCCGAGTCGAAATTGCCCGCCATAGCCGCCTCCGCGCCTACACGCTGGGCCGCCGCCGCCACGCGCACCCCTCCAGCCTCGGCGCCCGCCGCCCAGCGGACCGGCTCCGGTCTCAGCCTCACAGCAGTGCCCGAAATGGCGGCAGCTGCCGCGGGCCTTCCTCACCGGAAATGACGCGCTCTCTACCCGAGGGAGGCTGTCGGGAAGGGGACCGCCGCCCGCCATTGGGAGAAGGGCAAAGGAGACTTGGAGCGCGTACTGCGCATGCGGCTTTACGGGTGTCACCACCCGCCGGAACCTAGACTGCAGAGGATGGGGAGGCGGAGTCTAGGGCCTAGGGGCGGAGCCTCAGCCTGCAGTCTGTAGAGATTTGCTTGCTGGGTAGATTGTTCTTTCTGCCAGGCCCTGGATCTACAGGAAATGACTCGCACAGAAGAATTGGAGTAGAAAAGATGGGATGGGAACCAGGCACCAGTGACTCACGCCTGTATTCCTAGCTACTTGGGAGGCAGAAATCAGGAGGATCATGTTTCGAGGCTAACCTAGGCAAATAGTTCCCAAGACCCTATGTCCAAAATACCCAACACAAAAATAGAGACTAGTAGAGCGGTAGAGCGCCTACCTTATAAGCGTGAGGCCCTGAGTTCAAACACCTGTAGTATACACACAAAAATAATAATAAATAAAAAAGATGGTATGGGCCCAGGATCTGAGTTCTCAGCAAGGCTCCATGACTGACAAACTGGTGTTTTGTTTGCTGGGTCCTCCAGCTGCCCCCAAAGCCAACTAAAGTTCTTGTTTTCATTGATTGATTCAGCAAATAGCTATTGACATTGCACTGGCTTTGTGAGTACAGTGGTGATCAAGGCTGAGACCTGCAGTCACTGAATTCGCAGACCAGTAAGGAAGAATCAGGAAACAATTAATGACAAAGGAATGACAAGAGTTAAGATGGAAATGACAAGGATACTTAATCTAGGCTGCAGAAGAAACCAAAAGGGCCTCCCAAAAGAGATGGCTCAGTGGACTGTTGAATGGGAACTGGGAAGGGTAAAGGCAAAGGGGACAAAGTGTGTCAGAGTTCTCTCTGTTGAGGCTCTCATCACCAGCCCAGATTCTTCTAAAACCTAACTTGTGCATAGAATCGCCATCCTGCCTCTGCCTTGAGAGTACTGGGATTACATATGTGCACCACCACATCAGACCATGATTGTCTCTTGATTATAATCCAGTGCACAGCCTGTCCACTGTTGCTCTGTAGTCCAGCTGCACCTAATTGCACTGCATACAGCTGTCAGTGTGAATTTTCTAAAATACAAATCTGTTGTTAGTATGCGTAAAACTTTTAACAGCCTCTAGGAGTTAAAGCTCCCAGTTTTAGCTAATAGCATAAAAGCAAGCCATAGTCTCATAACCGTTCCTACATGAAGCCTGTGTTTCCTCTTCCTGGAATGTTTTTCCACCCTCTCTGGATCTCACATATCTAAATGTCTTTCTTTTCCTTGATCACTCCTTCTCTGCTTCTATAGCAGTATGTCCACGTTATTTCTGTTACAACTCTTACCCTTTATACTGGAAGTTTTCATTTACGGGCTTGTCTGTGTTCCAAGCTAGAGTTCCTCAAAGTCCAGTTATCTAGCTGGGCAAGATGGTACACACTATATTCCCAGCTACTGAAGAGACTGAGGCAGGAGTTGGAGGCCAGCCAGGACAATGTAGTAAAATCCCATGTCTTTGAAAAAAAAAAACAAAAAAAAAAAACCAAGCTAGTCCAGAAGGTGCTTCATAAATGTTTTATAATAACAGCTACTAAGCTACTGTTTATTCAAGGATTACTAGCTACCTGCCAGGCATGGTACTGGCTGCCTTTCTATGGACTATCTCATTTAACACTCTCCTCAACTCTACATACCAGCATCTTACAAATCTCCTCATTTTACAGATGAGGAAACTGAAGCTTACAGAGTTTAAGTCCACCAGCTGCTGAATGAGGAACTGGGATTCAAATCCTGAAAGGAGAGCATTCTGTTTACTCTGCTATATCCTCCAATTTCTAGTATAAGAATTGTGGGTTAGGAGAGTGGTTGAAATCTGTAGTTCTTTTTGGATGGGACTAAGATTTGAACACAGAGCCTCATGCTTGCTAGGCAGGTGTTCCTACCCACTGACTTGAGCCACTGTGCCAGCACTTTCTATGTTAGGCATTTTTGCAAACTATTTGCCTGATTGCCTTTGATGTGAGATCCTTCTAATCTCATTTCCTGGTAGCTAGGATTTACAGGTGTGCCCACTCCATAACAGTCAACCCTACCTAATGACTAACACAGTTCCTCTGGACCCACTTCACCTACCTCTGGGCCGTCTCTAGGAAGGGGAGCTATAGATGACTTATCTTGACCCTAGTTTAGTCACAGCATGTCACCAGAGCCAGCAGCAGAAGCCATCCCAGTGTGAATTCTTTGGGAAAGAGGACTGCCAGGACAGCCAGGGTTCAAAGCAGGACCTTACCCAGAGACTGCATGTGAGCTTCCAAAGCTCCCTCCCTAAGACACATGGAAAACATAGAAAAAAGTGTTTTGAAAGAAGAATAAGGGCTGGGGGAGTGGCTCAAGTGGTACAGCACCTGCCTAGCAAACTTGAGGTCCAGAGTTCAAATTCAGAGACTGCCAAAAATCAAAGAATAAAAAAGAAAAAAGAAATCAGCACTGAGCTGAGAAATAAGTAAGGAGATGATAGAGGGAACCCAGCCACTCAGTCGTGTCCTCCCTTGGAGCACAAAGAATCTACAAATTCCAAGCACACATGGCGGATCAGCAGTAGCCTTGGGTTAAGAAGTTAGCAACTACACCTTTCCCTTCCTGCTTTCTTTTCTCCTCCCCTTCCCCTCATACCTAAGGATCTGTAGTTATCATGGTGGCTTTTGCCCCCTGGTAAGCCTGAGACCTGCCCTGCAAAGAAAGTGGCCACCTTTTTTTAGGAAAGGCTTTTGGTGGGTTTTGGGACAGTAACATGGGGAGAAGGGAGGAACCTGAAGGAGCAGCAGCTGTGAAATGAGAAAAGAAATGGAAGACCGCCCTGTTCAATAGCAAAGCACAGGCTGGGCACCGTGACTCATGTCTGTAATCCTAGATACTCAGGAGGATTGCAGTTCGAAGCCAGCCCAGGTATATAGTTCTCAAGACCCTCTCTCAAAAAAACCCATCACAAAAAAAGGACTGGTGAAGTGGCTCAAGGTGTAGGCCCTGAGTTTGTACTGCGGGGAGAAAAAAAAAAAAAAAAAGCAAAGTACACCAAAGTCCTCCACTCTGGACAAGTAGCTTGCCTGCCTATTTTGTGTCCCCTAAAGTCAGCAGGGCTGCATCATACAGGTATGTATGACACAACTTCAGGGTACTGTGATAGAATGCTCTGGAAGTAGGCTACCCCTTTTCTTAAAACAAACACCAGTAGGGCTGGGGGTATTGCTCAAGTGGTAGAGCACTTGCCTAGCATTCATGAAGCCTTGAGTTTGATCTCTATCAGTGCAAAAAATAAAAATAAAATAAGAAATAAAGGAAGAATTGACAATATCACCTTCTACAGTGTGCATGGGAGAAAGAGAGAAGGTGGGTATGTGTAGGCACAATATATATTAGTGGGAAAATACACTTTTGTCCTGTTCTCATGCACAAATGGGAAAAGAGAGAAAGGAGACAGAGAGGGCTGGGGATATAGCTCAAAGGCATAGCGTATGTTTAGCATGTCAGAGGCCCTGGGTTTGATCCCCAGCGCCAAAATGGAAAAGCAAGGAAAAAGGAAAATCCCCAGGTATCTGTTGACATTTCTGGACTATGAAAAAGTGCTGCCTCACCCCACATGGGTAGCCCTCAATTTTACAATGACAAGGACCTCTCTTGTTATTTTATTTTTTCGGTGCTGGGGATCGAACCCAAGGTCTCTCACATGCTAGGAAGGTGTAACACAACTGAATTATATCCCCAGCCTTGCTACACATACACCTTTTTTTAGACAGGGTCTAACTATGTAGCCAGACTGCCCTCCACTGAGATTATAGGCATGAACCATCATACCTGCTCCTCTTCACTTTTTTTTTTTTGTGTGTGTGTGGGTGTGTATACAGTACTGGGGTTTGAACTCAGTGCCTCATGCTTATTAGGCAGGCACTCTACCACTTGAGCCATTTTGCCAGCCCTGTTTTGTGTTGAGTATTTTCAAAATAGGGTCTCTCAAACTATTTGCCCAGGCTGACTTCAAACCAAGATCCTCCTGATCTCTATCTCCTGAATAGCTAGAATTACAGACATGCATCACCAGTGCCTAGCACAGTACTGAGTTTTGAACTCAGAGCCCAGTGATTGCTATGCAAGCACTCTAGTACTTGAGTAACCCTCTCAGCCCATTTTCCATGTTAGCTATTTTTCATCCAGTGTCTTGAGTTTTTGACCAGGGTTGGCCTCAGACCAAGATCCTCCTGCCTACAGCCTCCAGTGTAACTGGGATGATAGATGACAGATGCACACCAGTACACTAGGCTTATTGATCAAATGGGGTCTCATGTGGCAGAGTGGCTCAAGTAGTAGAGTGCCTGCCTAGCAAGTGCGATGCCCTGAGTTCAAAGCCCAGTACCACCAAAGAAAAAAGTTGAGATGGAGTCTCACTAACTGCTCCCCCTCTCTCCCTCCCCTGTGGCCTCAAACCATGGTCCTCCTAATCTCCCATTCTCAAGTAGCTACAATCACAGGCATAAGGCACCACTAACAGCCTCCTTTCACCTTTTTTTTTTTTATCTTTTTTAAGAGATGGGGTCTCTTGAAAGTTGTTCAGTTTGGCTCTAAACTCTCGAGCTCCAATGATCCTCCTGCCTAAGCTTCTTGAGTGCTGGGATTAAAGGTGCACCCAGCTAAGGACCACTTGAGGCACACACTAGGGGAAAGCTCTGGGGAGCACATAAGAGAATGCCAAGGAGGGTTTGCAGGGCAGACAGGCTAACACTCAGACAGGAGGCTGGACTTTCCCAGAAAGGTTAGTGACATGTTCCCAGTAGTGACATGGCTGTAGGACTGTTGAGATGGGTCATTTGCCTTGCTGCAGCATAACCATCCCATTGTCTCCCTTTTGGGGAAATTACACAAATGTCTTTTGGGGCATGGAATCAAGAAGGTGGTGTCAATTTCCTTGTCCCTGTCCTCTTGAAGCTGAGAAACTGGAAGACATGTGAAGGAAGTGAGAGGCAATTGTGTCTGTCTTCCCCCTGCTCACCCTTCCTAACTCCACTGAACTTAGTTTCTCTCTAATAAGCCTCAGTCCTCAAGGACTTTGTGCCTGCTGTGCCCTCTGCTTGGACCACTCTTGATCCAGATATCCAGCTGACACTTCCTCTCCTCATTCCTCCTTCAGGCCTCTGTCGTAATGTTGCATCTTCAGTGAGGCCTTCCCTATCCAGCCCATTGAAATCACCAACCACACACTCAACACTCCCTCCCTATTTCTTTGCTCTTTATTGATTGATTCCCCTAGCAATAATCTCCTTCTAACATATTACATATTTATGTGTTGTCTCTCTACACTTGTAGAGTGTAAGCCCCATGACAGCAAGGATTTGGGTCTTTTTTTGTTGTTCCTGCTCTATCCCCAGTGCCTAGCCTAGTTTGGCATATACTGGGTTTGCAGTAAATTTTAGTTGAATGGAAAAATGAAGAGTGTGGTGGAAGCTTTTGTCCAGAACTGGAATAAGCTTCCTACAATTGGCAGATAATCCCCTGGAGGGCACTGGACTCAGGTTGTGAGCTGGGGAATGCAAACCATTCTTTGTTGGTTCTCAAGAAGATAGTCAAGCCAGATGCCAGTGGCTCACACCTGTAATCCTAACTACTCAGGAGACAGATATCAGAAGGATCACAGTTTGAAGCCAACCCAGGCAAATAGTCTGAAAATCCCTATCTCAAAAAAATCTATCACAAAAAAAGGGCTGGCAGAGTGGCTCAAGGTATAGGCCCCGAGTTCAAACTCCAGTACCACAAAAAAAAAAAAAAAAAAAAGAAGAAGCTAGTCAAGCCAGGTTTGGTGGTGTATGCCTGTAATCCTAGCACTAGGGAGGCTGAGGCAGGAGGAACACAAGTTTGAGGCCAGCCTGGGCTCTGTCTCTAAAAAAGAAAAAGAAATAGAGTGCTGGTGGCTCACACCTGTAATCTATGTACTTGGGAGGCTGAGATTGGGAGAATTGTGGTTCAAGGCCAGCCGGGGCAAGTAGTCTGCAAGACCCCATCTCTAAAGTAACCAGAGCAAAATGGACTGGAGGTGTGGCTCAAACAGTAGAACACCTGCTTTGCAATCACAAAGCCCCAAGTTCAAATAAACACACACACACACACACACACACACACACACACACACACACACACACGTCACCTTGGTTGACCTCTAGGTTGTCAGTGACATATTTGTTCCAATCTGCTAGAGAAAGGAGTGTTGTTAGTTGTAAAACTGTAATTGCACCTAATTCAATGCTTATCTTACCAGTTTCTTGAAGCCACTGTTTTGACTGATAATATATTGTGCTTCCATTTTTCCTTAAATTAATTTTGGTTTTGGAGGCAAGTTCTCTCTAATAGCCCTGGCTGGCCTCAAACTGGAGATTCTCCTGCATCATCCTCCCGAATGCTGAAATTGCAGGCATTTGCCGATACACCCAGCTTCTGTAAATTAATTTCTGGAGAGGTAGCAAATCTACATTTGGGCTCACAGGGTGGCATCAAGCCCCCAATAGTCATACATTGTATAGTACGGCATTAAGAATTTCTGCCCTAGTGAGGAATCTGAATTCTCCAGGTATAGCCTGATCCCACCCTAGCTCTTCCCCCCTTGGGAAGCCTCTCAGTGGTCTGCTGACAGCTCTGTGACTGTGACTGCGACTGCAGCTTGTAGCACTCCCTTCCTTCTGGAGGCAATGCTCTGATTTTCTTTGGGGGAAGTCATCTGCCTCCCACTCTGGGTCCTTGTAGTTGGTGTGCAATCACTTCTGGCTGCAGAGCCAGACTAGTAACCCAGGACTAGTAAATTAATATGCTCTTTTCCTAACAACGACTAGATCAAGGCAGAGCACATCATTCAAGTTGGTCCATTGAGAATGGGTTCTGAGACTTTCAAATTATTGGGGAAAAGAGGCACTTTCTCTTTTTGCCTCTGATGCTAAGCTCATAGAATAAAAGCTGCTGGCTGTTGTTGCTGCCACCTCACCAGGAGGGGAGAACTTGAAAGCCATCTTGGAGGATTCTGAGCCTAGAGCTGGACCCAAACATGTTCCTGACCATGTCATTTGAGCACCCAGAAGTGGGTCTCTTCAGGAATGTAAAATTGCCACCAAGCCAGTTTAGATTTGGCTTGTTACCTGCAACAGAACTGGAACTAGAAGACAATCCTTTGAAATCCACCTCAAATGCCACGTTCTCTATCTATCGCCCCACCTGAGCTGATCTCTTATCAATGTGTTCTTAGTACCTGCACTGCCCACGCTGGGCTGCATTCCAGCAGAAACGAAGGCCGTGTGGGCAAGCACGGTGCATGATGCTTATCTGCCTCCAACCCAGAGCACTGGGTCATGCTGAGCAGCCTTGGGTGAACAGTCAATGGAAGAGGACACCCAGAGTGCAGTCACTGGTCACTCTCACTCTTGCCCTGAGGGAGGGAGCCTGTCCCTTTCTGGGAACAAGACAAAATCTGCAGTATAAGGCCCCTGGTTGCCTTTTAGTGCCCTCTTCCTTTCCAAATATTCACAAGGAGACCATGTTGGCAAACACATATTGCTTTATTTAGTGTTTCTCTGGATTGCAGAAGTGCTAGCGGTGGGCTGAGACCACCAAAGGGCACAGGGGCAGCTGGGTGGCCCCCAGGCTCTCTGGGGTAGAGGGGAAGCAGCAGAAAGAGGTGATGCCCCTGCAGCTCCTCCAAGGCCAGCCCATTCCCCACATTCCCAGGCCACAGAGGGGCCAGGAACTAGTCAAAGCCCTATATACCCTTGAACTAGGTTCAAAGTGTGTGTAAGGAGGTGGTTGTCCTAAGGCATGGACTTAGGCAGAAGAGGTCCTCCTACCTGCTGGCCCCCAAGGGGGATTGCTGGTCAGGGAGCCAGGTGCACACTTAAGACATAACCTATGTTTTATGGGGCTCCTTGACCATGGGAGAGGCAGTGAGGTGTGCTAAGGTCAGGGCTTCATGCCCAACTTTGTCCCAACCTGCTGTATGACCCTGGGCAAGACCCTTTCCCTTTCCTGGGCCTCCGTCTTCAGCTCTGTAACCCCAGAGGGCTGGACTAGACAATTTCTCTGAGTTTTCTAAATTCTATGTCTAAGACTTCTTTTCCCACTCTGGGATGCCCTCAGACTGGGACAATAATATTAAAAGGACATTTTTTTTTTTTCTTTTGATGCTGGGGATTGAAACCAGGGGCTCACACATGCTAAGCACAGTTTTTACCACTGGGCTATACCCCCAGTCCATAAAAGGACATTCTTAAGGCAGGAAGGTAGGGATGGGCAGGAGTGGTCTCAGCCCCCAGGTGGAGGTCAGAGTGGGCTGCAAAAGGTGCAAGTGGGCAGGACAGACAAGGTGTCAAGGGAAAAAGGAGAGGCGGCCTGGCCAGGGAAGATGGCCCCACCGCCCAGCCCACCCAACGTCTTGGCTACATTCCTTGTCCTGTTTGTGTCAAGGAAAACACATCCAGTGTGTCTTGGGTAGGAAAATGGCTTTTTTTAAAAAATAGTTTCCTATAAAGCATCAAAAAATCTCAGAGAAAACCTCAGCAAAAATTCCCTTCCCTCATATATTTGGCATCAGCAGTGGGGCTGGTGTGACTTGCTCTGGCCCCGCTTTCCTATTGCTGTGGCTCAGCCTGGCCCACTCCTGGGGTAGCTCCCTGGCCCCTGCAGTCCACTCAAGAGAGGAGTAAGCAGGAGGCAAGAGTTTGCAGGTGGGCTTTGAGGTGTCCCTGGGTTCCTGTTTAGAAGCTCGAGTCTTTGGTAACTGGGAGAGGTGGAGGGGATAAGCAAAGCATTGGGAGTCAGGAGGGGGCCAGTGGGTGCCTTTATCACCGAGAATTCAGCCGTGGGGCCACCTGTGGGGCAGGGGGAGAAACCCAAGTGGTGACTGGGAAGCAGGCAGCAGGTGCTCTGGGTATCTGTAGGTCTGGATTAAAGGAAGGCAGTAGTGGGGGGGTTGAGGGGGATGTGGGGGTGCTAGTCTGTTCCTAGAGGCATTGGTCTTGGAGACTTTGGTCCTACTCTCATAGGATTAACTGCTGCCCTGGTCAGAGTGAGCTTTTCCTCCCATCTAGCATCCTGCCTATCCCTCCAGATTTTCCCCACATCCCCATGCTGCCATCTTTATGACCCTCTGCATCATGGGAACTCAATCAGCCCTTCTCTGGCCCCTGTGAGTGGGCAACTGGATGAAGAGGGTAGTATGGTGCCTTTTGGATTAAGGATGTGAATGAGGTGCCCAGGCTCTGCCAAGTACTATCCAGGAAGGCTTGGCAATTGGAGGCTCTACCATAGCTCTTGGACTCTCCCCAGGGAAGCAGGCCCCACTTACCACAGCCAGGTGCCCATTCTTGGCTTTGGTTATAAGCAGCTCTGAGCCAGGTGTAAAGTCGATGATGCCATCCCTGCCAGGACCCCCTGCAAATGTAATGCTGGAGGGAAGGAAGCACATGAGGACTTTTTCACAGAGACAGACCCCCTACGGTGGGGCCCTGCCCTGTGCCCAGGTACAGATAGCCCACTCACCACCTGTCTCACCTGCCCTGGTTGATGTTGATATTGTTCACTCGATCGGCGCTGAGGGCAGTCTTGGTCAGTGTCTCAATCACGTGGTCACTCTGCAGCACCACATCTCCCTGGGGGGCCAGGTGGAAGGAGAGGTCAAGCCCAGCTCAGAGCCAGAGGACTCCCTCCACCTCCTCAGCCTTAAAGGGGCACCTTCTGCTTATTGTCCTCACGCTGCACATGAAGCACAAACAGGCTGTCACTCAGGCTGCTGACAGAGATTCCTGAGGGAGAAGGGCAGAGGTCAGGGATCAAGGGTCACAGCAGGGGTCCTCTCTAGAAGTCCGGACTCTGGCTGACCTGTCAGGTTGGCGTAATCAATCCTCTGCTTGACTTTAGCGTCCTCCACAATGACCACGGCATTCGGTGTAAGCAGTAGCTGCCGGGAACGAGGCTTATAGCCTTTGCGGTCATATTTCACCACTGGCACGGCATACTGGAGACACAGGGCAGAGTGTGGGGCAGGCTGAGGGTTTCCAGGAGTCATCTCCTTATTGTCTGCCTGTGCCCTGATCCACCCTTGGGCAGGACTGAGCTGGACTAGGGGCTGTAGCTGGGGTCTTACCTGGATGGGCTCAGAGCCTAGTGCCTGCAGCACTTTGGGGCTGATCTCGTCTGTGCCTGCAATCCAGATTAGGGAAAAGAAGTCAGACAAGGTTAAGAGGGGAACAGGATGTAGACGGAATGTTTGAGAGCTGGAAAATCAGGGACTCACCAAGCCGCGTGCTGATGAAAAGTCTGGGGACGCTCTGGGGGTAATTATCCTTCTTGCCCTTAAAGATCTCACTAGCCACAGCCTTTTGCTGCAGCTGAGGAGACAAGGGAAGTGTGTGTCTGTGGGTGCCATAAGGGATTGGGACCATGAAAGGAGACAGGCCCAGTCCCTCCCTCTTCTGCTTTTTGGTCCCAACACCAGGAGGCTGAGCCCTGCCACCAATCATCCTATCGGCCTTTCCCTTCCCTTACCCTTTGCCCTGATCAACCAAGGCTGAAAGCTCCTCAGAAGGGTCATGACAGCACTGTCATGTTCCAGCCCTGTCTTTGGGAATGATTCCCTATCAGAACCTGAAGCCCCCAAGATTCAATTCTGGCTTGGGATCTTATAGGTAGCTGATTGCTAATATTCAAAGATACTAAGATTATCTGAGCTGGGTGGGTTCTTCATCATCATCATCATCCAATACTCTGTTGGCAAATTCTGCTGGCAAATTATAAGGCACATCATCTACCACCAATGTCTGTCTCTGTAACCACATTACCAATTGACCAGAGTAAAGCTGCAGCCTTCTTAACATGGATCTCTGTGTAGTCTCTAACAAACAAATGGAGTTTGCCCACAGACCAACCTTATTTGCCATCCAAAATCTACTCTTGCCTCTACTTCCTACATGAGGCCCAATAAGGACCTGGGATCCATTTGAGATTGCAGGGTAGATTGGGATAAAATGATTCCCCATCCCAGTACTCTTCGTTGTGATGCCTGCTGCTCCCAGACCCCACTGCCTAGTCCTTGCTGCCTCCTGCTCCCCACACCTGCTGCTTCCACTCAGGGCTGATGCTCCGGCAGTACTTCCACACCATGTTCTTCATGCACAACTCCCGTAGAAGCTCTGAGGCCTGTAGGGAAGAGTGAGTTCAAAGGACCTACCCAGCCTGGCCTCCTTCCCTCTGAAGACATGCAATGTATGCCTACCACTGGCCTTTGTATACGTATTACCCCTTCAGTCTGGTCCTGATGGTTTCTCTCCAGAGAATTCATTTTTAAAATTAAAGAAAATTTTAAATCCCTGTTTCTCCAGGGAACTAATTTTTCATGGCCCAACTCTACTTCTCCCTAATGAGTCCTCCCTCACTGTTCCCTGGCCACATGATAATCAGGCCCCTGTAAAGAGCGCTTTGATGGACCCTAACTCAGCAGGGAAGACCCACAGACCTCTCGCAGGGCAGGTGGGGGCGTGGGCCAGGAGGTGTCCAGGACATTCTGGGGCAGCTGCCGCCGCAGATTAAGCAAAAATGAGGTGCGCACATGATCCAGGAAGAAGGCATTCTCAGGGCAACGGGGTGCATGGCGCAGAATGAAGCCATGGATGAGCCTATGGAAAGCATGCCAGAGAGGGCTGGGGTAAGAAGCCTGGCAATGGACCCCCATACACACCTTCCTCGGCAGCCCCCTCACGGTATCCCAACACTCACCGTCGGATGGTCTGTGCTGCCTGCTTCCTCTTGGCTGCCTTCCTCCGACCCAGTGTTCCACGCCACCATGACTGAATACAAATGGCTGTGAAGACCACAGGTAGCTGAATTCTATCTCCTCACCACAGTGGCCCGATATAACCCCATACCCCATCCCTCCAAAAACCCCTGGGCCCCCAAACCTGATCGCTTCACCCGAAGAAATTTCTGCCGCCAGTGAAAGCCTCTCCAGGCAGCCTGGATCTTTGTGGCTGTGGTTGGGAAACAAAGTCAATTGGCTAAAGCTCAGGGCCACCAGCTGGGGGCCTGGAGAGGTCAGTGACATGAATAAGGAAGTGGCTGAACAAGCTATTGTGAGAGGACGCATGAGTTGTGTAAATGAAGGAGCAGATGAATGTGGGAACAGGCTCCAGTCAGTAGCCAGAGGCCAGTCCAGTTGGCAGGCAGGTGCTGCACTAAAGTTGGGAAGGCCCAGCTGAATGTGGGTGGGAGGACTTCCTGGAAAAGGACCCCAAATGCAGTGACTTCTTCCCTGTTCCTGAGAAAGGACCCCCTAGGATAGGAAGAGTGGGCCTCTCTCTCACCCAGGCTCTGCCGCCGGACCTCCAAGGCATCCTCTGTGGCAAACAGGGTCTTGGGGAAGCGGATGAAGATCTTGGTCCTGGGAGGGTGGCAGTGATCAGCCTCTGGTTGCCATGCTCTATGTCCCCCAGATATCAGGCATAGGTACCACTCACCTGCCCATCTTGTACTCTTCAGGCTTGTAGCCAAGGTGTCTGACCAGCACAGCCACCCCATCCTGGGGCCGTCCTGCCCATGTGGGCCACGTCTCTGGGCACAGTGACTTGTACCTGGGGATAGGAGAAGCAAGAATGTACCTGGCTACACCATAGCAAATGCTCTCCCTCTGGGAGACCCCATCAACTTTCCCTGGGCACCTGCTTGGTACTCCCACCGATTTGTTCACAGCTCACAGAGGCCTGGGAGTCCCTGTTCTAAAGATAAGGAAACTGAGGTATTCTCATCTGCCTAAAGCCAAGGGATACATCGAGGGATAGACAGAATTCAAACCCTGATTCATTTCCTAGGCCTGTCACTCTGAATAACTACAAAACTGCTCCAGCCTCTCTGATCTCCTCAAGAATTGCACCTCCTCCCCCAACCTTGTGCTATCTCTGGTAGATGTGCTCCTCATAGACCCAGGGGCTCCAGGAGATCAGGGCTTGGGGGGTGCCTGGTGTACTCTTCCAAGATTGACATTAGGCCTGCAGCATGAAGGGGTCCCCGGCTAGGTCCCACACAGCTCAAGTCTCTAAAATGAGGTGGTGAATACCCATCTTCCCTCATGGGACTCCGGAGTTTCCCAATGTCCTGTCCCTTCCCTGGGTGATCTGGCCCCACCCCACCTCTGCAGGAAAGCCTCGTATTTTCGACGATAGGCGAAGCCAGCTCTACGCACACGCAGGTTCTCCATCAGCCCCAGGTACTTCACCTGGTGCCGGATCAACACCTCATCAAAACGGCCTGAAGAAGGGTAACAGGGTGGTTAGGCTCTCACTGACAGGCCACCCGTCACCACTGTAGTGGAGGCCCAGCCCTGCAGTCTCACAAGACAGGAGGGGACCTACCAGGCTGTTTGGCATCATTAGGCTTGATGCAGCGGATGTAGGCGGGCTCCTTAGACTTCAGGATCTCCACTAGCTGCAGAAGGCTCATCTTGAACTGGGTGGCCACCTGGTGAGCCAAGAGGGCAGGAAAGGTTGGTTAGAGCTGGACAAAGGCTTCTGACACCTGAATGTACCCCCCTGCACTGACCCCATCTCTCTGCTTGGTTCTTACTTCCTCCCACCTTTCCCTCACAATAGAGGAAGGGGCCAGACTACCCAACATCCCTCTGACTGAGCAAGATACCTCAGTTTAGGAACAAAGCTCCAGCCAAAAAATCCTGCTCAGCTCTCCTGGCAATCTCATCCTCTCAGGCTACATTCTAAATAGAGGGCCCCAGACCCATGCATTCAACCATTATCTTTGTACACTGCTCTGCAGGACCTTCAAGGATCTCAGGCTTATTGGAGAAGCAGATTCCTTAGCAAAGATTAGCAATCTTTTGTGGTCGTATGCCTGGGGGATCCGCGAGCACCAAGAAGAGACAACTAACTGGTCTGTGGGGGTAAAGGGCATCAGGAAAGATCTGAAAATGACTTTAAAGGGAGATTGAAAGGATAAGGAGGAGATGGCAGTAAGGGAGGAGAGAAAAGCAGTACAGGCTGAGCAAAGATCTAACACAGGGAGCTAAAAGTGTACAAGGATCCAAGTGGGGAGTAAACAGTGGGGTTAGACAGGCAGGCAGAGGCAGTATCATAGAGACACACAGCGAGAAGGGGAGGATTAGATTTTGTTTTTTTGGTTATCTTAGTTTTTTTTAAAGTGTGTATCAATTGTACATAGGGTTTTCATTGTGATATTTCTATACATAAATTTTATCTGGGAGAGACAGCGAGCCAATAAGAACTTGGAATGAGAGAGTGACAAAGAGATCTGCATTTTTTTTTTTTTTTTGTGATACTGGGGCTTGAGCCCAGGGCCTACAACTTGAACCACTCCACCAGCCCTTTTTTGTGATTGTTTTTTTGAGAGGGGGTTTCATGAACTATTTGCCCTGGCTGGGTTTGAATTGTGATCCTCCTGATCTCCACTTCCTGAGTAGCTAGGATTACAGGCATGAGCCACCAGTGCCCGGCTTGCATTTTGGAATTCTCTACAGCAGCTATGTGGAAGGTGGATCAGTAAGGGCAGAGGGGAAATCAGCCAGAAGGCTGGCTAACTTAGGGGAACAGTAACAAGGACTGACGTGCAGTAATATTACAGAGAAGGGGCCGAGGGGAAGGAGTAACATCCAGTGGCTGGATGAGGGAGATTGTGTGTGTGTGTGTGGGGGGGTGTTTGAAGAACCATGGGAGGGTGCTCAGGGAGAGGGCAGGGCAGACAGAAGCAAAGGTGGGGTTGGGGACACACACAATGCCTCTGTGCCCTCCCTGGCAGCATATCTCAGCCTTGCAGCACTCTGGCTTCTACCTCCCTCCTGACCTGGGGCCATGCTGATTCCCTCTTGCTCAGCCCAACAGTCACACCTATGCCCTGCATTTGGCACCACTGGCTACACCTGTGTTTCCTAGCACCTCTATGTCATGATGTCACTCTTTTGCCAACCTCCTGGCCTTTTTTGGCCTATGTATGTGTTGAGCTCTCTTGCTGCCTACATTTCCCTCCCACAGGTCTATCTGACAACAACCACTTACTCATTCTCAACTTATCTCAAATGGGTCCTCTTCCGGGGAGTCTTCTCCACACCCTCAAACAGCTGTCTGCTCCCTTGACTAAGCTTCCATAGAGAGCCCCATCCCCCCATTGTGGTGAGAGCCCCTATTTAACTTTTGTTAAACTTTTGTCTACTCAGTAGGTAGACATACAGAAGCACTCATAGACAGATGTAGGTACTAGGATACTCACACAGACCTAGAGACAGGCACGTACACATGTACACACTTGGACATAAGCAAAGATGCTCCTGTGAGTAGCCTCCTCCAGACACAATGGATGTGCACAGAGGCATCAACAAATGCGCCCACATGCACACTGCCAACTCCCAAGCACTCATCCATGCTCAGGTACACACACAGCCCCTTGGCCTCAGAGCCTCCGAACCGTTTCTGGCCGCTTCTTGTCACTGAGCTCGCTCCGGTCAAAGCACTGGCTCATAATGGGATTCTTCGAGCTGCACATGGTCTGTGAGGCAGAGCAGGGGATCAGAGTGGAGCAAGGGACAGAAGGGACAGAAGGGACAAAAGGGACAGAAGGGGCAGATTCCTGGGTAGAGGTGAATATAAGAGCTGGGGACGTCTACGGCCATACCACCCTGAACGCGCCCGATCTCGTCTGATCTCGGAAGAGCTGGGGACTATCTGCCCCCAACAGTCCCTTTCCCTTCCTCACCTCCTTCAGGTTCCGGAAGAGAAGGTCATTGTTTTTATCCAGAAACCCTGGGAGGGGAGAGCAGATGTGAAGTGAGAGCGAGCCTCCCTCCCCGCCCCACAGGGACTAGCCTCAGGATCCTCACCAGTTACACTGTAGGTCACCTCCCCGGCATAGTGCAGAAGGCGGAACTCCCCACGGCCCAGAGATTTCCTGGTCCGCTGGTCAGCCAGCTTGTGCCTGGAGGTGACAAGGACAGGAAGCTATAGATTGTTGATCTGAGGCATGCCCCTGCTTGTTGAAGAGATCTCAAGAGCCATCTAGTAGTTCGAACCCCAGTACCACCAAAAAAAAGAAAAAGAAAGAAAGAAAAAAAGTAAAGAGCCATCTGATAAGGAGCAGTGAAACTCCTGGGCTATCCCACCAATCCATGTGCCATATGGCAGAAGGGCAAGGCCATCAACCCCCCACTGCACAGAGATCACTGAGGCTCAGGAAGGTTGAGAGCCTTGCCCAGGGTCACACAGCACCAGGACTGAGGAGTGGAACTTTGGCCTCAGACTGCCAGGCCCTCTGGGCAGAGCGCAATTTTCATTACCTCTGGCTGCTGCATGACTCTGCTCAGAGGGTGGTGAGCTGTCCACTGCATTTTCAGAATGGAATTTGCCCCAAGAGATTACTTAAATCTTGAGCATGTTTATACCCTTTAGCCCATTTTCTACTTTTAAAAACTATTCTAAGCAACTAACTAGAAATACACATAAAGATTTAAGGCACAAAGATGTCAGAGGTAGCCTTGTTTTTCCAGCAGAAACCTGGAGGCTAAGGCCGGGACTGGGGTGTAGCTCAGAGATAAAATATTTGCCTAGTATACATGAGGCCCTGGGTTTGATCCCCAGTTCCACAAAAACAAAAACAACCCTGGAGGCTGGCCAGGGGCCCCCTGAGGCTGGGTGAGAGTCATGGGTTAAAGCCGTGAGGAAGAACTTTGAGGAAATTTTTCTATTTGATGATGCAGGAAAATACTCAGGATATAGCATTTCCCTGAGCCTTATACACAATAAAGTACTCAACTATGGAAAAAAAATGTATAGAAAAAGGCAGGAAGGAAATGCCTGGAATTGTTAACAATTATGACCTCTGGGTGACAGGGTCACAGAGGCTTTTGCACACATTCCAACTTTTCTCTAATGAGCAATGTTATTATTTTTAAAATCAGAAACAAGCTTTTAATATAATATTAAGCAAACAATGCTCAGTGCTTTGGCATTCGACAGCCCTGGGCCTGAGTCCCAGCTCTACAATCTAGATAACCTTGGGCAAATGGCTTCACTTCTCCTAGTATCAGTAAAATGGAGAAAACACCAGACACCTCTTTAAAGGGTCCCTGTGGTTAGAGGACAATGTGTACAAAGTATGCAGGACTCAGCCAGGTGCCGGTAGCTCACATTTGTAATCCTAACTACTTAGGAGGTTGAGATCGAAAGGATCATACACAATTCGAGGCCAGCCCAGGCAAACAGTTCGAAGACCACATCTCCAAAATATAACCAAAGCAAAATGACTGGAGGTGTGGCTCAAGCAGTAGAGTGCCTGCTTTACAAACATGAAGCCCTGAGTTCAAACCCCAGTTCCACCAAACAAACAAACAAAAGAACTATGCAGGACTCTCTGGGACAGAGGTACTTGTTTCTGTTTCTACCCCTCCCCACTTCAGGGAGATTCCTTAAATAAAAAGCAATTTTCAAATAAAAAACCTTAAAAAAAGAAATCTTAGAAAGTTTTGTTCTCAAAAAAGAATAAGGAGGAAGCCATGTTCCAGAGGTGGTGGCTTCGTGCAACTGTCCCTAACTTGGCACTTTCCCTGGTGATCTCCTTGTGGCTGGTGGGGTTTTTATGTTTGCTTGTTTTGGTTTTGGTGGTAGGATCCAACTGGGGCCTTGTGCATGCTAGGCAAGTACTCGAGCATTGAACAACCCAACTCCCTACCCTATGGCTGATATTTACCACTGAAGACGGACCCCAGCCTTCCACAGGCTTTGCGCCAAGTGAGTCCTTGCCCCAGCAGCCCAACTCACGTCAGGAAGTGAGGATGAAGCTTGACAGTGTCCTCTAGCTTCTCTAGGAAGGTCAGGTCAGTGGCCTCCCCAGGACGCAGACACTCCTCATCCTGAGGGACAGGGCACAAGGTAAGAGGTATACTGGGGAGGGGCTGGAGAGCACAGACACTTCCAGGACACAAATCCAGGAGAAAAGGACAAAGCATAGGCAGTCTGGAGCTTCTAGACTGGGTCAGAACCTCACCAGACCCATGCCTGGCCTAGCCTGGAAAGAAAAGAGGAGGATGGCTTCCCAGCTGACCCCCAACATGAGGCCCGGAGGAGCAGGAGACCCACCAGGATGGAGATGACACCCTTGAACTTCTCCTCCACAAGGTCACAGATGATCTTATTGTCGAAATACTGGACGGGCTCCCACTGCCGGGAAGGGGAAGAAGGACATCATCATGGGGTCCACACCCTCTCCTGGAAGCCCATCCCCCACTTCCCACAGTGCCAAGGCACCCAGGCTCGCACAGACCGCAATGCCTTCTGCCTCATACTCCTCCTGTTCCGACTTTAGTGTCAGCTCGATGAAGAGCTGCTGAAGCTTCTCATTGCAGTAGTTGATGCAGAACTGCTCGAAGCTGAGGGGAAACAGAACCGATAGTAGTGCCAAGAGGCATGGCCGGGGTGGGAGAAGGTCAGGACCAGGCCCCAGAGTAGCTGGGGTAAGAGATGCAGAGCAGACCCAAGCTGGCTGGTGGAAGTATCGGGTAGGAATGACAGGCAGGAGACAGGGGAGGGGGACAGGATAGGGGAGGCATAAGGAGATGCCAGCAAGGGCTAAGGGAGGTGCTGACCTGTTATGCTGGAACACTTCAAAGCCATAAATGTCCAGGAGTCCAAGAACTGTGGTGCTTCTCCAGCTGGGGCTCTCAGCATCCTAGGACCAGTCATTCAATCAAAAGCATGGGTCCCGATGTCTGCCACCGCAGCTCTGGGCCCCAGCCTCCATGATTACCCTCTCTATCTGCCTTGTAAGCGGCATGGACAGAGCACTCACCTTGGAAGCCAGTGACCTATTGATCTTCCTGACTAGCCAGGTGAAAGTGCGACTGTACACAGCCTTGGCAAGAGCGTCCCGTGCATATGCGGCCTGTTCCAGGTTCAGTGGGCTAAGGAGCTGTTAGGCAGGGTGAGACAGGAGATAAATGCCACAGACCCCCTTCCATCCCATCTCCTCTTCAGACTCAGGCAGAGGACAGGAAGCTCTCATCAGCCTGCCCTCCTAGCTCCAGTGTGCCTGATGGTTAGTGTGTGTTTGCAGTATGGGGACACCAGGAGAGGATGTAGTAGCAACATCAGAGGGAAGGTGGATAGGAAGAGGCCTCATTCCTGAAGGTAAGAGGCTTGGTCCAGCCTGACTCTGTTACCTTCTCCCTGTGTGTCCTCAGCAGCACTGTTCCTCCAGCAGTACTGAGAAGGTCAATGAGCAGGTGAGGGGAAGGGGATGATGGGAAGGGGCTACCTTGGACCACCTGCACCTCCCTCTCCTCTGGCAAAGGCTAGGCCTTACCTCTTCTCCTTTGGCAATGATCTTCCTATGTGTCAGGGCTTCCCGCAAGGTAGAGCCTTCCACACCAAGGAGCTGAGTGGGGATGGAGATGGTGGCCATAGTGAAGGTGCAATGCCTTCTTGCCCCAACTGTCCCTCTCCTTGCCCTCTGCTCAACAACTCACCCTAGTCAGATACTTGAGCTGGTTCTCGGTGGTGACCTGGGCATTGCTCTCCTCATCAGCAGCAAAGTGGATGTTGCCCAAATGCAGGACGCTGGCCACGATGCTCAGCAGGTCCTGAGGGAGCAGGCAGGTGAGCATGGAGGTGGGGGAGCAGGGAACCCCATGAGGGCAACTAGATGATCAGATGGAGCAGCAAAAAGGTGGCAAAGCATTGGGAGGTGAAGGGGTAAGAGGAAGGTCCCCAGAAGAACCGTCACCTCCACTTCATCCTCAGTGAAGTCAATGACTGTCAGTGCCTTCCTGACAACCTTCCAGTCACTCTTGTCATTGATGGAAGAGACCTTGGCACACTGGCCCTGAAGAAAAGACATAGCTGGGTTGCCAACCCTGGCACTTTGTCCTGGGGTGGCTCTTGCTCTGCCTGCCAGCCATTCACCTTCACCAGGTACAGGTAGCTCTGGGGGTTCCGTTCCAAGCCCAGCCTGCGCAGCGTCTCCTCCTCGCCCCCTTCCAGCAGCTGGTAGAAGACATGGAAGTTCCGCTCCCCATGATTCTGGTGCACCACTCGGGACTTCTCCAGAAGGTAACTGAGGATGTGGCCACCCACAGGGGCACCCTGTGGTCAGTAGAATTGGGAAATAGAACCCATTTTCTCCTTTCTCTCCTGCGGACCTGTGTTCTAATTCCAGCTCTGCCACTAGCTGTGTGGGCTCAAGCATATCACCACCTTTGGCCTCAGTTTCTTCATCTAAGAAGTAGGGAGATTCAATTCCATCTACTTCACAGCTTCACTTGGACCTGAAAGGCATCTCAAACTTAATAGGCCTAACACTGAGCTCCCGACTTTCCCATCCTCAAATTAGCTCTCCCCATCATGGTCAGTATATTCATCCTGCTAGTTATTCAGGATAAGAAGTTTTCAGTCCTAGAAGTCTCTTTTTCTTCCCTCCTTCCTTCTTTTCTCCCTCCTTTTTTTTTTTTTTTTTTGACAGGATCTCACTGTGAAGCCCAGGCTAGCCTTGAACTTGAGATCCACCTGCCTCTACCTGCTGAGTGCTGGGATTATGGATGTATACTACCATACCCGGCTTCTCCTTGAAGCCTCTTTTTCTTCTACTTGTTACATCCAGTCAGACATCCAATCCTCCTACCTTAACCTTCAAAACATCCAGAATTCATGCCATTGCTTGCCACCTCCACTGCCACCACACTGATCTGAGCCACTGTAATATGTCACCTATATTATTACATCAGCCTCCAAACCGGTTTCCCTGCTTGGTTTGGTTCCCCTGCCATCACTTCCAACAAATAGCCAGAGTGACCTTTTCAATAGGAAAGTTAGATCATGACACACTTCTATTCAAAACTCTCCAATAACCTCCATCTACTTATATTTAAAAAGTTCTTGCAGAGCTGAGGGTGCAGTTCAGTCACAGACTGTGTGTTTATCATGTGGGAGGCCCTGGGTTTGATCCCTAGTACCAACAAAAAAAGTTCTTGCAAAAACCCAGAAGGGCCTGCACCATCTGGCACCCCCACCCCACCCATTCCCTGGCCCCTTGCTCTGTTCTCCAGCCACTCTGGCCTCCTTGTCCTTGAACACCAAGCACCCTCCCACCACAAGGCCTTTGCCCTGGTCATTCCCGATGCCTGGCTCTCTCCCCTATGTATCTGTCGCATCAAGCCTTTACTGAAATGCCACTCTGAGAAGTGAGGCCTACTCTATCTGCCTTATTTAAAATTGCAGTCAGGCATGGTGTTTCACGCCTGTAATTCCAGCTACTCAGAAGGTTGGGCAGAAGGACTGTGAATTTGAGACCAGCCTACACTACATATCGAGACTCTATCTCAAAAAAATAAATAAATAAGCAAATAAATAATAATTGCAATTGCCCCTCATCTTTACCTCATTTTATTTTCTGTCATGCCTAAATTGTTCTCTTTCTGTTTATTATCTATTGCCCCAGGAGGCAGGATTTTTGTCTGTTTGGTTTCACTGCTGTACCACAGCACCTGGAACAATACCTGACACATAGTAGTTGCAAAGCAAATATTGAACCCACTAAATGGAAAACCCCTCCCTCTGTCCCAGCCACCCACAGGTACCTTGAAATCAAACTGCACATCCATGTACTTCCCAAATCGGCTGGAGTTATCATTCCGGAGAGTCTTGGCATTGCCAAAGGCCTAGGGGTGGATGGGGGTATGAGGGATCCTGGCATTCTCTCCCTGCCCTCCCCTCCCATCCCCTCAGAGGCTGCTGCACCTCACCTCCAGCACAGGGTTACTCTGCAGCAGCCGGTCCCGCACAGCACCACCCCGCTCTGGTGCTGGGCAGGTCTCTGCATAGAACTGCAGCAGTCTCTTGGTGGCCTCTGTCTTGCCTGCCCCACTCTCCCCAGAGATCATCACTGCCTGGTCTCGGCGTTCTGTGCGCAGTGCTCGGTATGCAGTGTCAGCTACTGCAAACCTGGGACAGAAGCTTGTCAGGGAATTCATGGGGTGCCTGACCCCACTGCAGGTGGTAAAGTCCCACAGATAGGATGGCAGACGATGCCTGTATCTGACTAGAGTTCCTTTGAGTGGGAGTAGGGCATACTCTGGAGGATGGGCTGGGGTCCCTCAAGGGTGTGGACCAAGGGAGATCCTGTGCAGTGGAAGATGGGGGTGGGGGGAGTCATCCATGTGGAAGCTGGGTCCCTCATAGGTAGGGCTGGGAAGCCCTTCTAGGTGGGGGCCAAAGGGTTACTAAGGTTGGAGGGGGGTTATGCCCAAATAGAGTTGAAGGAATAAGTCATGAGTGTGTGGTAGGGTGGGGCTAGGGGTTCTGCTTGGGTGGAGTTCAGAGATTCATGTCTAGTAAGGACTAGGGTAACTCTAGGGTGAGCAATCATGGGATTCCTCACAGTTGTGAACAGAGATTCACCGGAGGAGGAGGTCAGGGAGCATCTTAGAGTGACAGTTGGGTGTGGTCATCTTGCATGGAGCTGAGGGGAATCACTCACAGGTGGGGAGGCACTTCGTAGAAGCTGACACCACGGTAGCGCTCCATATGCTGTCGGCTGTAAATCTGTAGGTCCCGGTAGGGGTTGACAGAGACCAGGACAGGGCCGATGTACGTCTGGAGGTCAGGGGAAGGCAGGTCAGAAGTTTGTCCTAGGCATTCCTGGTGCTTCCTTTCCCCTCAGCCATGCTTCTGTGCCCCACTTGGTCTTACATAAATGAGGTTCTCCCGGAAGCGCCGCCGCAGATTCTCGATGAAGGCGGCCTCACTGGTGAAGTTTTCCAGCAGCACGAAATCCTGCACCCCCACCCGGTCACGGGCAGTCAGGGCGCTCTCCATGGTCACCCGCACCCCGTCACTGCCCAGGGCCTATGAGGAATGGCCACAGGAGAGGGTCAGAGCCAGCAGGTAAGGTAAGGCCACGTCTCTGGCCACGCCTGCAGGATGTGGAAGGCAGGGGCAGGTGGACACAGAACAAGTTAGGTATAGAGGGCCAGGGTCACAGGATGCTGGCACACAGAGCAGAGGCTACATGGGGCACATGGGACCTACACACAACTCACAGCAGCACCCAGGACCAGTGGATTTGGGAACAAGGCCATGGAACACAGGGAGGCGCTGGTTTTGTGTGGAGAAAGGTGGGTCTTGAGAAGGAACTCCTTGGAATGGCAGAAAGTATGCTATGTTGACCTTGGACAAATCCCCTCCTTTCTTGGGGTTGCTTCCTCCTCAGGGAGGAGGAGTTGAGTTAGACCAGGTGACCTCAGGTCTCTTAGCTCTGGGGCCAGGTGTGACAGGTGCTTTGGAGGACAAATGGCTCAGAGTGAATTTTACAGACAGGTGAGGCCACTTCTCCAGTTCCCACCTCCCAAATCTCCAGGGATACAGTGTTGTTTAAGGGCCAAGCAAGAGCTCCCCAGGGCAGGGGAGGGTTTTCCCAGGGGGTGGGGGTGGGGGTTGGGTGGGGGAGGTTGTCTCCTGCCCCAGCTGGACTTGACACCCACTCCAGAAGGGGGTGGCTCTCCTTCCTTCCCATGGCTGGGGCCACTCCCTCCCCTCCAGCTGCTGGGCACCTCCTCAGCACTAGGACTCAGGAGGTGGGGATTTTACCAGGGAAAGCCCAGCTGCCACTGGAGGGTGGGGGGCATACAGGCCCACACCCAGAGTTGAGATTCCTCTTCAAAGAGGGTCTGTAGGCGCTAGGAAAGTGACACCAAGGGTCAGAGAAGAGGAGGGAGGTGGGTGACCAGAGAGGTCACCAGGTTTCCTCTGACCACAGATGGCCCAGATCTCCAGATCTCTGGCGGGGGACACCCCTCAGGGCCTGGGGCCTCCCTCTCTCAGACTTGTCTCTCAACCACTACACTCCAATCCCGCACCAAGCTGCTACCAAACACGGCCGCAGTCCCTCCCCTTCGTCCAGGAGTGAGGGGGTCTCTCAGCTGTCCACAGGAGCTACTCGTCTGGCCCCGGGTCCGAGCGCCCCGGGCCCAACTCCAACTTGGCCTCCTCCCCCTGCAACTTTCCCAGACGTTTTTCCACCCGAAATTCCTGGGCCGCGCCCGCTTCCTGGCGGGGCCAAGGCGGCGCCGTGAGTCAGGGAGGGACGCCCGAGACCCCCGCCACCCCCGCTCACCGACGCCCGGTAGCGCATCCTGCCGGGCCGGCCCGGCGCCCCGCTCCGTTGCCCGCGCTCTCCGTCCGGGGCTCGGCGGCAGCAGCGGCGGCGTCAGCGAGGGAGGGGTCGGCCCGCCCCCCGCACCGCCCCCTCGCGGGCCGGGGAGCGCGGGACTGGGTCCTCGTCCGCCCCGCTCCGGCCCGGCCTCCGGGGTCCGTCTCCAGCTGGCAGGGGCAGGGTGGGGGTTACGGGGCAGACCTCCGAGCTGGGGCAGAGGAGCGCTGGGGCGGCGGGAGAGGGGGCGGAGGGGGGCGGGGGCGGCGGGAGGGGGCGGGGCTCCCCGTCGGGCCGGTGCTCCGCCTGAGTCAGGTTTTCCAGGAGGGACGACGTTAGTTCCAGGGTGGGGCCCGGAACCCGCCCGGCCGCCGCGTCTACACGGGCCCGGAACTCACTTCCGGGCTAGTGTCTACACTACGCGGCCAGGCCCGGCGGGACTAGGGTTGAGGCCCTTGGGTCCCAGAGGAAACAGGAGTTCCCTCCCCCCAACACCAACCTCGAGTCCCGGGAAAGTTAAAAATAGAATGAAATGTCCAAATACGGCCGGCCGGCGCGCCTGGGCGGGCGGAGCCTCGGTTAGGGACACTGTCCACCCCCGTATACACTCTGTGGGGGCCGACCGAGTCTTTAAACGCCAATAATTTTTTTTTTTTCAATTTTCTCACTATGTGACCCAGTCTGGTCTTGAACTCCTGATCCTCCTGCTTCAGCCTCCCAAAAACTGGATTACAAATTTGGGCTACTAGGCCCTGGAAGAAATCTCTTTGGGCCCCTTCATCTGCAAGGAGCACACACCCTAGGGACAGGATGGCCATAGGGGTGCTCTTGCTTCGCGCAGTGTGTCCTGCCTGGCTCCTATGGAGACCTCAGTTTCCCACTTGGGAAACCCGCATCCGACCAATACCATTCTTCAGCCTGAACATCCCACTCGGGCCTCTGTCTCCCAGGGGCTCCTCCTCTCTCTGCATTCCTCCTTTCCTCTGGATCCCTCCACTCCCAGATCACCCGCTCTCTCCCCAACCTCGCCCCCACCTCGCCCCCAGCAGCCTCACCCTCGCTGGGCTCTCTGCAGGCACCAGCTTTCTTTGGCCTAGCGGTGCGGACTGTAGCTCAGATCCCAGGGCTGGTAGGATGGTGATGGCTAATGCTTGAGAGAGGCTTGGCTTTTTCTTCCTAGCACTATGTATGTGAGCAGATCAACTCAGAGCCTGTCCTTCATCCTTGAAATGAGGCGAATACTTGCCAGAAGGGTTGCTGAGGTAAAGGGCTAAGGCATTTACCAGGATCAACACCATGACCCTCTTCAGCCCTTCCTTCTCTCCGCCACACTTGCTTGACAGACACATCACCCTTAATCTAGTGGGGAAAGCCCCTCAGGCGTGCCTGTCAGTTACAGAGTTCTCAAGTGCTTTAACTGTCCCTTCCCTGGCAGATAAAGAACCTGAGGCACAAAAGGGGGTCACTGACTTTCCACGGGAGGAAAAGCACAACCAGGACACAAAGCCCCAGCGCGCCCCACCCTAGGACCCGGGCTCCCTTGGGGAGAGAGAGGGTGAGGCTGCGGCAGGTGTGGGCTGCAGCCTCGCGGGGAAGGCTCATTAATTCAAGAACAACAGCCCGGCCTGAGCCCCGCGGCCCGGGGGACTCTGCGTGGGGTCACCAGCTGGGACATGGGACCCTTTGGAGGGGGCGAAAGGACTGGATGCTGGGATAGGAAGCGGTGCCCCCTTGTTTAAAATCCAGAAGGCAGCGGGAAGAGGATTCAGCCTGCAGCCCACCCAGAAGTGGGAGTGTTTTGGAAAACCAGCCGAGGGGAAAAGGGTCGAGAGAGCCACCAGAATCTCTGCTCGCTCTCCTCGCGGGGCGGCGGGGACGGAGGGGAGGAGCTGGAGAGCGAGGCGGGGCTTCGCGGCCGCAGTGCCCGCTCCGCCCCGCCCCGCCGCGTCAAGCGGCTGGAATGAGGGGAATCCGTGTGGGGAGGGGTCGGGCGGGCTTCCCCCAGTCCCGAGCCGAAGAACCGCATTCCCAAGATGCCGCTGGCGCCCCCGCAGCCACCGCCCGGCGGCGAAAAAAGGGGGCGTCACCGTTGCTGCTTGAGCCACAGACCCCCACACACACTCCGACAACCCCCACTGGCCAGTCCATCTCGCTGGACCGAAGCGTGAGTCCCAAGAAGGGGTAAGGAAGTGGGGAATCGAGGGTGTGAAGACACCACGACCAAGGCTGCAGCGCTAAGCACTTCCTGCGTTCTTGGCGCTTTTTTATATTACTCCCTTCAGTGTCCCCTGCCAAGATATGGGATCTTTATTATTACTCCGTTTTACACGGGAAAACTGAGACTGAGTAGGTGAAGTGACTTGTAAAAAATGATGTATGGAAACCTGAGAATTCTAACGCTACTGCAGGGCTGCCCTGACCCCTCTGGAAGGTTAATAGGACTACCCTAGCAGGTTGTGACCTTCCTCAGTGATCCAGGACAAGGCCCTGTCGGTGTTGTGTGACTATTGATGTGTAGGACTTAAGAGTGGCAACTAGGGAACATGACTGGCTGCAGGCTGGGGTGCAACTATGGCTCCTAAGTGACTTATTTCTCAAAGGCACCCCTCTGGGTCCTCCTACGGGGAGGAGTTTACTGGAACCACAGGGGATGGGGGCCATTGGCAGACCTGGGTCAGCCAGTGTCCTTTAGCCAGTGTGGGCCAGCTGTCTCTACACCACCTCCATGCCTGACTTCTGGGAGTGGAGAGCAGTGGGCAGCCTCCTTCAAATGTTCCCCCAGTCCAGGGCCATGCAGATCTGGGGGGTCTGCTCTAAGGACTCCCAAACTGAGGCCTTAGAGCAGGGGAAGGACAACCACAGCCTGTCTCACTGGCAGCTCAATGCTGGGCATGGAGCAAGTGCTCTTTTTTTTTTTTTTGGCGGTACTGGGGTTTGAATTTGGGGCTTTCTGCCTGCAAAGGAGACGTCTCCAAGTCCATTTTGCTCTGGTTATTTTGGAGATGGTCTCTCAAACTATTTGCCTGGGCTGGCCTGGAACCAAAATCTTCCTGATCTCAGCCTCCCCAGTAATTAGGATTACAGATCTGAGCCACTGGTGCCAGGCTATTGTTTTGTTTTGAGACAGGGTCTCTTAGGTAGCTCAAGGTGGTCTCAAACTCACTATCCTCCTGCCCTCCACTCCTGAGTGCTGAGATTATAGGTGTGAACCACACTTGGCACAATTGAGACTTATCAAACAAATCTTAGGGCTGGGTCCAGGCTGTTCTAGGCTTTAGGGAAGCTGATGGTGAGGAAGAATGGGGAGGAGAAGGTGGAGAACATAGTGGCTCTACCCTGATTGCTTCATCACAGGGCCTAATCAAGGGCTGTATACTCTAGTTCCAGAACCATGGCCTGAACTTTCCAGAACTTTGGCCTGCCAAAGAACTCTCCCTGGGGGTTTAGCAAAAGTAAACAGAACACCTTGCCCCTAACCTACTCTCTTCGCTTAATGCCCTTCATGGAGAGAAAAGGTGGCACCTTCAGCTGGTTATCATGATCTGGCACTAAATGGCCTGCCCTCGTCCTTCCACTCCTCACACTAAGCAGTCACCACCTGCTAAACCCTCATTCTTGCTTCTCCACCACTGAGCCTCTCCTGGACCAAGATACCAGCCTCCTAGCTTGCTTCCCTGCCTTGCTCCCACCAATCCACTTTCCCATAGTAACCTGTGGCATTTACAAATGCAAATCTGACAATTTACATCTCCTATGAATGGAGTGATGGTTTATGACACACAGACCCACAATCACTGCTTCGTGATGTCTTTGCATATGTACTTCTGGAGGCCCCCTGTCCTGAGTTTACCTTAATGCTCCTTGCATTCCTGTGCATGGCCCTCTCCAGTCCCTTCTTTCCCCAAGCCTCCTCTACCACTACACACAACCAGGAGGAGATGCTTGCACCCCTGACACCAGTCACTAGACACATGTGGCTCTCAGCTTCTGGGCCTTTGCACCTACAGCTTCCTTGGTCCAGCACACTTTGCCTCCCCACCTCGGGGACTCTTGGTCATCCCTGACAACTCAGCTCAGGTATCACCTCTTCCAGAACCCTTTCCTGACTTCCGCCAACACACAGCTTCTTATCGCATCAGGTACTAATCGACTGTTTCCTTGTCAGTCTCTCCCAGGAGACAGCTCCCGTCCCAGGCGACCATTGAGGTAGGCACCCAGTTCGGGGATTAATAACCACCTCGTGGGCGCCTGCATGAATGAATGAATTTCAGAGCACAGTAGTGTAAGCTGAGGGGGAAGGCGGAATAAAGCGGTGGGCGAGCCATTCATTCTTTCATTCATCTGAGCACCCGACCCGACACACTTACTCGTGCCAAGGCACACAGGGGCCACTGGCGCGGCTGGGCCCCGAGGGTGGAGAACGGGAAGGGGCGGGGCTCGGGTGGCTTCTCCGGAATCCAGAAGCAGTAAGGGTTGCGGGAGGGGCCCGCAGGGCGCCCTGGGTGCCTGGGTCCTGCGACACCAGCCACTCTTCTCCGCCCTAATGTAACCCGCCAGTGCTGTAAGTCCCCACCAGGCTGAATTCCAGCGCCTCCGGGTTCTGAGACCCAGCATCCGCCAGGCCGAGCGGATCCTCTGTCTCAGCGATAGCTGGCCAGAGATCCCCGCCTTTCCCACCCACCGTATCTCCGGGCCCAGTTCGGAGCCTCCCCAGGCCATGCGGCCGCTTCCTGTCCCACGCCCTGCCCCGCGTACGCACCGGCTCGGCTCTTTGGGTGTGCGGGCGGGGGCCGGGCTGGGCGGTGTGGCCGTCTCTGGAGTCCGCGGCCCCGGCACGCTCTTCCCCGCCCAGGGCCCGCCAGGGGCCGGGCCGCCGCCTGTCGTCATCCCGGGCAGGGCCCAGTCTCAGGCGCGCGCGCGCGCCCTCCGGCCCCGCCCCTCCGGCCCTCGCCCGGTCCCTGGCCCGTGCCCGCCGAGGTTGGTTCCGCACTCCTCACAGTCACATCGTGCGCGCGCACAACCTTCTCCGTGGAAGACCCGGCCCACTTTGCAGTGTGGGGTGGGTGGGCTCTCCCTGCTCACGCTATGGCCCCTTTGCATCCCTAGAGCAAACCAGACCTTCCCTAGAGTGCTAAGCCCGTGCAGTTCTTCCCCATTTCTAAATACCTCCATGCCTTTACCCACTTCCCCCGCCCAAGGTCCTTGCTCTGAGTCGGGCAGTCCCAGTTCCTCTGGCCTGGCGGGAAAGGGGACGTATTAATTGTATCATGCGTCTGGAACTTCAAATGCACTAGTCCTCCTACCTCAGAGCAGCCCTGTCACCTTCTTGTTATTCTCAGTTCACAGCCCAGCCCATTAAGGTTCAGGGAGCTGGAGGAGGGATTCAAACCCAGATTCGCTCTTGGAAAAATCTTTTTTACTCCTTCCGTCCACTTACTACTTGACCAGTAGGTTTCTGCAATCACCAAGGATCAGAACCCATCCTTAACTGATCCTCTCCTTCCTGAGGGATATGCTTCAGAAAGGGCTGTCGGGCCCTGGGGAGACACTGCCACCCTTCCTCCCAACCCACAGCATCCCGGCTTACAAGTTTGCATGGTCTGTAAGGATGAACCACGCGGATGATCTCCCCGGTGGGTATCAGCTCCACTTGCAGTGCCATTCCACCCTGTGGAAAGCCAGCCTGCTGAGTACTCTGGCCTTAGAGCAAAAGCTGCGTGGCTGCCTACTGGCTCTGGCCGCTCTGGAGCCCGGAATCTCTGTGGGACGGCCACTTGGTTTTGCTTTAACTACAGCCCCAGGGGATGTGGCTGGTCCAGCTCCTCAGGACACAGCTGGAGCCTTCCAGGTCTGATTGGGAGGCCTCTTGGCTGGAGGGTTGGGGCAGGAAGAGGAGGGGCTGAAGGATGGAGGAAATGCCTGTTGTCCCAGGTAACCAGAGGAGCTGATGCAGCCACCCATGGGGGATCCTGGGCTCCAGGTCAAAGGGTAGGAGGCCTTTCCTGTTCTCCCTGTAGTTCCTTGGTTCAGCCACTGTTGCTGCCTACTCTGGTATCAGCGGGAGAACCCAGTGACCACTCCCCTAACCAGAGAGCACATCCTGCCCTAAGCCAAGAGGTTGGCTCTGCCCCTCTTACATGTCTCTGCAACTTGACTGCCTTCCAGAGCAGTAGGTGAGACCTGTCTCCTGGGTCCCCCCCCCTTTTTTTTTTTTTAAACTATGATGCCATGATGGTTTTGAATTTCTGGGCTCAAGTAATTCTCCTGCCTCAGCCTCCCAAGTTCTGGGATTGCAAGTGTGTACCACTGCTGCACTACCCCTTGTTTTAGATGCCAGGCCTGCCCATGATGGGTAGGTGCTGTTAGGAGGGGAGGCCTTTGTCCTACCCTTCTGAAGTCTCAAACATTTGAGAGGTTAATTTCTGGGTTCTTTGGGTGTGCACTCTAACCCTTTACTTCTTACTTTTCAACTGTACCCCCAGATCCCCCCACCCCACCCCAGTGTTCCTGTTTTTCGATCTTTATTGTTGCTAAATCACAGCTGACACTTTCCTGGCCTGGGATTGAGCTCTCTAGTCTCCAGCCATTCCTTACAGGAAGTGAGAATGGGGAAGTGGAGGGGAAAACAGACTTTTCCAGAGGGAGAGGCTGGCATAGGAGGAGTGGCTGTCCTGTGGGCCTAAGCTGACACTGATGGCCCATAGCAGAGACCTTCCGCTGAGCACCCCTTCCTTCCCTGCAGCTTCCCCCTCCCAGGAAAGGCCTGTAAAACTTCCTTCCTCTGGGAAGCACATCTATCCAGAGCAAGCTCATCCCAGTGGTCACACAATGGCCCTTATCAGTGGTGGAGCCAGGCACAGAGACCTAGTACACACTAAGTCTCACATATTTCCTGTTTCCACTCAGCAGGTCAAGGGTGGGCCCAGAGCGGCCATATCCTGACTGGGGCCAAGAGGAGGGAGAGCAATCCCCTTCCCTTTTCCGCCTCTCAATCACTGCTGGACTCACCCCTCCCAGCGCAGGATGGGGCCTGCAACCAAGGCCAGGGCTGGAGTGTGTGAAGTACTAATTGTAGGAAGGGGAAAGATGAGTATGTGGAAGAGAAACAAGGGGACTCCTGGAGTCAGGAGGTCCTAGAGCCAGCTCCAGGGCTTCATGAATCAGAATGGGGTGGGTAGTGTTCTAGGTTTTTGGCAATTGTTCTCTGGCAGTCTTTTTTTTTTTTTTTTTGTGGGATTGGGCTTTGAACTCATGCTCCTACTACTTGAGCCACACTTCCAGTCCATTTTGCTCTGGTTATTTTGGAGATGGGGATTACCAAACTATTTGCCTGGGCTGGCCTCAAACTTTGATCCTCCTGATCTCAGCTTCCCAAGTAGCTAGCCAAGTAACTAGGATTATAGGCATGTGCCTGGCTTCTGGCAATCTCATGAAGAGGTATATATATATATATATATATATATATATATAGTATTGGTGTTTGAACCGACAAATCTTGTGCTGGCTAGGCAGGTGCCTGACCACTTCAGCCATACCCCAATACTTTTTGCTTTAGTTATTTTTCGAATATGGTCTTGTGTTTATTCCTGGGCCAGCCTTGACTGTAATCCTCCCATCTCCACTTCTCAAGTAGTTGGATTACACGCATGAGCTATTGCACCTGGCAAGGTTCACCATTTGTATTTTACAGAGAACTGAGACGCCTATGTAGGCAAACCAGGGTAGGAAGGACCACTGATTCAAACCCAGGTCTTCAGGCCCCATTCCTGTGTATCTGGTCCCCTCTCCCCATCAAAGAGTCACACACAGTGTAAAAGCCAGATTTCTAATTATCCCCTAATGTAACAGACAAGAAACACAGACAGCCATGGCTTGATAGAAGGGGGACATTTTTTCTTGGGGAGGAGGACAATTTTTAATATACAAGGCTCCCAGGGTGGAATATAGAACATAAAACAACTGCAATGACTCTTAGTCTCAGAGCATAGGATGTATGTGACAGTCACAGAGCAGGCTCCCTTAGGTGTCTTCTCCTGGGAGAAGGACTGTTGAGTCACCACTGAAAGATGGCAACTGGCAAGAGTGGGGATAGGCTATTTCCACATGGCGCCTGGAGAATGCTCTGAGACCCTCAGGGCCAGGTCCTCCAAAATATTTTTCTTGGTGGGGGCTTATTTTGCGGTAGGGTCCCACTATGTAGCCCAAGTTGGCCCTGAAGTCATGATCCTCTTCCCTAAACCTCCCTTTTGCCTGTCCCTACTTCTAGGTCCCAGAGGAATCCAGAAACAGGAGCAGTTTCCTGCCAATGACTCATGACAAGGGTGGGGGCAGATGAGCTTATTCTACAAGGATCACCCTGGAAGTCTGTGGCTTCCTCTACCAGATGGCAACCCTTGATAAAAGGGCAGGTAAATCCTGCCCACCTGCACAAGTAAATCTGGGTCCATACAGTTCTCTCTGCTCAGCCCCTGGAACTTCTGGGTCAGATCCCATGCAGAGGGTAGGGGGAGGGTGTGCTGGCAGAAGGAAACTCTGTTCCATCCATTTAGCCATACTGCTTCTGTTGAAAGCAGGGATCCGAGACTCTGTTCATCTCTCATGGGACAAACTATGAGATGCCTAGACTTCTGGAACTCAGTGTTGCTTGTGCCACCCCATCTACAGAGCCTGTATAAATGTGAAATCTCCCCCTCCCAGGCAGCCTGAGGCCCATGATGGCGTGATAAGAATGCAAGCCTATGCCAGATGGGGCATGCGCCTGACAGGGCTGCTTGGGCGGGACTGGGAGTGTTGGGGGAATCAAGAAATGAGATGCAGGCTGGACAGTCCTCTTTGTATGTGATGTCCCCAAGCCTTCACTGTAACAAAGTAGCTGGTTTCACTCACATCTCAGCAACAAAAACCTGTATTTAAGTGCTAATTTCAGAGATCTGGCCTGGAGAGAGCAAAGGAATCTGGTTGAGCTCCCCCTGGGAGGTGAAGGATACTTGGCTGCTTCTGCAGGGGCAGGGCCAGGCCAGGCTGGGCCCTTGTGCTCCTGGCAGTGGTAAGGCAGAGCTGGCTGCCAACTCTAGCCTCTGCCCTGGATTCTCTCACTTCCATCTCAGATCTGTGGTTTAGCCTCATTCAGTGAGTTATCCAAAAAAAAGCGAAGCGGGATCTGCAGGGATAAAACAGGTGGCAGAAGGGGGAACACGGGTCTTCCTCCACACCTTGTCAACACTCCCACTGCCCAATGTACACAGCTCCACAGGTATGGGTTGGCTCCTGGGCTGTGGCCTTGGGGAATCAAGGATGGGCTCAAGTCCTCCACAATACCCTTCCCATTCCCCCACCATCATCCCTTACCTTAAAAGGTTTGCTTATCCCCACTACAGAATTCAGATTGTTGCTATAGTAACAGAGGAGAAACTGATCTTCAGTCTCAGGAATATTGTTGATACTGATGTATACCTGTAGGAAAGGAATGACAGAAACGTGGTCAGCTCTAGGGTCCTGGGCTCTTCCCAGCTCAATGACAAGTTATCCAGCACTCTTCTTTCCAGAAGACAGGAATGTCTAGGAAAGCCTGACCACTGGAGATGTACCTGTTTCAGGTTGTCGCTGAAGGAGATCTGGTTGTCCCCAACCCAGACATAGGACACGTAGTCATTAATGTGGCGCATCCCCACCTATGGGAGAGGGGATCAGGCAGTCATTAGTTTGGGAGGAATCAGAAAATCCGAAGGAGAGGATGGTCTCATTGATGGGGCTGACCACCATACTATGCCTCCCTTTCCCTTCCCTTCCAGGTCCGAGGTAGGCAAGGACCCTTAGGGTAGACAAAGGTGAGCTCTTCAGTGTCTGCCCAGTTCCTCTGAGCTCTCAGGGAGGATAAACCAGGTCTGTGGCTGATGGGCTCTCTGCCTTGGACCGACCTTGTAGAGTCCAATCCAGTCCCAGGGGCTACTGAGGAAGTCTGGGGTGGAGGAGTAGCTGATCAACATGTCGTTCTCCATGGTCCACAGGCTCTCAGGCAACATGGTGACGAGCGGAACAGACATCAGTGGGTTGAACTACATACAGGGGTGGGAAGTGAATGAAATATTGTATCACTATTCCCTCCTCTAAAGCAACTGTTCCTCCCTGTGTCCTCTAGTGCAGTGGGGGAAGGAGGGGCACCCAGAGGCGTGGACACAGAACTCCACTAGACTACCCCATATACCTTGGCTGGCCAGCAGGAAAAAGCAAGGGGCAAAGGTTTGCCAGGGAGAATGGGGCTGAGAGCCTGGTGGACAACACATGGAGCCCAATGAAGTGGCTGAGGGTGGAGGGGAAAAAGGAAGTTGCTTAAAACAGGCAGCTGTTTTCTGGCCTCCAAGGTTTCAGACCCAAAGCCCCAAATTCAATTTTGTGGGGGGAATGCTCTAGCAAGAACATCTATAAAAATGTGGAAGGGCACAATTGTGTAAGAACAGAGAAACCAGAATGAAAATGTGAAGGCTGGAGGAGCAGCCAGCAGCTTGAAGGAGGTCACTACCTTGATCATTAGATGGCAAGATACAAGGATGGAGGGAGATCCCTCTGCCATCTGATCCCGATAGGTTTAGGACAAGTAAAAAGAAGTTCTACTTCACACAGTAGGTAATAAGCCTAATGGAACTCATTGGCCCCAAGGGACAGTACCGAGAGGAAATGGAAACCTAGTCACAAAGGGCCTAAGCACATTTTTGACAGAAAGAGCCATCAACAGCTCCTAAGAAGAGTTGAGATACCTGACCTGGGAGGAAAGGCAATCATGTTCTCGTATAGGTATCCCCTAGGGGATTGGCTGACATTAGAATCCAGCCCAACACAGCTGTTTCTCTGCCAAGTGTCGGGCAGCCCAGAAGTTCACCTCCAAGTCAAAGGTGCCAGTGACAGGCTTATGGTCACTGATGTCATACATCATGTGGCTAATGTAGCTCTTCAGAGACAGGGAGAAGTAGGGGGCTGGCAAATTGGGGTTGAGGGGCTTAGCCTTGGGCTGTCTCTTCAATCTCCACAGGATGCGGTCAGTCCATGCAGGCTTGCGTTTTTTCTCACTGGCATTAGGGAAAAGGAATGGGAAGAGAAGAAAGAGTTGGCATGAGAGCAGGAATGTGCCCCCATGAGCCTGCTGGAGCCCCTAACTCCAGCGTCCACCAGCAGCCAAAGACCTCTGGACCAGAGCTGGGGTGAGCATGGCAGCAGGCAAGAGGGTGCCCAGCAGAATCAGTGGGTGCTGGCATTTGTCAGACTTAGCCAAAGACTCTCTGCCTAACCCATGTTTTTATGACTCAAAATGTGACTCAGAAACATTCCATTTCAAAGGTTTTTTTCCTCAACAAAAGCAGCAGAAGATCAAAGAATCTGAGTTATACAGATCTGAGCTTGAATTTGGCTTTCCTGTTACAAAAGGTATGACCATATTAAAGGGAAGGGAAGTGAAGCATTTGGGGAATGGTTATCATTCACCCTTCAGAGATGGAGAAGTTGAGTCTTAGAAGGGGATTAACTTTCCCAGTCATACAGCTACTGAGTGATGGAGCCAGGTCAGGTGGCAGCATGACCACAGAGCACATGCTTTTAACCTCCAAGCTAACCCTCTTAAGCTTTAGCTTCCTCATTTGCAAACTGGAGATAGTAATCGTTGTTACCTCACAGCTCTTAAGATGACTCAATGAGTTAAAGAACAGAGTATCTAGCACATACTCGGTAATGGTCAACTATGGGACCTCCCACCTGCTCTTCCCTTCCCTTACCAGCTTCCCTGTGAAGCAGGAGGCCATCTGGCCCCTAGAGACAAAGTGTCCTCCTCTGCTAGATATCTGAAGTCACTCAGAGGCAGGAAAGTCTCTGACTCCAGCCCAGCCCTGCCAAGCAGCTATGCCCTAACCTCCAAACACAGCTGGTGGCAGACCCTGAGTGCCAGGATGGTGTGATGGGGGAAGCGGGGGTGCTGCTGTTTCTGGGTTCCTCTTCTTTGGTGGAGGATCCCTTTTCCTAAATGAACTCCAAAGTAGAAATGCTGATCCAATGATTCTCTAAAACCTTTAAGGAGTTCTTCACTGACTCCAGAGTCCCTAAATAGGACTTTAAAGGGTTCAGGAATTTGAACTACCCAGACTTAACTTATTTCCAACCACTTCCCCAGACTTACCCTAAACTTGACGACTCTCTCAAGCCTCTAGATTTTTGTGTCTATAGTTTCTGCTGCCTGGAATACCCTTCTTTACCAGGGAGAGGCCCAATTCCTATATTGCTACTTTTGACCTCATCTTTCTTCTTTCAAAGCTTTTAATACCAGTATTTATACAACTACACTGTATTTTATTTCCCAGTCAGCACATCAGTTAGTGTGTGGATAGTGAATGGCTGTTGAAGCCTCCTGTGTATCCTTAGCATTGTTAGACACTGGCACAAAGGCACCTATTAGCTGCCCAACTGCAAAACCACATGCTCAATTTCTCTCCGCAAAAATGATACCCAATCTTAATATACACAATCCATTAAACATATATATATATATATATATATATATATATATACACACATATATATGTATTTTTTGGTAGGACTAGGGTTTGAACTCAGAGCTTTGCACTTGCAAAACAGGAGCTCTACTGTTTCAGCCACACCTCCAGTTCATTTTCTTCTGGTTATTTTGGAGATGGTGTCTCAAGAACTATTTGCCCAGGCTGAACTTTAACTGCAATCCTCCTGATCTCAGCCTCCCAAGTAGCTAGGATTACAGGCGTGAGCCACTGGCACCTGGCTCAATTACTATTTTAAGTAAACATATCCAACACCCTGTTGTCACTTTAGCAGCAGTATAGTCTTCCAGAGAATGAGGATGGCATCATGGTGATCTGACTCTAAAGACCAGCTGGGGGAAGGTTCTGTCCTGGTAATTCAGAGCTAAGTGCTCTTGGGCAAGTGACTTTACCTCTCTATACCTCAGTTTCTTCAACTAGAAAATGGGGTGATAACAGTGGTTACTTCAAAGACCAATAGTAGGATTAAAGGAATTAATGTGTGTCGAGGGAGTGGTCAAAAAGCTGTAACTCTGGCTAAATCCTTATGTTTGCTAGCTCCTTGGGCTGTTTCCACACTTTCACTCTTCTGAGAAGTGTTCAAACATTGGAAGGTGGCCTTCCTATCCCAGACTAGACACTGAGTCTCTGATCACCTAAGACTTTAGGTAACTAGCAATGCTAACCCTTGGCTAAAAACTATACTAATGCACCTTCCCTTTCAAAGCACCACCCCCTACCTCAACTTCCTGTGATGGGTTAAGAGCCCAGACCTGACCAGGTGTAGTGGCTCATGCTTTAAACCCAACTACTCGGGAGGTGGATTATCAGGAGGATCAGAGATTTGAGGCCAGCCTGGGCAAAAAGTTAGTGAGACCTACCATCTCAACCAGTAAGTTGGGCGTGGTGGTGTGGGCCTATCATCCCAGCTACACAGGAAGTGCAAATAGGAGGATTGTAGCCAGGCCAGCCTGGGCAAAGAAAAAAAAAAAAGTAAGACCTATTCTAAAAATAACTAAAAGCAAAAGGTGCTGGGGTTGTGGCTCAAGTGGTAGAGTGCCTATTTAGCATGCATGAGGACCTCAGTTCAAACCCCAGTACCACCTACAAAGCAAAAAAGAGCCCAGATCTGCTGTCATGTTAGGATCCTCTGAGTCCTGAGCACAGCCTGTCTCCCTCCTCCTCAGTACCTCCCAGCCTATCCCTCTTTTCCCTTTGCAGGGCTTGGTCTAGGCTCAACACTGAGGACCACCTGCATTATTCATTTTTTCCACCAAGACTTATTACATGGCAGGAAAATGATACATAAGATTGAAAGATTTCTTTATTTTTTTTCAGTGCTGGGGATTGAACCCAGCACCTCATGCATGGTAGGTAAGTATTCTACCACTGAGCAACACCCCCTGTTCCTTGAGGAGAATGTCTGACAAACAAGACAAGAAACAAAATGGCAAGCTGGGCATCAGTGGCTCACACCTGTAATCCTAGCTACTCAGGATCGTGGTTCAAAGCCAGCCAGGGCAAATAGTTCATGAGACCCTATCTCAAAAAAAAAAAAAAATCATAAAAAAGAGCTGGTGGAGTGGCTCAAGGTGAAGGCCCTGAGTTCAAACCCCAGCACTGCACAAAAAGAAAATACCCAACAATACCTAGCAAACACACTAAACCACAAAAAAAAAAGATAAGTAAGTGCAAATATTGCATATATTCTCTCAGTTCTGCATTTCTCATTAGTATTAAAAATAATAACTAAAAACTGGGTACTTTTGTGTAATAGGCACTATGATAGATATCTCATGGACTATTCTGATTTTTCCAACCATCCTCTCACAATTCACATTTTTCTCCTTTGATGGCAGAACAACAAAGCTGAGAGATGCTACCCTGTCCAGGCAGAAGCAGGAGGTTTGCCCAGGTCTGCTAACTACAGAGTTTGTGTGCCTTCCACCATGCTTCAGTCTCTCCCATAAGTCTCACTGAATCTGTTCACAGCAGTGAGAACTGTCCTGCAGTATACATCACCAGAGCCAGGCATTACTAAGGCTTTTTGGCCAAATGGTTTGACTGAGTAGAACTGTTACTGAGATAAACAAACATGCCTTTACTCTCAAACAGTTAAAACCAAGACCTCTGCAAGATGCTCTTAAGTCTTATTTTAATAAGTAGAGCCAGTCTACTAACCCCAGAGTAGCAATGTGCTAAGTTTCTGGGTATGAAAGCACTTTTCCCTTCAGCTCCCTATAGAGGAGCTTTTAAGAATCTCACTGATCTGGGGCTATTGCTACCTTCCCTGTCAGGCACTTACTGTCCACTTAATATTTATGCAACATAATTATGTCTTGACTAATTTTGCTCATAATATCCTCTGCTCATTGACTAAGGCGAGTCTGTCTGCATTCATAACGGTGACTGTAACAAAAACCTAGTACAATCCCTGACTCTAACAGGATTTCCCGCCCTGCCTCAGCCCTTTCACCCTCCCCTGTAATGGAACTGACCTTGTTTCACATTACATCTTGGCTCGGGGACACTGATGGCTGATCAAACCTGCATTCCGTCCTGCACACAAATTACCCACAGTCACTTTGTAAAGCTAGACAGGCCAGGGTCTTGCCTGGATCAGGCCCCTCTCAAGGTGCTGCTCATCTGTGCTGCTGACTGATTGAAATAGCTTCCCCTCTTCTTTCTGCTGACCCTACTGCCTCCTTCAACCTACTCTCTTTGGGGCTAGACTGTAGCTTAGTGGTAGAGCACTTGCCTTGCACATGTGAGGTCCCAGGTTTGAGCCCCAGTACTGCAAAAACAAAACAAAAACTAGAACAAAACTCTTCTTAACAAGTCTGACTGACCCTTCCTGGCTTCAGCTGCCAGCCTACTTTGGCACTTCTGCAGAGTTCTGGAAATCTACTGGCTAACTCTGGGCCAGACTGATAGTGTTTATTTGTGTCTCCTTGCCATGGGTGGGTCCCTTTGCTAGTCTGGCTTAAATACCATGTATTTTCCTTTTGTCCTCTCAGGGTCCCAATTCAAATATATGACAGGCACTGTCTTCATACAAGGGATGGTTGTAAATCAGATCTAGTCTCTGCTCTCCAGGTATTGACGGTACAGCAACAAAGGCACACTGCATCTTAAAGCACCACCGAAATACAGTGTGTGCAAGGCTTGGTGGCAGCATAGGGCAGGAGAGAAACTCAAGAGCACAAAGAAGCCTTCCTAGGAGAGATTATATCTGGACTGGCTTTCAAGGATGGGTAAGTTTGACTACTGGGATGTCTCTGTTTCCCAAGTAGGCTCAGCTCTGTACAACACACGAACTGATAGCTACTTTTGGACCCTGGCTCCAGCCAGGAATATTTCAGGTCTGCTGTCCATTGATCCTATCCAGATAGTCCTTCATCTCCTGAGCTCCAGGCAAGGGGAGGAGTACTGAAAGCTTATGGATGTGGAGTCAGAAAGACATGAGTTCAAATTCTCACTTCATCCCTAGGTCTGTTACTTCCTGGCTTAGAATTCCCTGAAATTCAGTTTCCTTATTTGTACAAAGTGAATACCAACAATGTCTACCTAATGAGAATATGTTAAGAATCAAGATGAGTGCCAGCGGCTCATGCCTATAATCCTAGCAACTCAGAAGGCAGAGATCAGGAAGATTGCAGTATGATACCAGTCCAGGCAAATAGTTCGAGAGACCCTATCTCAAAAACAGGACTGGTGGAGTGGCTCAAGTGACAGAGCCCCCCCACCCCCCAAAATAACCAAATGAAATGATGTAGGCAAAGCCTTTTGTACAATGCCTAGTACATGGTAAGTGCTCAGCAATGTTGATCATAATGAGTTATTATGTGGGAGTAAGTATCTGCCTCCTTAGCAAGTGTTTCTATCCTGATCCTGCCCCTCCTTCTTTGAACTTTTTTTTTTGTCCCTGCAAAGCAGGTGCTCTACGGCTTGAGCCACACCTTCAGTCCATTTTCCTCTGATTATTTTGGAGATGGGAACTATCTGCTCGTGCTGGCCTCAAACCATGATCCTCCCAAGTAGTTAGAATATGTGAGCCACCAGAACCCAGTTGTTTTTTTTTTTTAAACAGTGCTGAAGATTGAACCCAGGGTCTTGCACATGCTAGGCTAGCTATCTACTGCTGACTTCCATCTCTAGATCATGAGTGAGGTCTTGAGTTCCAGTGATAGATATTCCAGCCTCCAAGACCCCAGCCAGTTCCACTGAGGCCTCATAGTCTCCATGTTGTCTCTCATTTCTAATGGCTACTTAGACTTGCAGTTTCTCTACAGCTGTAGCCCACCATCCAGCCAGAGCTTGCCCTCTTACCTTCTTTCCTGCTTGCTCTGTTGCCCAGGCTGCTCTGTCTCCAGAGTTCACTGTCTCTTCTAGTGTGGACTATGCTAGCCATGGCCCCACTCCATCTTGTTCCACACTGAAATGTTTTGCCTTCTCCCCCTTTTCTTGGTAGGAACATGTAGCTCTACAAAACCACTTCCAGAACCAAACCTGTATTGTACCTTTTGCCCGAGCCTGCTGTGAGATACCTGTTCAACCCTTAACTCCCAGGGACCTGGGCTGCCCTGCAGGCACCACCTATCTCCCTCCTAAGACAATCTTGTCAGGAAGAAAGAAGAAGCTACTTCAGGAGAAACAAACAGGCCCATAATATGGAAAAGGGTTCTTTCTTTAGAGATTAGGTTCTGGACCCTAAACTGGGTCAGGGACCTATTGCCAGACATGCTTTTGTTCATCCATTTAAGCAAGTTTTGGTGGTTACCTGGCCCCTTCTCAGTGTCTTAGAAATGTTTTCAGTAAAACTACACAAGTTAAAAATTACAGTCACAGTTATTACCCATGCTTACAGGGTCCCAGATACTGAGCTAAGCTTATGCAAGGTCTCATCCAACCCTCAATCCCTGGAGGTGTGCATGCTATCACTCCCATTTCATGGATGACATCACCAAGACTTAAACACCTTGTCCAATGTCATATAGCTGATAAGGGGCAGCACTGTAAGCACTGTCTCTGTATCATTACCCATGAAGTTCTCCACTGTCTCTCATCTCCTCACTTAAGTATCTAACCCATTTACAGGTTGGGACAGGGGTACTTATAATGCCAGTAACTGGCTGTATCAAGCTTTCTGCCCCATCTAGGGACCAGAAGGCCCTGGGAAATGGGGACAAGGATTCCCAGAACGCTGAAGTACTTCCCTCCTAAGTGAGGGCTGCCTTCTCCCTCTCCTCCAGCTCTCACTGCTCCCCCTCTCCCAGCTAGCACTAGCTTCCCCTCTTGCTCTCTGAGGCAATCTGGGACAGCTCCTGTAGTCAGCACCTCGTGTGGGGGTTAATAGGAGCCACTCCTAAGAGGTGATTGCTAGATCTATTCCTGCTTTCCTAACACTTCTATTCTGAGACAGCTCCCACTGCCACTAGGGCTGGCATAATCCCACCTCCTGGGTGCCCATTTTCTCCTCACCTGGTGTCATAGTTGTTGGAATTCCTATCGAACTTGTAGGTGGGTGGGAAGTTCAGGGGGCCCTCCTGGAACTCCCGGAGCAGTGAGTCATGTTTCTTGGCAATGCTGAGCTGTAGATAAAGACACAGTCCCCCTATCTCCCCACAGTTCTGACCCAATGACCCAGCACCACACTCTGTTTTCTCACTGCCCCAATGGCTGCCTCAGCAACCCACCTCCACCCCAAGAGGAAATGTGATCCCACAGGCTTAAGTAATGTGGCTTTCTGCCATTTCCTAGTCCTTGGACTTCCGGGAGCAAACTTTGAATTCCAGCTCTCTGGGGATCACTAGTAGACTTGTGTCAGAGGGAATCCTGGGTAAGCTAGGGTCCCCCAAAGGGGTGGCATCTCATCTTCTAGGAGGTAAACAAGGCTGGAGATGGGAAAGAGAACAGGTATACAAGTGAGCTGATGCTTAGTGTGGGGCCATGGCATCCAAAGCCCTTCTGGCTCCCTGTTCTAGAGCACACCAGTGGCTTCTCCAGGTGAAGCTCAGGCACTAACAGGGTGGTTACCCTGCCCCCCAGGGGAAAACCTGCTACACTCCCCTCCCTGTCCATCACCTCCCCACTCCCATCCCATCCAGGAAAGAGAAGAGTCTCTAGGGAATGTGAGCACTGCTCTCTGTACTTTTCACACAGATCTTTACAGAGGGCTCAGATTCCCATGGGGACCCTCTCTCATTTGATACCTGATCCTTCTCCCACAGGTCACTGTAGTGCTGATTGGTTATCGATTCTCGAACAAAGTGCAACCCAAAATCCTCAATCCGAAAATTCATGTCTCCAAACCAGAGAATGAGGCTTTAGAAAGAAAGGAGGGCAGCCTCAGGGTTTGTGATGAGGTCAGCAAAGCAGGGAGCAACAGGTTGCACTTGCGTGCTCAATCTAAGGGCTGCAGGGGAGTAGAAAGCTCGAGGGGGCAGGTGAGAAGCCACAGGCTAGGAGAGGACCAGGTGAAGACAAGGACATGCATGGGTCCAGGAGGACTGTTCTCATGGCTCCTACATAATCACTCAAGACAAAGGGACCAGCCCAAATGGACATATGGCAAATGTGGAGCAGGCTCTAGCCCTCCCTTCTGTCCCCTCCACTGGCCACGAAGGCAAGCCAAGAACGAGTCTTTCTAGTGACCTCGGGACCACAAGGTTCTTGACCTAAGATGTTTAGAAGTATTCAGGATTTCTAGGTCAGGTAGGTTTTTATCCCAGCAGGTAAAGCCGGGCAGGACAATAGACTGGTACATTTGGGGAGGGGTCAGGAGAGAGTGGAAGATGGAGTATTACTGACTGACTGATTGGGAAACAGATTGGGCAGACAATGCTAGCCTGAGCTGGTGTCGGGGAGAGGGCAGGGGTGACAGCTTGCAGTTCCAGGCTCACTCATGGTCCAGGATGTTGGGGATATCATATCGCTTAAAATTCTGCATCTCCAGGATCCGGTCAAAGTGCTCCAATCGCTGATCATTGTTGGATACATGGGGAGGCAGGTGACAATTGATGATGCTGACATAGTAGCCATAAAGTTTCAGGCAGATGTTGACTCCCCCTTTATTCCCCTGGTAGGACAGGTGGGCAGAAGGGTGGGAAGCTACTATGGGTTGGACACACCCCTTTCCCAATCCTAGGCCTGAGGGGAGACAATCTTACCTTCTCTAAGATCTCCTAGGGATAAACACCCAACTTCCCATGGTAATATCTCCATGCACAGAGCCCAATCCACCAAATACGGAGTTTCAGGGATACCCAGCCAGCCTCCTCTGAGGCAGGAGGAGTATGCAGGGCACAGGACTGGACAGGCTATCAGGATTCATTTCACTTCCTTTCTTTTACCCAGCTCTAAATCTTCCAGCCCTTCCCAACTCATGCCTCAGACAACAGCTCAGTCCTTACCCAGTACCCGTAGAGGCCAGTAGGAGTGGATTTTGTAGAGAGGATCTGGATGAAGGGCAGATGCTGATACTTGGCAAAGACCAGTAAGAGGAGCCCCTGCATGCGGACATGGGAGATCTGCAGCAGAGTGAGGGCAAAGGTCATTCATTAAACTACATATGGCAAGTGCATCCCTGCCAGGCCTAAGGTTAGGAGCTCTAGCAAGTACTGAACCACATGCAATGCCCTGCCCAAGGGTCTATGGTATCCCAGTTTGAGTCTTAGAGTTTTACTCTTTTCCTTTCTTTCCCTCAGCTGCCAAACATTCTGGGAACTAAAGTTTCAGTTTCTGCTATTGGGCCTGGGGCTGGGGGAGAGAGAGGATGAGTCTGCCAGGATGCTCTGCCATCAGAAGAGCACTGATTCTTCAGTTCCAGCCCAACACCTGCTAGGCGCTTCTCCAACTGATGCTGTTGAGATCTTCTGGGGTGTTCACAGGTCTCTCAGCCTATTCTCTCATGGATAAAGTAGATATAACATTATGCCATAGACATAGTATTTAAGAGGATTTATCTGATAGTTACCATTTTTTGGCTCAGATTTTTTTTTTTTTTTTGTGGTGATACCAGCGTTTGAACTCAGGGCTTCGTGGTTGCAAAGCAGGAGCTCTACCGCTTGAGTCACACCTCCAGTCCATTTTGCTCTGATTATTTATTTATTTATTTGCAGTACTGAGGTTTGAACTCAGTGCCTTCACCTTAAGCCACTCCACCAGCCCTTTTTTGTGATGGGTTTTTTCCAGATAGGGTCTCACAAACTATTTGTCTGGGGCTGGCTTTGAACCTTGATCCTCCTGATCTCTGTCTCCTGAATAGCTAGGATTATACGCATGAGCCACCGGTGCCTGGCTACTCTGGTTATTTTTGGAGATAGAGGTCTCAAGAACATTTGCCTGGGTTGGCCTCTAACTAGATCCTCCCAACATCAGCTTCCCAAGTAGTTAGGATTACAGTCATGAGTCATCAGTGCCCAGCACAAGGATTCTTAAAAGTAAATGCAGGCAGAAAAAAAACAAAAACAAAAACAAAAACAAAAAAGGAAATGCAAGGAAGGAACATGAGACAAGCTTTTAGGGTGCAGGAAATATTCTGAATCTTGACTTGGCCAATGACAACATGGGTATGAGTATGTATGTAAAAATCTACCAAAGTGAATATTTACTTTCTGTACACTTTCCTGCATGTGTTCTAGCTGAGTGAAAAGACACTAAGAAAAGGTTACCAAGAAATAACTATAAAGCCATGTGTGGTAATGCAGGCTTGTAATCACAGCACTAGGAAGGCTGAAGGAGGATTGTACATAGCAAGACTCTGTTTCAAAAAACAAACAGCTGTGAGCATGGCTCACATGGGAGAGTGCCCTGCCTTGAAAGCGAGAGGCCCTGAGTTCAATCCACAGTACCACCAAAACAAACAAAAAATCCCCAAACCAAAAACCTATAAATTATGTACAGTTGGATATCCAGGAAGGCAATACATAGGGAATGGCAGAGTACGGAGGACACTGGTTCGCAGGCTGGGAAAAGTAACTAACATCCGCCAAAGGGCTTTGTATCTCATCTAAGCATTTCCCCAACCCCGTAAGGAATCACTGTCCCGTTTTTGCAAATGTGAAGCTGAGAATCAGGGATGCCAAGGAACCAGCAGGACTATTCAGGATTGCCAAAATGCCTGCCATCTGTGGTTACAGGGGGTGGGGTGGGAATGGGCTGCAGCCAGTGACCCTCCTTCTCAGGTTCAGGCTTTCTACACCCACCACCCAAGTAGCTGTTTCCGGAGCATGAGGTGCAGAGGCCAAGAAGGAAATCCCCGGGTGGGGAGCATGTACTGGGGCCTTCCAGGAATTATGAAACTTGATCCTGCAGGCCAGGAGCTCCAGCAGAGTAGAGGAATCACAGCAGGGGGAACCCCAAACTCAGGACTAAGCAAGGGAGGCACTGGAACCTGAGGATGCTACAAATGTGTCCTCAGTCCCACCTTCCATTCCCAGTTAACAAGCATATGACAATAGAACTGGGAGCAGAGCTAGACTCCTTCATAAGGACTGATTCCCAAGGTCAGGACCGCAGGGAACTGACAAAGATTCAGAATAGATTCAAGCATTTATTTATTTATTTATTTATTTAATGTCAGAAGGGTAATGTGCCCACGTCATAACAAGGTTTGAGGGCGGCACATGTCATGCAGAGGCGTGACCACCCAATCATCATGTTTGTGAACCAAAAAAGGATCTAGATTCAAGCTTAATCTTAACAAACAGAGCAGGTTTAGGCCACTGGACCCCATTTTGTGAAGAAGCAGCAGGAAGTAGGGGGCAGAGTGGATGGGGTAGGGGCAGGACAGGGTAACACTGGGAGAAAGGGTGAGGTTGTGGGGAAAAGTAGACTTTTAGGGGAATTCCAGTTGAAAGAAATGAAGGAAGAGGGACTTAGGAGCTAGACACTCTGAAGCAGCAAAGGGGGTCAGCCCCAGGTTTCTTGACAGATAGCTAACAAATTCCCGCCCAAAGAACAAGCCTTAAACAGTGCTGCCTGACAACCTTGCTTCTTGCCTGGGGGAAGGAAGGGGATCTGTTTTGGATGCTGAGCCCTCAGGCTGGCCTCCCAACCTTAGGAGGCCACATGGGTGGAATGGGTTGTATCCCTGCCACGAGCTGAGCTAATTTCCTTGGCTCCACTCCATCCTACCAATCTCTTGCCAGTTAGCCAAGGTGCAAGGAGGCCTGCAGTCTTGGGAAAGAAGTGGGTGGTGAGAGAAAAGTGGTTCTGCCCTGTGAGGATCTAGCTAAAAGTCTGCCAGAAGAGCCTATGCATTTGATTTGGAGGGAAACAAGGGTTAAGGAGCGGGCACATTCTGACCTCAACAGGAGGACTAAACTTTGTTGTATTCCTCCTTTTCCTCAAAAGGACACACAGCTCCTGCTGGTGGTGCTAGGGATGGAACTCAGGTCTTCTGAAATGCTAGGCAGTGCCCTACTGCTAAGCCATGTCCTAGCCCTGCGTGACAGAATAATTCTGAGAACAGTCACCCAGGGAAGGGTACAGACAGAATCCTAGTATTTCCAAGAAGCTCTGAACTAGCTGCTTTGAATGGGAGCATGTTTGTTCCTCATGTTGCAGGGAAGAAATAAGGAGATTATCCAGCAACCTAGAGCCTTCCTGCAGATTTGTCTATGGTCTAAAGATTCCCCAAAGTATACCAGTCCCTCAGACTAAGAACCTTTTCCCACCATACTTATTTCCCTCTATTAACCTCTATGCTTCTTTAATCAAAGGACACCCTCTGGTATCAGCAAGTTAGCCATGGAACACCTGTCAACCTTACAGCTTTTTAGTGTAGCAGCAAAATATAGCAGTTTAGAACATCAGTTATGAAGGCTGAAAGATCTGGATTCAGATCCCAGATAGCCTATGTGATTTTCTTTTTCCTTTCTTTTTTGGTGGTATTGGGGGTGAATTCAGGGTCTTGCACTAGGTAGGCAGGTGCTCTACCACTTGAGCCACACCCCCACCCTTTTTGCTTTAGGTATTTTTGGGTCAGGGTCCCGCTTTTGCCCAGGCCAGCCTGGACCACAATTCTATTTATGCTTCCCACATAGTTGAAATGATAGGTGTGTGCCACCACACTCAGCTAGTAGTTGAAATGGGGTCATGCTAACTTTTTGATTAAGCTGGCCTCAGGCAATGATTCTGATCTCCAGCTCCTTAGTAGCTGGCATTGCAGGTGTGAGCCACTATGCCCAGCTCTTTTTTTTTTTTTTTTTTTTGTGGTTGTACTCGGGGTTGAACTCAGGACCTCATGCTTAACTAGGCAGGCACTCTACCACTTGAACCACTCCGCCAGTCCCCGCTCTTTTTTTTAAATTATCATACATTAATGAGAGGATTTCATTATGGTAATTCCTTGAACATTTTTACCTCCTCCATTATATTTCCATTGCTCCTTTCCTCCTTACTGACCTCCCCACCATTTTGGTTTTTTTTGGCAGTACTGAGGCTTGAACAGAGGGCCTCACACTTGCTAGGCAGGTACTTTCTCACTTGAACCACTCCTCCAGCCTCCGCCATTTTTTTTTTTTAAAGACAGGGTCTCATTATGTAGCCCTGTCTGGCCTCAAACTTTTTTTTTTTTTTGTGGTACTAGGGCTTGAACTCAGGGCCTTCACTTTGAGCCACTCCACCAGCCCAATTTTTTGTGACAGGGTTTTTCAAGATAGGGTCTCTTGAACTATTTGCCTGGGCTGGCTTTGAACCTTCATTCTCCTCATCTCTGACTCCTGAATAACTAGGATTACAGGTGTGAGCCACCAGCGCCCGGAAAAATCTCATATCTTTTTTTTTTTCCCTTCCTGTATAGGGGTTTGAACTCAGGCTCTTGTGCCTCTTGAGCCACTTGAGCCACTCCACCAGCCCCCTGCCTCAAACTCTTGATCCTCCTGCCTCTGCCTCCTTAGTGCTGAGATTACAGACCTGTGCTCTAAGCCTGTCCAGCCCATATGACTTCTGAGCCTCAGTTTTATATATAAAATATCCCCATTACAAGAGTGAAAAAAATTAAATTATAAAGATGTAAAATGTTTAAATTATAAAGATCTCTCTCTCTCTCTCTAAATATATATATATAATTTATAATATATAAATATATATATATAATTTGTAATGGTTAACACCAAGTAAGTACCTCATAAATGGTAGCAATTACTACATACAGGCTGAGCAGTGAGTAGTCTAGAGGGTGAGGCAGGGTAGGCATCAAGGTATTAAGATCTGTTGTACCCCCTCTAGGTGTTCTCTCAAGGCAACAAAATCTAGGTGTGAAACTAACGCCTGGGGTTCTAGCTCAGGTATAGATACCCTGAAATAGCACAAGGCAGGCAGGAGCCCCAAGAAGCCAGGTGCAGTGAGGTTGAAACTTTTTTTTTTGGTGGGACTGGGTTTGAACATAAGAGCTTCACACTGGCAAAAGGTACTCTATCACTTGAATCACTCCTCCAGTCCATTTTGCTCTGGTTATTTTGTTGATGGGGTCTTGGGAACTATTTGTCAAGGTTGGTCTCAAACTGTCATCTTCCCAATCTCAGCCTCCTAGGATCCTATAATCCTAGGATTATAGGTGTGAGTCACCAGAGCCCAGAAGGTTTAAGCCTTTTTATAAATGGGAAACAGCATGAAAGGCTGAATGGGAGTAAGGATAATGCATCAGACCAAACAAATGAGGGTTAGTGAAGATGATGATGTACATTTCTCCATTGCCCATGAACTTTAAGTTACCTTGATAAAGCTCAGAGGGGAAAGCACATCCATGAAGAAACTGCTCCATGGGTCTTCAAAGGCAGTGTCAGAAAGGAGGCGTATAATTCCAGAGTTCATTTCCTGCAAACTGACCATCCCAAGTCAGAGAATCATCCCCTGGCTTGAATGTGCCAGAGAATGTGCCCCTGCCACATACATTCAATACTGTACTCATCAGAATTTCAAGCCCTGGGTTCTGATGTCCACAGTTTCTCCCTCCCCTGGCTATCCGGCTGTTGATCTCCAACCCATTCCCATTACCAACCCAAGACAAGAGACATGAGACTGGCCCCAATGAGGATAAGTGTTCCTCATCTTTAGACTCCCAAACAAAGGAGGACAGGTCACAGCATTCTCCGCAGGGAAGAGATAAAGGGGCCCTATAGATACCTACCCAATGACATATATGTCCTTATTTTGGTTCGGGTTATTGAGGTGAAGTAGGTCACTCAGATCTAGAGGGGGAGCTGCTGAGGCCACATTCCATGTTACAACATGTATGCTGTGGGAGGGATGCAAAGAGAAGTCATGGAAAAAGGAGGCTAAGACCTTGTCCAGATAAAGGACAGGGTCTAAGCCTGCTAACGGCTGACACTTCTGTGACAGTGGGATATATCTGTATCTGGTGGTAGAAAAGGAAGCAATGAACTCTAAGTCCTTCATCTTCACTTTTGTCCCCTGAAGCAGGAATCTCTACCTTCGATTGGCTCCTTCATGCAGGCCCGTAGCTGCCCACACCTGGAAGCACTTGGTGCTTCTGACACCAGCAGAGCTGCCAAAGGGAATCCGGGGTAGGCAGAGGAAGAGATGATGGGCTGAATAGCAAGGAATTTATTAACCCATCAGCTTCTCCAGCTATCCATATCTCAGCAGCAGTCTATGAATCACTCCACAACTTCTTATCCCCACTTCTCAACCTTACAGTTCCTAAGTCCTCCAGGAAAAAACTAGATTGCACCTTCAGAGAGGTCTCAGAATTATAAGGACAGGGAAATTTCAAAAATAACAGAGATAACACCATCACATTCCCTTCTTCACTCCTATATAGCAGATCCCTGGAGCACAATAAATTCTGCCAAACCCTTCAGGGAGCCTAAGGAGAAGCTTCTAAGTAACAGGTTTCTCCATGGCCCTCTCAAGAGTCTACTCTCTACTGGGAAAAGTCACCAGCGGAATAACATTCTCTCTCTCAGTTCCACACAAGTCCCAGGGATTCAGCAGCTCTCAATAACACTATATTCCATGAGCAGTTCAGAAAGCAAGAGACTTGTAGATTCCTTAAATGAATAAAGTAACACTTCAAGGAATCCAAGACCATGCTGAGTACAGAGCAATCAGGAGCTACAAATCCTGCATGGAGGAAGAACAGCCAACAAGCCTCCGTTGAGTTTCAGGAACACGATGAGGAGGTGCGAAGCACCTACAGTAGCTGAAGATCCATAATGGGAAGGTGGGTTAAAGGGGAGATATCAGATTATTCTAAAACATCTCTTCTACACCAGACCCTTTTCTTAGAGGTCCATGTCCTAAAAAACATGACTTGAAGAAATTCTTGGCTAGTTTAAAGCAACATCCTGCCCCTCCCTACGAACATAAACAAAATACAAAAGCCTCTCAGGAACCCTGGGAGATTATATGATTCCATTTGCTTAAGATCTCCCCCTGCTGTCCAACAAAGGATTAAGACTCCTTGTTTTCCCAGGCACTTGCTCTAAGCGGATGGAAAACAAGTTGGGATTTCTTGTCCCCACTCTTCAGGTTCAACGATTAGCAGCAAATCCACGCATCGTGACTTACACTAAATTGGTGATTAGCGTTGTACCTCGTGAAAGAGCAGGCATGAGACCAGGCTTCACTTCACTAAAGGATCTTAACCTAAATCTGATTTCGGATTTCCGGAGGTCATAACAGGATCAAGCAGATCCCATTGTGTGTGTGTGCTGATCAAATGTAGGACAAGGTTTCTATTCTAGCGTTAAGGGGTGACTGCCTTATGTCTTTAATAGCCCAACACAACTGTCTTCTCCAGAAACCAATTGGAAAACCTGCTCCGGGTGACCTAAGTTTAGAGAAGGTGCGGGGCTCAAGACCAACGCACTCCACTGGACGCTGGCCAGGCAGAACCTGGGAGAGTCTGCAAACCAGGGGCAAGTATGCATGAGGCCTTGCACTTTCCCTTCTGGTGTCGTTCTGTCCCTAGGCCCTCATTCTAGGTTGGGTTGGAGGCAGCGATCCGCCAGGAGCCGACCGGCCTGCTGTAGGCGTCCTCCTCACCTGAGTGTATTGCGTTTGGTTCCGTTCGGCTTCCACTGGTTCTCAGATGCCATCGACCCCACCTGACGGCCCGGCAGGCCCACGTCTCCTTGCCTGAGCCGGTGCAGCCCCTCGGGCGCAGGTCTCCAACGCCAGGCTCTCTCTGGCTTGTTTTTCTTCCGGATTCTGACAGCCCGCCTCGGCTTCCGTAAGAGGCGGATCTTCCTACGTCCAGGGCTCTGAGTGGTGCGGTCCGGAAGAAGGGGTGGGACTCTCCAACAGGCGCGAAACGGTCGGCGACAGATTGGACAAGGCTCTGGGACCCGAGAATGTAAGAGGCGTGTCCTCCCTGTCTTCAGAACTCCGAACCGCACCGCCTGGGCCGGCGTGCTGGAGGCGGGGAGCCCCGGACGCTCCGCCGGCCCTGCGTGAGGACGGCGCGGGGATGTAGACTTCCGGCGGAAGTCGTCACGCCAGCGCGAGCTTCCGCGCGCTGCCTCAATCACCCTGGGGACAGTTCTGAGAGCGCTGTCTTCCCTCCCGCCTACCTCCGCCCATTGACCCAGGAGGCAGACGGGGGTGGGGACACACTGCGTAGCCCCTGTCCAGCCCGTGACCCGGTCTTCCCCCAACTACAGGTAATTTCCTTATCCACTGCACCCTCACGTTTGTGATGGAGCGCCTGGATTCTCAGTTATTTTCTCTCCCTTTCAAGTGGCTTTCGCCTTTCGAACTCGTTTTACCTATTACACTTGGGACTTTTTTTGGGAGGTGGGGTGTTCTAGGACTCTTGGAAAATTAGTCATAGATAAACGAAAAATAAGCCACTGCTTCTGTTTGGTTTGTATTTAAGACTAAGCCTGAAATGAAGATGTTTTACTTTGCCAAAGATTCACTATGACTTCAAGTTTTTGGTTCCTAATCTTTTTGCGGGGTGGAGCTGTAATGCATGAGATTCTTTTGAAAGCCACGCATGAGATTCTTTTGAAATGCACGCAATTTTACAAATAAACTTCATGAGGTTCACATACCCAGAAGCTAGGTTAAAGACTCCTTTAGTGTGGCACGGTGGGGTGGACCTATATAGTCCGAGTTACTCGGAGGCTGAGGCAGGTGTCTCCCGTAAGCCCCGTAAGCTCGGGGGTTCCAGGCCAGCCTGGACAACATGAGACCCTGTCCGGGAAAAACAAAAAACAAACCCACCACTGCAAACATTTTTTTTTTTTTTTGGTGGTACTGGGGTTTGAACTCAGGGCCTCACTTGCTAGGCAGGTGCTCTACCTCTTGAGCCACTCCACCAGCCCTTTTTTATGTTGGGTATTTTTGGGATAGGGTCTCACAAACTATTTGCCTGGGCTGGCTTGGAACCGTGATCCTACTGATCTCTGCCTCCTGAGAAGCTAGGATTACAGGCGTGATCCGAGCTACTTTGACCCTCCTACTTTGAATAAATGTCTTGCTTGGTAGGGGAGATGTGAAGAGGAAGGAGACAAAAGCAAAAATGAAATACTACTGGTAGAAAATGGCTAAATTACATTCATATGTGTAATGTTGCATAAATAAATTGACAAAAGGAATATTTTTCCGGCTTCATTTTGTTTTTTTACTATTTTTATTAGCATACATTAATAGTACAAGGGGGTTTCATTGTTATAATTTCATATATGTGTACAGTGTACTTTGAACAAGTTCACCCCCTCTGTTATACAAAGGGAATATTTTAATTTGTGAAAATTCACTTGCAAAAAGTTTCAGAGACACCATTGCACCTTTTCCTAATCTTGCCTTGGTAAAATTGGGGAATTTGAGGATATCTAAGTTGTAAAATGGACAGAAGGACATCATCAATAAGCTGGACTCCAAAAACTCTGTCTAGGATTTTATTAGACTGCTTTTTCCCAATATACCTGTATTGGAAGATTGAGACAAAAGGCACAAACTCACATTAAATAAACAAGGTAATCTAATCAGTTCTACAAAGTGTAGTTTGTAAAAGAAGTAGCACTAGGAGCCAACCAAAATAAGTCAGGGAGTCCCAGTAGGGGCTGTAAAAGTTGAACTTGGGAAGATATATATGTGTCCACAATACTGACCCTGTCCCTGACCTCTCTTCATGAGAAGGCCAGAGCCCAGCAGCCCTGATGCAGAGGCACTGCTGCTTTCAGTTGGGACTAAGTCCCTGGGAATCTAATGGAAGCAGCTGGTCTAAAAGGGCATGACATACCCTCAGGGAAGCTGAGCCTTTGATCACAGACCCCTCTGAGTGCTAGTCAGTTTGGAGTGGGTAAGGAGGGAAGGGGGTACTTAAAAGAAGCCAACACTGTTGCCCAGCAGCAACACCATCCATGGGGATGGCATAGACCAGGGACATCCCTCCTTTATGTTTACATGGGGAGGAGCCCCAGATCTCAGAAAATTCTAGCTCACCTCATTTAGATGCTTTCAAATGTGGGCAATAGGTGGAGGCAGGAGGAGCCAGAGAACAGGCAGATAAAGAGTGAGCCCCCAATAAAGCTGACATGATATGTGTGGATCTCAAAGAAGAGCTGAAGGAAGATGAACATCTGCTGACCCTCACACCACACAAACAACTGTCTGAGTATCAGTTTCTCCCAAGGTAACTCACATCTGGACTTCACCTACTTGATGAATGAAGAAGGAAAATCTTTAAGCACAAATATAATTAATGGGTAATACAGAGCTTGTAGAAAAACAATTACATATTTCTCCAGTAGGAATACTTCTCCAACTTTCCCAGTCCAATACATACTACCAGCAGTTGAGATATTAATTACCGACCAAAATGCCCCAAGTCCATCAATAAAGACCCCCCCCCACCACCAAGATAAGGAGACTAGTAGAGAGGAAGGTGTCTGTAACAGAACATCTGATCCCAAAGGGACCTCAATGAAGGTCAGAGCTAACCATGCCGAGAGGCCCAAATCTGTCCATCCTTGCCCCATTGAGAACCACAGGAAAGCATCCAGTCAGGTTGTCACAGGTGTAATCCTGTGAAACACTCCCTTATTGCACTTATAAATGAGTAAGGCAAACAAACTGATAGCAACCTAAGGATAAATTATCCCATCCCATTTCTTGCTCCCCTAACAGATATTTGGTCCCTCTCATTAGCAGAGGCACCCAGGCTATAGCATGGGCTTTGATCACTGCATACTCAAACCAACTAACTTCATAAGGTTTGGGAAATGTCAGGTGTCAACACAGCTATTTCAGATTCTCCCACCAGGAAGGCGTACTCAGGTTCTGCTGAGCTGTAGGAACCGTGAAGCACTTGGCAGCTTTTATACCCCTGGAGCTTGTACTTCTTCACCAGCTTACTTTGGTAGAGTTCTATACTACCATCACTTTGCTTTTGATTGTCCAGGACAGAACTCAGCATGAGGGCAGGACGAGCTGAGTTCATGATCCACAAATTCCTTTCCAGTGATTGGAGACAAGAGGGTACGTGTTCTGCTGGGGAAAAAAAGCTTTTTGCATGCTAATTTTTTACAGCATGAAAAGATGAGGACTCTTACATCCTAATCAGCATCAAAGACAGAGGACAGGGATCTATGAAAGCATAGAGAAAAGAGGATTATTGCTGAGTGGCAGCACCAGCCCAAAAAGGAAGAGGAGTGTGGACATACAGAGCTCCTCAGGGGTTGGATAGATTTGTATCTATGGGGCAAACTCAATTCTGAGGACCATACTTGACAATTCCCCCCTCCCCGTAGGTGGAGAGGTTACCAGGGTGTTTTATAGATTAGAGAGATTCAAACGGAGTGGGCAACAGGAGGGCCAAGAAGTCACAGTTCTTTCTAGGAATAGTGACCAGATATGCAATGACTGGGCAAATATATATTATTTGCTCGATTTCCTTAAACAAAGACTGACTGGGCCTTAATTATCCTCCTGGTGCTTAGACCACTCTTACCAACAGGAATACTAGGAATAGAAGTCAGAGTTAAGAAGCTACATTCCTGTTGTGTGGAAGTGGGGGGAAAAACTGTATTTCCAACTCATCCTCTCTCCCCAAGTGAGCACTCAAAATTGCAAAGATCTGTCCAGGAAGCAAAATACCTCAGTTTGTCCCAAGGTTGAAAACAAATTAACTTAAATCACCACATCACAAAAGGCAGCTATTTTGAAAAGACTAAAAATGTCACTTGGAAATAAAGGTTGGGGGGTACACATAGAAATGGGTCAGAACACAATGGAGAGAGAGAGAGAGAGGAGCTGTAAATACAGCAACCTACACACCACATATCTCAGAGGAGCAGGCTCCCGCACATGGTCTTTGTAATATCAGACGGTCTGTTTGTTCACAATATTAAAGGGCATCTAGAATTAGCTACAGTAAAGGATTGAAAGTTGCCTGAAGAATGGGCACAGAGAGGCTGCGTCCGAAGATGGCCTGTCACTCAAGAGGGTGGAGCTGCTGGGCCTTCCTGTTGACCACTGTCTTGCAAAACTAGAAGAGAAATACAATTATTAAGGAAGCAACAGAGGAAAACAAAAGCACACTGTAAATCATCTTGAGTGGGGAATTTTCAAAAGGAGGAAGGATGCCAGTTGATGGACAGGGGCTTGGTGGGGAGATGGTGCTAAAGCCTCAGCAATGATTGGGAAGCTGGGATCCACTTAATCTTACCCTTCTAGCTCCAGAAGCTGCTTTAAGAACATGGGGTAGCCAGAGCACACAGAGGTATCACTGCTGGTGAGACCATAGGTCTCCTTAGCCTCTTGGTACGAGAGGACAGACAGTTTTTTATTTGATCAAATAATTTTCTCTAAAAGCCAAATTGGGAGTAGGGCCAAGCCAGGTTTTTCATTCCATTATCAAGAATACTCTGAGCTGCTGGAATAACATGAGTTCACTACAGCAGGCACTAGGGAACTAGCATTGGGAACTAATAGAAGGAAAGGCCTTGGAGAAGAGTGACAATGTGAAACAAGGGATATCCTGTCCTGGTCCTATGACGTGAGCAGAAACACTCTCCAAGTATCTCAAAGATCCTACCTCTGCTGAGGACAGCTACTTAGTATGACATCAGGGGGTATAAAGAAAGAAATGAGCACCAGACCTAACAATGAATGCTAAGAAAAGCTGTCTTGCCAGTGAGTCTTCCAAGGGAAGGGCAGGGAAGAGCTCCTGGCTCTTGCACGAGGAGTACAGGAAGTGCCCCAACATGCCAGCTTCATGTTGCAAGATGGCTCACGTTGCAAGAGGGGAAAAGTGATTGTTACCATGAACTTTGCTTCCACCATACTCCACCCTCTCTTCTTACCACCTGTCCATGTCTATTTGGGTGATTCTTTATAAAACATGCTCCTGAAATGTCCTAATAGCCATAATCTCTTTCCATGGAAACCCAAGAACTCTCTAACATGGCAGTCATCATTACTAGAGAGAAGGATGAGGAATGAAGTGGGTTTTCTGATTCCATAGTGAGCTGCTTTGAGAAGAAAGCTGATTTTAGCTTCTATGACATGCACAATGCAAAAGAGATTCAGTACATACAGTGCAGAAGGGGGAAGGGTGGCTTTAGTCATCTGCTGTCATTCCTTTCACCGGGTCCTTTTGTCTCATCTGGAACAGAAAAAGCAGGGAAAACTGAAAGCTCTTGCCGCTGATGGAACGCTACCACAGATATATCCCACTTTCTTAATTCTGGTAATAGATAGGGTGGAACATTTTTTGTACACAAAGCAAAAATTTGGAAGGATAGAAATCTGCATACATATAGCTGAAGCCATACCATTTATAGGTCTGTCACTGGTCCCACCACCCAAGACCACTTAGTAATTTACTAATCCAAAGACAAGTCCTGTTTTTCACTGCTTTTAGTGAGATGTAACTTCCTATCAATGAATGTGACAGCTTCACCAGCTGTCAGAGAGGAGGTCCTTCCCAGAGAATGCCAGTAAAATAATTTGTTTCATTCTTATAGTGAAATGTCCTAAGGCATTTCCTGTTTTCTGCGGACTATATGACATGAGAGATTTATCTGATATTTGTGATGTTCTTCAGATCCAGTGAATGTAGACTTTATATATTGTTGAAGAACATGAAAGAAACTCTAATCTTACTTTGTTTTGGTGGTACTGGGGTTTGAACTTGGCCTTGCACTTGCTTTTTTTTTTATTGAGACGGGTCTCACTATGTAACCCACTTGGGCTACATAGTGCTAGGATTATAGGTGTATTTTGTTTTAATAGTGGTTGCCACTAATGAGTAAGGCTGGATATTGGATGAATGCGTTTTTGTTTTTTTTTTGTGGCACTGGGGTTTGAACTCAGGACCTCACACTTGCTAGGCAGGTGCTCTTACTGCTTGAGCCACTCTGCCAGACCTTTTTTTTTTTTTTGAGATAGGATCTCCTCAACTATTTGCCTGGGGCTGGCTTTGACGACCTGTGATCCTCCAGATCGCTGCCTCCTGAATTATAGGATTAAGCCACTGGTGCCCAGCTGAATAGGACTTTTGTTTATATATTCATCTGTTATTTTATTTGGACTTCTATTTTTAATATTTTTCTGTATCTTTTGAAAAAAAATTTTTTTAAGAACTGGGGTTTGAACTCAGGGCTTGGCACTTGCTATCCAGGCATTCTATACCCATTTATCATTAAATATGAAATATTCCTTTGATTTGAAAAAAATAATAGTGCAAGTATCAGTTTCAATATCCAGTTTATGATATCATAATATAGTTTGCAAGATGTTACCATTGGTATAAATTAGGTAAAAGGTAAACAAATCTTTCTGCATCATTTCTTGTAACTGCACATGAATCTTATTGTTATCTCAAAATAAGAAGTTCAATAAAGAAAATAAAATTTGTAAAAATAATCAGTTTAAGGCACTGAAACGTAGTCTCAAACCAAGCCAGGCACTGGTGGCTCACACCTATAATCCTAGCTAGTTGGGAGGTTAAAATGGGAAGGATTACAGTTCAAGGCCAGCCCAGACAAATAGTTTGAGAGACCCCCATCTGTAAAACAACTATAGCAAGCAGGTACCAGTGGCTTATTCCTGTAATCCTAGCTACTCAGGAGGCAGAGATCAGGAGGATCACAGTTCAAAGCCAGCCCCTAGCAAATCGTTTGAAGACACTATCTTGAAAAAAAACCCAACACAAAAAAGGGCTGGCTCAAGCGTTAAAAGTGCCTGCCTAGCAAGAATGAGACCCTGAGCTAAACCCCAGAGCTCCCCACAACCCACCAAAAAAAAAAAGCAAAATGGACTGGAGATGTGGCTTAAGTGGTAGAGTACCTGCTTTGCAAGTGTGAAGCCCTGAGTTCACGCCCTAGTTCCACCCAAAAAAAACACTGAGTGTACAAAGATTTTTATCACAGTGAGAACCTAGAAAAAAACATTAAGGAAAATCCAACATAGGATAATGACAGAATACAAAACAACATATTTTAAAATTATAAGCATGTTATGTAAAGACAGTTTTGGGCTGGAGTGTGGCTTAGTGGTACAACACAGGCTTAGAATGTTGCATCCTGGGTTCAATCCCTAGCACCTCCCCCCCCACAAAGATGGTTTTTTTGTTTTGTTTTAACGGGAAACACATCACTATAATGTTCAGGGAAAAAAGTAAGATAACCACTCAATAGATGCAATACAATCATAACTAAGTGAAAATGTGTAGAAAGACTTAGAAAATGTATAATAATGTTTATAGTAGTAGTTATCTTTAGGTTTTGTTTGTTTGTTTGTTTCTAATGAAAGAAGATCTTATGCTGTAGGTCTAGAACTCCCTGAGTAGCCTAGATTGGCCTCAAACTTGTGATCCTCTTGCCTCAGTATTCTCAGCGCTGGGATTACAGGTGTATGCCACCATGCCTGGCTTCAGTATATTTTAAAAAATGTACAATGCTTATATATCATGACAATATTGAAAAACTATATTTAAAAATAAAACAACACTTTATTCTGGGACGCTGGCAATGTTCCATGTGATCGGCCCTGGAGTCAATCACCATAGTAAGAGGAAATTAAGACTCTGGGAGGGAAGTGTCACCCCCACATGCAGGGGCTCATAAGTCTCAAAAGCTCTAATCCTGCCTCTGCAGGTACCATAGGAATCTTTGGTTGCTATTTCTGTTGGTCCAGCAGGTAAGCTTGGTACCAAGGGGTTTCTCCTTATCAACCTAACCCTCAGAACCTATATCCACTGTGATCCTAAACTGGGGTGTGGTGTCCTGCCAGACACTTCACTACTGAGGAAGACTAGTGCAGTATCTGGGTAACCTGTCCAGAGTTTAAGATTTAAATTAAAACTGATGGGGACCCAGCAGTCAGAAAGCCGTAGGATGGAGCAAGGGCCTTCTGTATCAAGAGTCAGGTGACAAGAGCCGGGTATTGGTGGCTCATGCCTATAATCCTAGCTACTTAGGAGGCAGGGATTAGAGGATCGAAGTTCAAGGCCAGCCTGGACAAATAGTTCACAAGATCCTATCTTGAAAATACCCAATGCAAAAAGGGGCTGGCAAAATAGCTCAAGGTAGAGTGCTTGCCTAGCAAGTGTGAAGCCCTGAGTTCAAACTCTAGTACTTCTAAAATTAAAACAAGAAAATGCTGCAGAATCTTACTCATGGACACAGTATCTTTGCTAATTTTTAACCAATATTCTAGAAAGTCTAATAAATAGGAAAACAAGTTTTTATTTATTTATTTTAGTAAAAGTAACCATAAAGTTTATTAGGAGAGGAACAGTGGGGAGAAAAGAGAGAGAGAAGCATTTCCTGTTCCCCACACAGGAAATGGGAACAAAGACTCAGAAAACAAGTTTTTAAAAATGAGTTATCTCTTACCAGTTTTGTCTACAGAATTAATGGCCAAAGGCCCAGGAGGTAATTGACTTCTCTGAGTCTCACTTTCTCTAGCTATAAAATGGAACTAGTGCCTATAGTTAAAGGTTGTCTTGAGGGCTAGTGGAGTGGGTCAAGTGATAGAGCACCTGCCTAGAAAGTGTGAGGCCCTGAGTTCAAACTCAAGTACTGCAAAAAAAAAAAGGTTGTCATGAGCATTTGATAACATAATACATATAAAATTCTTACTATACATGGCAGGCATACAATAAGATCTCAATAAGAGTTAGATTATATTACAGAGAAAAGTATTTTTATTACTGCTATATTTAGGAGATAGTAAATCCCCCATTATAGGGTGTAATCAAGGACAGGCTAGTGGGGAAAGTGCAGAGAGAACTCAAGCACTGGACATATAATTGGACTAAATGATCTTTAAGGAACCTCCTTCCACTTTTGGGACTATGAACATCCTAAGAGAGCAAGGGCATGGGGGAGACAGAAGAAAGGGAGGAAGGAGCAAGAAAGAAGAGAAGGGAAGGAAGGTGAGAATGAGACTGATCTATGGGTAAATAGTTCCTGACATTTTTCTTTTTTGACGGAACTGGGGGTTGAACTCAGGGCCTTGTGCTTGCTATACAGGCAGACACTCTACCATCTACCACTTGAGGCATGCCTCCAACCCATGACATTTTTCTTTTTAGGGCAAAGAACTAATCTTTTGATCCCTTGTTTCTTAATTCGTTGACCTCACCCAAAAAGGATGGGTACATTCCCCGCAGGGACTAGATTTGCAACAGGAAAACAAAGAATCAGTTTGTTAAAAACTCATAAAAAATCTACCTACACTAGACTATTATGTATTGGTTTAAAGACTGACAGTCATAGGGCTGGTGAGTGGCTCAAGTGGTAGAGCACTTGCCTAGCAAGTGTGAGACCCTGAGTTCAAACTCTAGTATATCAAAAAAAAGATACAAAACCATGAAGACAACAAGAGCAGAGGTGACACAGCAGATGAGAGATGATAATTTTCTGGAAAATGAAAAAAGGATGGGTGAGTTTTAAATAATTCACAGAGTGCCTATAAAGATGAGGCGCTAAGAAGGAACAGATTCTGCTGTGGATTCTCCAAAGGCTCAGGAACTAGAGGCACCAGGTACCTCTTCAGGTGGGAGTACTCAGTGGAGTTGAAAACAAGTGACTTCTTTGAAAGTCTGAGTAGAGAATGGTTAGAACCTGATGGTCTCTTCCATTGCTCTCCAAGTCATCCCACCACCCTTCCCTGCCTTCCTGCCATAGCAAAACCCAGTAGGTTCACTCTGTGGCGACACTGAGAGAAGCCTGGACTTGGGACCTCAGGCTCAGCTAGGTACAAAGTGGCCATGGTGCAGAGTATGAGGGGATTAAGTTAAAGCCAACAGATGGCATGAGCCTGCCAGGATCCCTCCTCAGTTTGGCTCTCGAAATGTTGGCTCCCCAAGCAAGAGACTTGTGAGGCAAAAAGAGCAGCCCCTCCAAAAAGACTGAGACTCCCTGTTTTAACTACTTGTACTCTACAATGAAGCCCATGCATTGATTTGAGGAAAGCCCCTAATAAGAAACAGAATCACACATGATTTGAACAAAAGAGTACAGTGGAAACAGTATTCAGGGAGTAAAGAGAAACCTCAAAAAAACAAAAACTATCACATCTGTAATCCCAGCTACTTGGGAGTCTGAGATCAGGAGGATTATGGTTCAAGGCCAGCCCGGGGAAATAGTTTGTAAGACTCCATCTCCAAGGTAACCAGAGCAAAATGGACTGGAGGTGTGGCTCAAGCCATAGAGGGCCTGCTTTGCAACCACAAAGTCCTGAGATCAAACCCTAGCACCACTGGAAAAAAAAAAAAGGAACAAGCAAACTACAGAGCTCAGTTAGGAAAAAGAATGACAAAGTCACAGTCATAAACAATGAAAAACTTAACCAAAACCTGTGATACTGAAGGATGAAAGGAAGTATGTATGGTGAGTAGGGCAATAGAGTAAAATCCCCCATGGGAGGAAGCCAACAGTCAATATTTAAAGTTGAGAAATTAAGAGTTAACGAGTATAAGCATATGATTTGGAAATATGGAGGTAACTAACTAAAGAAACTGTGCGAATTGCAAGGTGCTGCCTCTGGGGGTAGCCAAAGAAGACAGCTTCTTCTCCATAAGCCTTGGGTACTATCTGAATTGTAAAATTATAAAAATAAAACTGATTAAAAATATATATGTATATATAAATGTATATAGGTATATATAAATTTTTTTCTGTGTGGTGCTAGGGATGGAACCAGAGCTTCACACATGCTAAGCAAGTGCTCTACCACCAAGCTATATCCCCTAGCTAACAACTGTATATATATATATATATAAACTGCTTGAGTGTGATAATCATAATCCTATATCTTTTTTTTTTTTATGTGGGACTGGGGCTTGAACTCAAGGCCTACACTTAGAGCCGCTCCACCAGCCCTTTTCTGTGAAGGGTTTTTTTCTAGTTAGGGTACCGAGGAACTATTTTCCTGGGCTGGCTTCAAACCTTGATCCCCTGATCTCTGTCTCCTGAGCAGCTAGGATTACAGGTGTGAGCCACTGGCGCCTGGCAATCCTAAATCATTTTTTACTCTTGAGTCAATGTAATTAATAAATAAATAAATATATATATATATATATATATTTTTTTTTTTTTTTTTGTGTACTGGGGTTTGAACTCAGGGCCTACACTTTGAGGCGTGAGCTACCCGTGCCCAGCTCCAACAACTGTATTTTTAGAGAAAAAAACCAAGCAAGCCAGGGGCATAGTTAGCACACAAAGATTTTGCAGAATTGCTAAAGAGGTTAAAACCAAATAACATGGATTTAGTTTTGCTTTCTCTTCAGTGCAAATTAATTTTAAAATTGTTTTTCCAAAGAGGTTCCTACATTGGTAGCTGTCCTGGAGGATAGTGGTCATATAAGCTTTTGGCACGATCCTCCATGAAATGGGAAAACATTTAAAGGGGAGGGGGGGACATTAAAAAAACTAACTCCCTAATTCTCAGTTTTTTGGGGGTAGTTTGAATGCAGATCCTCCTGCTTGCCAGGTAGATTCTACTACTTGAGCTGCACCCCGCCTGACTCCCAAGTTTTGGATCTGAGGTAGGCAGATCCAGTAGACCTTCTGGAGAGTTCTTCCAGCACCAAGAATTTGAGCCTTACTTCTTTTTTTGGTGCTAGGGATTGAACCCAGGACCCCACCCATGCTAAGAGCTCTAAGAATTTTAATTCTTCACAAGAGCATAAGGAAAACAGCAAATACTTTCATGAAACCCAGTGTACTCCTGACTTTGTCAGACAGAAGATCATTGAAGCTCTCTGCCAAACCCCAGTGAAAGTCTCTATATTGGTCCATTTGGTAACAAGACAAGGATGACCAAAAGACTCTAGCCTCTCTCTTAGACAGAATCGCCAGAGCCCTGAACGTTCAAGTGTACCACTTCCTGAGGATCCTTAGCAAAAGAACCAAGGACTGTGTTCAAAATCCTGCCACTTGACTGCCAAATGTAGCTGAATGAATAACCAAAACATCTGCCTTCAATAGGAACTAACTCAGCACACCACTTACCAGTGAGTCAGCCCAGGAAAAGTGTCATCCTGGATGGTAAAAACAGTTCCCTGTGGGGCTCCAGAGGAAGGAAGGACTTTGGGGCTCAAGTTCCAGCCTAGACCAGCACTGCAAAATGCAGAGCATTTGTGTGGCATGGTCACCAGAAGCACCTCAAACCTGGCCCTCTCCTGAGGCCCTGCAACAGAGCTACTGTAAAGCAAGGCCTGTGTAGGACACTCAGAGTCTAAGACAACCCCAACCTGGAGCAAGGAGGGAGAAATGGATGGTGGTTCTTAAGAAACAGAACTAACTGCCTTATTTTTAGCCCCTAAAGGGTAAGAGGGCTCCTGAGGGCACGTAGAGGTAGGAGGTAAGGTGAGTGACTCAAGAGCAGTGGCAGTGGGCCAGACAGTGCTAGGCTGTTAGGTTGACTCTATCACTTGCAGGCCCTGGCACAATTGAGTTCTCAGAGCCTCCCATTCCTCAGTTGAGGGTGCTTCCTCACAGGTGCTATGACAACTACCCAAGACAGTGTATATAAAAGCTCCTAGAACAGTGCCTGTACACAGACAGTCTTCATGGTTATTCACAGACCATCTCCTCTGAGTGGACCTATGGGGGAAGCCTCCCTTAATAAGCAGGAGTGCTGGGTCTTCAGGCTCCAAAGAAGCAGATCCCTTCAGGGATTTATGCCAAGGCCAAGGAAACAAAAACATAAAACCCCCAAAGCTCCACACTCTAAAAATAGCTTGAAACAACCATTCAGAGCAATCAATTTCTGTGTGTTCTGTGGCTGTTCCTCTGTGGGTTATGTGCATAGTATCTGTGGATCAGCCCAGCCTGCCTCCCAGGGTCACCTCCAACTCCACAGTCCAGCACAATCCCCCACCTGGCTCTGAAGACTCACTGCAGTGCTGTATTACTCACTTGGCATGCAGCACAGACTGCCATATTTGTCTCTGTGCATGTGCCAAGGCCTCAGCTAGACTGCAAATTCAAGAGCACAGGCTGTTCTCTTCCTTATACTTTTCATACTGCCTGGCAGTATACCTAGCCCACAGCACAACGTGACAACATATGTTCCTAGAACTATAAGGAGATGCCCTCAGTAACATGTCCCAGCACAAACCTCCTTAATATTTATGTGTTGATGTAACAAAGAGCCTCAGAGTCCTGAGAGCCTGCTCACCTCATCCAGCTGTCTCTTTGTCTCTTCTTCCATCCTTCGAATATCATCCATTGTCAGGTCAACCCACTTATCGAGCCAACAGAACAGCTGCCTGTGAAAGTTTGTAAACAGACGCTTCTCTTGCTATAAAAAAAGGAGGGAACCAAGTTAGAATCCGGAAGGTAGAAACCACTGTTATACCCTCCTCCCCATAATCTCTAATATTCATACTTCATAGATGAAGCGGGGAGGAGTGATTTCTGGCTGGCTAATTGGTATCAGTCACAGGTCAGTAACCTTTGCCTTCACATGTCTAATTAGGTAAGGATTCAAATAGAAGGAAGCTCTCAAGAAAGAATATGTGCCTAGTTAACATCAAGGCCCTCTGCCCAAAATATTACCAAGATAGGCAGCTAGTGAGCTCCTAGTGAAGTCAAGGTCCCAAAGCAACTGCCAAATATCCTCTTGTCTCTGGTGGCTAACACCAGCTTATAACTGGCCAGCAGTTATAAAATGTGCACCAAGAGTATCTCAAAGAATTAAAAGGCTGTAAAACTCCTTAGGTGTGTCCAGTTGAGTAATTCAGGGCACTAGAGAATTTGTTTCACAGTGCCTCTTGCCTTTTGGCTTTCAGAAAAGGGAGACTATATTTTATCTGTAATTCAATCACAGCAAGTCCGTTCCTGTTTCCTTCTTTTGCCTAGGTTTCCTTCCCACTTACATGTAATGACCCTAGATAGACAGCAAGGAAAATGGGGGTCTGGGAAACCAAACTCTGAAATATTCTAATGCTTATTACACTAGGATACATGTCACATGGTCCTATGACCATGCCTCCCCAGCATCCCCAAAAGCCTCACCGTGCTCACTTACCTTATGTATAAAGTTTTCCACTTTGTTCTGCAGGCCCCACCACTTGAACTTGACAGTAACCAGTTTGTATGCACACATATATGGGCAGTCTTTCTGGTTTACAAGTTCTTGCTGCATTAGAAACATACCCGGAGGCAGGCTAGTAACTAAGAGGAAAAAGCTCAGGCAGTCCCTTAGTCTAGCCCCAGCCATTCCCTCTCCTTGGGGAAAGGCCCACCCACACAGTGCCCGACCTCCTGGTGGTAAGGGTATGAACTGCACCTTCCAGTTGGGGCCTAATGGTCCTCGGCCTGTTTTGATAGATTTAAATTTTGCTGGGTCTTCCTCTGCCTTGTAATCCTGAGAGTTGTGGAATTGGAGTTGGAGGAGAAAAGGAAAAGGAAATGAAAGAGAGGGGAGACAGAAGGAGTAAGAACAGATTTTTCATTAGAGCATCCTCATACCAGTTTTTCTTTTTTTTTTTTTTTTCATAACAGTTCTTGATGCTGCTGGCATACTGCAAACATGGGAAGATGTTGGAAACAAGATGTAGAACTGTTTACATTTGCCTCAGAGGAGAGTTCTATGCAATTTCTCTGCCAGGGTTTGTTTTCAGTTTTACCGCTATGAAAGTGTCACTAGACTGTCTGAGCAGGCACATATTTCCAGTGTCTAAGACAGATTTTTACCCAGGGTGAGCATCCAAATTGCTAGGGAAGACTTCTTAAATACAGATTTCTGGGTCACCCTACTTTAAACCCAGTGACTAAGAATGTCTGCAGGTGAAGGCAGCGCTGATTTTTTTTAAATCTCTACAGGTGTTCTGAAGTATAGCCAGAGGGCTGGTGGAGTGGCTCAAGCAGTAAGATCACCTGCCTAGCAAGCATGAGGCCTTGAGTTCAAACCCCAATGCCACCAAAAAAAAAAAAAAAAAACCAAAACTACAGCCAGAGCTCAGAAAGACTGGCTGTCATTCTTAAAATCTTACAGTCCAATCTCCATCTGGCTTGTCTTAATAAAATCATTATCAGAGGGCTGGCAGAGTGGCTCAAGTGGTAGAGCACCTGCCTAGCAAGCATGAGGCCCCGAGTTCAAACCCCAGTACTGCCAAAAAAAAAAAAAATTTGAAAATGTTCAGTATCTAGAACCTATCCTTTTATGCATTATTAGTATTTATTTTTAAATTTAAATTAATTTTAACTAATACATAAAAACAAAAATTGTACAAATTTATGGATACCATCTACTATATCTATCTATATATCTATATATAGATATATAGTGTAATGTTTAAATCAGGTTAAAAATTATCTGCCTCCTCAAACATGTATCATTTCTTTATGGCCAAAACATTCAATCTTTTTTTCTTCTAGCTTTTTGAAATATACAATACATTATCATTCTCTATATACCCTATGGTACAATAGCAAACCAGAACTTCTTACTTCTATCTAACTAAAACTTAGTTCCTACTGATCAATTCTTTCCCTTCTCTCCCTCCTCAACTTCACTGATTTACAATGCAATCAATCTGTGTTAATTCATCATAACAGTTTAATTTTTAGCTGTCCCTCTACATTAACTAATGTGTGCTCATTATTGCATCTACTTAAGAAAAATAAAGGTAAATCACACACACGCAAAGTATTTTCCAAAATTATGACTATTTATGTGTGTTTAAAAATATCTTCTCTTAGCTGAGCAGTTGCTCACACTCATAATCCTAGCTACTTGAGAATCACAGTTCAAGGCCAGCCCAAACAGTTCATGAGATTTCACCTCCCAAATAACCACAGCGAAATGGACTGGAGGTGTGGCTCAAGCAGTACAGTTCCTGCTTTGCAATCATGAAATCCTGAGTTCAAATTTCAGTCCCATCCAAAAAATACATATATCTATATCTATATCTATATCTATATCTATATCTATAACTTCCACACCACTGCGTCCCTCCACTCACACAACCAAAGATGATAATATATCCAACCATACTTTTTGCTAATACTCTGCTGAGAAATACATGGGTATTTTCAGTTTGAGAAAATTCATTTTCTACCCATTTATACTTCAGTAAAAAGTTTTTGGTATTTTTTTTTGAAACAGGGTCTTGTAACAATATAGCCCAGGCTGGCCTCCAACTCTTGATCCTCCTGCCTCCATCTCCAGAGTGTTGGAATTATAGGCTTGTACCACCACACTCAGCTCAATAAAAAGTTTTTTAAAAAAATTCATCAGCCTTTTAAGGGTGAGGGCAAGGATATTAGGCAAGGAAGCAAAAGATGCTTTCATATCTTTTTGGCTGGCCTTAAACTCCAATCCTGCCTCAGCCTCCCACGTGCTAGGATTACAGGTATGTGCCATCACACCTAGCTCGTATCTTTTTGGAAATGCAAAATTCAAAGTATCTTAAGCACACAGAGTGACTGAATTCACTTTGTATCAGACCCCTAGGATACTTATTCCCTATGGGTGGGCAGAGTTAAATTTCTGTCTTCTGATTTTGACAAGGCCTCTGTCAAAATAACAGTGAGCCACGTGCAATGGTGGGAGCCTATAGTCCCAGGTACTTGGGGGAGACCAAGGCAGGAAGATTACTTGAACCCACAAATTCAAGACCAGCCTGGGTAACATAGTGAGATCCCACCTCAAAAAAAAAGGAAAGTAATGAATAAGGGGAAATCTAACCCTTTAATTCTCTCAAAAAACACTTCCTAGGAGCACAACAATAAAGAAGCTAGACAGACGTGGACCCTCTGTCATCAAGCTATGGTCTAGCAGTGGCTGTCAGGCATCTGCTGCAATGTTCACTACTCAGAAAAGCCACCACCAACTTCTTAGAGCAGGGCCCTGTCTTTTCATATACCCTTCTGGGAACTCTGAGCAGTTCCCAGAAGGAACTGCTTATTCTAAGCACAACAGGCAGGCAATACATATTTTTTAATTACTGGGTTGAAATCTAGTGCTCTAATTTTTTAGACTAAGCATCATTTCAGCAAGGCAAAACACCCTATCCATAGCACCTATATTGTTCAATATTAACCTGCAGAAACCAAAGGGATACACAAATGTGAGCCACTGTTTTCCTATGGCATCCTCAACTCAAGAAGAGGAAACTTTTTTTTTTTTTGAGGTACTAGGGTTTGAACTCACAGCCTCAACACATGCTAGGCAGGCACTCGACCACCTGAGCCATATATCCAGCACTTTTTGCTTTAATTATTTTTTGGATAGGGTCTCACATTTTTGCCTGGGGTTGGATGGGACCACAATCCTACGTGTGCCTCCCACCACCACACAGCTTACTGGTTGAGATGGGATCTCACTAAACTTTTTTGCCTGGGCTGGCCAAACCACAATCCTTCCAATCTCTACCTTCCAAGTAGCTGGAATTAGAGGCATGCATCTCCATGCCTGGCCCTTAGACAAGGGAAATCTTAATACTAACTTTATTTTTTTTTATTCATTTATTCACATGTGCATACATTGCTTGGATCGTTTCTTTCCCCCCCCACCCCGCCCAATACTAATTTCAAAAATAAAACAAGGCACTGGATGCCATTGGCTGATGCCTATAACCCTAGCTACTCTGGAGACTGAGATGGAGAATCACAGTTCGAGGCCAGCCCATCTCCAAAATAACCAGAGCAAAATGGACTGGAGGCATGACTCAAGTGGTAGAGTGCCTTCTTTGCAGGTATGAAATCTAGTCCCACCAAAAGGAAATTTTAAAAGATAGAAAAACAAAACGGGGCTGGTGAAGTGGCTCAAATGGTAGAATGCCTGCCTTAGCAAGTGTGAGGCCCTGAGTTCAAACACTGGTATCATAAAAAAAAAACTTTTTTAAAATAAAATAAGGGAGGCAGGCATGGGAGGATTATAGTTCGAAGCCAGACTTGGCAAAAATAAAAGATCCTATCCAAAAAATAACTAAAGCAAAAAAAAGGCTAGATGTGGTTTAAGTGGTAGAGCACTTACCTAGCAAGTGCAAGGCCCTGAGTTCATACTCCAGCACTACCAAAAATAGTAAATAAAAATAAATAAAACCTGGTGTGGGTGGCTCAAACCTGTAATCCTAGCTACCTAGGAGGTTGAGATCAGGAGGATCATGGTTTGAGGACCCAGGAAAGTAGTTTGTGAGACCCCCATCTCCAAAATAACCAGAGTAAAATGGATTAGACGTGTGGCTGCTTTGCAAGCACGAAGCCCTGAGTTTAATCCCATTCCCACCAATAAATAAAATTAAAATAAAATACACAGGCAGGAATGCTGGTGTATTCCTGTAATCCTAGCTACTCAAGAGGCTAAAGCAGGAAGATTATAAATTCAGGACCAGCTCAGGCAACTTAGCAGGACCCTATTTCAAAAAAACCAAAATAACCAAACAAACAAAACATCATTTCTGCATCCCACATCTTTAAGCAGTTCCTACCTTACTAAGAACTTGGCTTCGATCTGCAATGTCTATATATATGGCTTCCACATGTTTCCAAGTCTCAGGCTCCAGTTTATGCACCTGCAGGAAGAAGGAAGACCACTTGTACATGTGCAGTTTTTGTCAGTTCTAAAGCACTCTGCTCAGAATGGACACTAGGAACAGCTCTTCCATAGCTATAGTTGTGATATTCCTACCAGGAAAGAATTAGAGGGTGGGGATGTAGCTAAGTAGGACAGCGCTTACCTAACATGCACAAGGCCCAGGATTTGTTCTTCACCACTGCGATAATACCAAAATGGAAAATTCCATACTGTCCACTTCAAAATGGAATTGTGCTAAAAATACTATATAAAATTACCTTCATGCTATGTGTAGAAGGTCTGTATCAAACATAAATGAATTTTATGTTTAAACTTGGGACCAACCCCTAGTTATTTCATTATTTCCATATATTCATATGTGAATATTCTAAATCTGAAATCTGAAATACTTCTGGTCCAAAACACTGAAGGTAAGGGATGCTCAACCTGCACAAAATTACCCAAAGGAATGGGAGACTTGGATTTTAAGTAGGCATAAACTTGAGAAGGAAATGCTCTGACTTTTCAGGTTAAGTTCCACTTTTGTAGGTTTAAAACACCCTCAGTGCTCCCCAGAACTCCTATTTTGTTTCCATTGTCCCCCCTGGAAAAGAATAAACACTCCTGGATGTGGTGCCTGCTGAGTCACATGATGCTTTTTTGACCAGGTGGTACATGTACATGTGACACAAATTCAAAGTACAACTTCCTCTTGCTTGTCCCTTAGCCTCCCTCTACTAACAGACACTGCTGCTAGAGTCTATCCACATGGAAATGTGCATAGATTTTTCCTTTCAATACAAACAGTAGCACGAATACACACTGCTTTATATCTTGCTTTTTTCATTCTGAACAATATAGTGAGGATTGTTACTATTGGCTTTTTTAAACTACAAGGTATACCACTATTTGGCTATACCACTATTTAGCTGTTTAATTCTTTTTCATTTTTTCATTCTTTGGCTGTACAATTCATTTAATGGTGTTCTACTGATGGGCTCTTATGTTGCTGGGATTTTTTAAAATGTTATTTATTTATTTATTTGGTTTTTGGTGGTACTGGAGCTTGAACTCAGGGCCTCGCACTTGCTTGACGGACACTGTGACACTTGAACCATACTCCTAGCCCCTTACTTTTTTTTTTGTGGACTGAGGTTTGAACTCAGGGCTTCATGCTTGCAAAGCACACACTCTACTGCTTGAACCATACTTCCAGACCATTTTTCTCTGGTTATTTTGGAGATGGAGTCTCACGAACTATTTGCCCAGACTGGCCTCCAACCATAATCCTCCCAATCTCAACCTTCCAAGTAGCTAGGATTATAGCAGTGAGCCACTGGCGCCTGGCTCCTTCCTATGTTATGTTTAATCTTTGGCTATACAAAGAATACTGCAATGAATCTTCTCACATAAGTCATTTCACAAATGTAAGAAAACAACTGTCTAATAAATTCCTAGGTATGGAATTGCTGAGTAAAGGATAGGTGTACTTTTACTGAAAATTGTGTTCTACAGAAGCTGCAATTTTGATGTTTTAAAAAATACTGTTCCTCTGTGCCAAGAACTGAATTTTAGATCAATCTCAGTACCACAGGAAGGTCCAGTAAGGAATCTTGGAGATCACATTTTTCAAATCAGAGGCAGGACAATCCCATCCTGGTAGGACAGCAAGGAGGAGGCCATTGCTTTCCTGGCCAGGCAAAAGAGGACCACAGACAGGGCCCTAGGGCAGGGATGAAGCTACAGGGCAGAGCCTTAAGATCCAACCCTGAGGCCTGGAACCCTATAGGGCTCTTGGGAAGTACTACTTACATTCTCTTGGGTGCCAAGATCAGGTTTGTGCCAGGTTTCAATTTTAATCAGAAAGTCTTCTTTCATGTACTCATTCTGGAAGAGGAAAAAAAATACCTTATTCTCTGGCTCGTGGCTGGAAAGTAGACATCTCCCATCACTGGGGATAACAGACAGCCTGCTAGCAGCTAACTTGACTGAGAGCCCACAATGACACCTGTATTATCCCAATTGAATCCTCATCCAGCCTGTGAGGTCTGTACAATGACCCTTTATTTTACAGATGAAGAAACTGAAGTTCAAAAGGTCCACAGAGATCATCACAGAGCTAGGCCAAAAAACAGGTTTGTCTGACTTTAGAATCCACGTATTTAAGCACTCTTCCATACCATTTTATGCACAGGATACTAATGGGTAATCAGTGGTGTGGAAAGAGCACAGGGAGACTTCCCCTCAGTCAGCCCCTTTCATGCTAATTAATGCCCCCCCACTTAGTGCCTTAAAAAAAAATTGGACCTACTCAAAGGAGGAATGCAACCTCTTATCCCCTCAGTGGGAATTAGTTTCCCAGAAAGGACAAGGCATTGAATCAGTATACTGAAGGGTGGTATGGAAGGGCAATGACAAAGGGGATGGTCATGGAAAAGAAATCTTGGCAATTTTGGCAAGGGTCAGCACTCACTGGGGTCAACAGATGCACAAGTGGGAAGGGACAGCACAATCAGGTCAACGAAACTGAAACTTCTATGCTGAGTAGGCATGACCTGAGGAAAATGGGGGAGAGCCTCAATTCATTCTGTACCCATAAATCCCAGAGCCAGGACACACCTGACAAAGCCACAAGCCAATGCAGTTAAAGCGGGGAGTTACCATGCCAATTAGCAAGTTCCTCATTAGGATTGAAAAGCTTGAGGCTCAATAACCCCAAATGTAGCACAAGGGGGAAAAAAGTATCCAAGGCATCTAGTATGGTTATGTTTTCATTTCTCTTTTTCTTATAAATCATCTGTAATTCAAACCCCCTGAAAATACTTACTGTAATAACTGCTCCAAAGGAAGGACATGGAAAGAAGAGAGAAAAAGGTTAATGAGGACAAATAAATATCTGTCCCCTACCCCCAGGGACCAAGAATAGTAAATAGTTTTCCACTTTCCATAGCTTATTCTATAGTCATTTCCAGGCTCCATCTTCAGTGTTTTTTACTTCAATGAATTTTACTCATGAAAGTCCCTAAAGACAAAATCTGGGATTTATTTAAAGTGATGCCAATACAGGATTCTTGGGATTTTTTTCTAGCAGGACAAGGAAGGGGACTGTCTCTGATCAGCTGAGGCCCTGTGGCCCATCACTCTACTGTCAGAGCACCTGAGTGCCCCCTACCTCCACCTCTACCTCCTGGGACACAGCAAGATGCTCTGAGCCAGGTATTGTCTATCTGCCTGTGGCATCCTTCCTTTTACTGTAACCAAATCTTTCATGCTCTGTACTCCTGCTCATTGTAATGTGACCCCCTCGGAAAGCACGGTTCAATTATTTATCAGAGAAAATGACTGCAGCTCTCATGTCACCGGAGAACAGAGTAGCTCTCCTCCTGACAGCAGCCTGGTTGATTCTGTTCATCTAGGAGCTATCTCAATTTCTGAGGGATACCACACTACTGTTTGGAGAGTACACAGGGCCAACAAACTTCATCACTCTGAAAGTGAAACCAAGGCTACCTGTGAAACTAAAGTGAGGAAAAGCTAAGATGTAAGAGATATAAGCCACCATGTACAGAAACAACCCAAAAGACTAATATTAATTCCCCCCCCAAACCAATGAAAAAAATGCTTAGAATGAAACACTAGATTAAGATTTTAACTAAAAAAGTCAGGCACCAGTGGCTCACACCTGCAATTCTATCTACATGGGAGGCTGAGATTTGAAAGATTATAGTGCCTGAGAACTCCAAAATAACCAGAGCAAAATGGATTGGAGGTGTGGGCTCAAGTGGTAGCGCAGCTGCTTTGCTAGAGTAAAGTCCTCAGTTCAAAACAGTCTCACAAAAAAAAAAAAAAAAAGATTTTAACTAAAAGGCATATACTGAACTAATCACCCCATTAGCAGCTAGAGAACTTCCTTTTATTTATTTATTTATTTTTATTTCTTTTATTCATATGTGCATACAATGTTTGGGGACTTCCTTTTAGGAAAAAGAAAATGATGGGTAAATATGCATCAGAGAGAAGTTCAAAGAGGCCAATTTTGCTGAAATCTTGTCACACTGTTGTGGGAACACAGCTGCACCCTAGAGTGGAGAGTCAAGCTAGCCTGGTTTGATGACACTAGCTATTAAGCTTCTACAACTAAGCATTGTATTCTAAATCCATGTTCTCTAAGAAACCCTCTCCTAGTTTGGCCTCTATAGGGACAGAATGTGCTAATCCATACACAATTGGGTCACTTAACCAAGTGGACATTTTTCACTACTGATTGGTATTTTAATTATAATTTGGTTTTCCATGTAGAAGAATTCACAAGGAAAGAATGCCCTGATTAGCGAAGGGAAAATCTGGTTTCATTTATAATTTTGTATTTCAATATGTCAGAGATTGGTGTTTGAGATTTTTATTCATTGGTATTTGTGAGACACTGAGGAACACATCCACTTAATTCTGAAAAATTGGGTTTCTGAACTCATGAGGGCAACAACCTTCCATGGCCTTTAATGCCAATCTGGGTGACTAAACAATCTCTCTAGACCTCTCCAACCTCCTTCCCCTCCAAACTTCTCTGCATTCACAGCAAACTGAAACCCTGGGTCCATGGGCAAACAGGGCCTCCAAGAAAAACTAATAAGGTGATTTAAAAGCATGACTTAGTGATACTGCATCCATCCGAGGGTTAAGGTTAGAAGGATGGATGGAAGAAGAATCAGGCATGGTTCTCTTACTCTACCCATGTTCAGCCACAGACCATTTCCAGGAAACCATCTCCCTCATGTCTCAACTCATCAGCTTCAGGTGGAGAGGGACAGAAATAAAGAGAATAGAAAGAATTGATAATGAGTAGGGTATTCCCAATGTTTTCATTCCTCTTAGAATAAGATTAGGGCTACCCAAAAAGCATGGGGGATTTGACACCATACTCCTTTATCCACCTTGCCTCAAACTTTGATCTACTTAGGCCAAGCTAAGACATTAGAACCAATAATCTCTCCTAACTGACCCCCAAGAGGAAACTGGACAGCAGCTTTCCTTTCCTGTTTCTTCTCTTATTTTAAAACAGCAGATATCTAGCTGAACAGGTTTCATTCAACATCCTCATTCTGTATGCAGGTAGATTCAGACTGTGAGGTCAGCACCACTGAAGAAAGCAGCTTTTCCTCCCCATTCACTGCCTCTACTCTACATGGAGAGTTTAGAAATTATATTTTTCTTTCTTTTATCAAGGATCAATATGTAAACTAACATGTGCTGTGTAGAAAAATGCCAGCTGTAGTACATTCTCCCAAAAGTTACACAAAGAACAGCAGCATCTCTCAGTTGGCAAGAGCTATGTACCCAGAAACTGCCCCAGGCATGGAGAAGTCCATGCTATCTATTTGCCTCATCCCTCGCAAGCTGGCTAAAAATCGCAAAGCAACTTTCTTAGCCATCAAGAAAAGTCACCTTTTGCCCTAGACCAGACACACCCTGCCATACTATTTTTTTGTTTGGTTGGTTTTTGTTTTGGCAGAGGAGAGGTAAGACAGGGTCTTACTATGTAGTCCAGGCTGGTCTGGAACTGAAGAGCCACCTGCCTAAGCATCCTGAGCGATGGGATTAGCATACTGACTTCTAAAAAACATGTGTGCATGCCTCATTTCCAAGAATTTAACAGCTTCCTGTCCCATACTTAAGGAATAGTGGAGACTGCATTTATAGCTACAGCAGTAAAACTGTAATTATGACATACCTCAAGCCGCACCAAAGACTCTATCTCCTGATATAAGGTCCCTGAACCTGTGTAGGGTCATGGAGGAGTACAGGCAGCAATGACTTTAGTCATTCCCAAAGTCCACAAGAATAAGGATCACTTGGGTCATATAAGGATTACATCTTCGTCAGATACAATCTAGGGAGTGCCAGGTTCCAATAAATAAAGCAAGTGAAGCAATATAGGTAAGCAGAGGCTGGAAGGAGGACCCCAGAGCTAGACTGTGCCAACAAATGAATGTTAGCAGGAAGGTCACCCACCATGGAGACAAGTTCCAAGGGACCTCTAAGACGTCTCTGGAATATGAATCAGTGTCAGTTTGGGCCCAAGAGATCTCCTACGTGTCCCTCGAGACCTTGGAATCTTGGGAAACTGAGTGTAAACAACTCAAAAGGAATCTCAGAATGTCTAGACTAGAAAAGAAAGTTCTCTGTAGTGGTTCACATCTTTCCTTTCCTTTCCAGAAACTCTAGAGAGGACAGTAGACAAGATTAAGGAGTTAAGCCAGGAACCAGTGGCTCACACCTATAATCCTAGCTGTTCAGGAGGCAGAGGTCAGGAGGATCATGGTTCAAAGCAGCCCAGGCAAACAGTTCAAGAGACCCTATCTCGAAAAAACCCATCACAAAAATAGGGCTGGTGGAGTGGCTCAAGGTGAAGGCCCTGAGTTCAAGCCTCAGTACCACAAAAAAAAAAAATTTAAGGAGATAAGTTCACCTCTACCCTCAACTATGGAACATGCTGGTTCAGAATAAGCCATCAATTCATTGATGTCACTCTTGCAGTGATAACCCCACCCCCAGGCCTCCAGTTGAAGAATCTGCCATGCATAATGCATACTCCATGTGTATATGAGATACTGTGGGGAATAACTGTTTCTAAATCCTTCGTCATTAAAGTCTAGGCATATTTCATTTGGGACTCCTTTGCTAACTTTGTCTAGTGTCTAGGTCTGGCTTTTCTCTAGGGCAGAGGAGCTCACTCTACAGGCCCTATCCTCCTATGACTGCCTCTCTTTTTCTTTTTTTTCTTTTTTTGGTGGTACCAAGGCTTGAATGTCAACCACTTTTTGAGTCAAACATAAATATATCACATTAAAACCAGAAATTTCAGTGTAAGAAAGTGATTTAAAAAGATCATGATACAGGTTGTCCCTCAGTTTCCATCAGGGATTGGTTCTAAGACCTTCCCCAACAAGGATACAAAATCTGTTGATGCTCAAGTCCCTTATATAAAATGGCATAGTAAGCTAGGCACCAGTGGCTCACGCCTGTAAAGAGGCAGAGATCAGGAGGATCACAGTTTGAAGCCAGCCCAGCTTCAATAGTTCATGAGACCCTATCTCAAAAAAACCCATCACAAAAAAAGGAGCTGGTGGAGTGGCTCAAGGTGTAGGCCCTGAGCTAAAACCCCAGTATCACACACACAAAAAAAATAAAATAAAAACAAAAGGGAATAGTATTTGTATAGAATCTATGTACAGCTGTGTGTTAAATCCCCTAAATAAGTTATAATACCTAATATAATGTCAGTGCTATGTAAGTAGTTATTATACTCTATTGTTCAGGGAATAATGACAAGGAAAAAAAAAGTCTATACGTCTACACATGTGCAGTACAGATGCAATTTCCCCCCCATGCTGGAGATTGAATCCAGGGCCTCATACATGTTATCAAGTGCTCTACCACTAAGCTACACACCCAACACAAATGTGATGTATTTTTCCCAAATATTTGTGATCTGCAGTTTGTAGAATACATGAATGCAGAACTCATGGGTATTGTTGACCAACTATACATTCACATGATTCAATACTATGCAGTCATTATAGACTTAAAAAAATAACTGACTACCTAGTTACATGGAAAATGTTCTCCACTTACTGAAGAAAAAATAGTGCTTTAAAAACTATAATTAAGCAGGTGCTGGTGGCTCATGCCTGTGATCCTAGCTACTTGGGAGGCTGAGATAAAGAGGATTGTGGTTCGAGGCCAAGCTGGTCAAATAGTTAATGAGACCCCCCCATCTCCAAAATAACCACAGCAAAATGGACTGGGGGTCTGGCTCAAGCAGTAGGGTGCTTGCTTTGTAGCATGAAGCCCTGAGTTCAAAACCCAGTCCCACCAAAAAAAAAACTATAATCATATGCTCTAAAATATGTCTAGAAAATGTGTATGGAGATATTATATATGTATATGAGTGTGACACACACACACACACACACACACACACACACACAATCTATTAAAAAGGACTACAGCCAGGTGCCAGTAGCTTATACCTGTAATCCTACCTACTCAGGAAGCAAAGATCAGGAGAATCATGGTTCAAAGCCAGCCTGGGCAAATAGTTAGCAAGACCCTATCTTGAAAAAACCCATCACAAAAAAGGGTTGGTGGAGTGGCTCAAGTTCAAACCCCAGTACTGGGGGAAAAAAAAAAAACACTAAAATGTTGACAGTGTGTGATTATTATTTATTTTTTTTTTTGGTGGTGTTTTGGATAGAACCCAGGGCTTCATGAATACTAGACAAGCACTCTACCACTTGAGCCCAGAATGTTAATAAACCATAAAAGCAATCAAAATTATGATAAGTATGATACTATCCCCAAACAAGAGAGGTTGGTTCTATGCTGTCTCAGGCTGTGACCATTTGGTAGTTCTGCCTGAGTTATGCTGGATCACACTGACACTTGTCCCAAGCTTGAAGGATCCCCCATGTCATCCCTTTACTAGTTTAATTTGGAAAATGAAGATGGGACAGAAAGTCCAGAAGAACCCCGCCACACACCCCCCTGGACCCACTTAACCACTCCTTGTCCACCTTGGGGCCCAAACTCTAGCTTCTAGTTAAGTCTGCACTCACCGGTTCTGCAATAAGGGTAGGCATTCCATGCTTTTTCATGTATATTCAGGGCTCCCTCTGGGGCCAGCATTCGAACAAACGTGGGTACTTTACTATATTGAAAAAAAGAGGTGATGAAGAGAGACAATTGGCTTTTATATCATATTCCTCGGGCCACAGCTCCAGCTTCTTCAATGGGGAGTTGACAAGTTTCCATGAGATAAGCAGGTTACTTGTATGAGAAGCTACCACCTGCCAGAACCTGACAATCCAACTTGATTGGCTACTAACCAAAATTTGCCTTACTACCCACCAGGAATAAGATAGTGTATGAGACCCTGGACTACCTGCTGTGGCTTACCAGCCATTACATTCTCATTACGGTTTTCCAGAGCTCACTGGGCACAGGGCATTGTACTACACAGTGCAAGAATATGATACAAAGAGATTTTTGTGCACAGCCCAGGCTGGTCTTGAACTCATAATCCTCCTGCCTCAACCTCCTGAGTAATGGGATTACAGATGTGCACCACCATGCTGGCCAGTGTTCTTGTTTTCTACTACAGTCAATTCATCTGTTTGAGGCTTCTCTGGGAGGCTTTCTGGCTCAGAAATTTGCTGAATACATTCACAAATCTCTTAGGGTCCATTCCCTCATCCTCTGCAATTCCTTCAGTGATACTTCTATCTTCAGCCAAACTTCGACTGCAGACAACTTTTGACTGACATCAGCATTTATGCTAAAAAAAAAAAAATAGTTCTTGGAAACTTTCACCTGACCCAGTGGATCCTATGTTGGCTGATGCCATTGACTTTCATGGTGGGTAGGCCAGAAACTATGGGTCAGAGTAAACTGGCTTACCCTGAATTATCAGAATTCTTATGTGGAACCTCATTAAATTCAGGACACCCCTGTAAACATTATGGAGGGAAGCTTCCTTTCAAGTAAAAAGATATTTTACCATTTTACATGTATATGTCAAGTGCAATTATTTTAAATGTGCTTCTCCAAATGCTGCCTTGGCTTTTGTTTTTACCCCTCAGCTTTCTCAACTCCAAACTAATCTGTTTATTGTTCATCATGTATTTTTCCTGACAAGAATAACACCATTGAAACAAAGAAATTTAAGCAAGCAAGAAAAAAAAAAATACAAAGGAGATACTTCCTACTATGTACTGTAAGTACATAGTACAACACTTACCAATCTAGGTTTATGGGCCAGGGTTACTATCTTGACTAACTTGGAATATGGGGTCCAAGATGATCTAGTCTATTTTCTTCAATTCCAAGAAGACAGGAGGGCCTTAGAGCTATCTGCCTCCCAGAACAAGTATTTTCTTCTTTTCTCTTGTCTTTTCTTTCCTTTCTTTCTTTCTTTCTTTCTTTTTTTGGTGTGGTGCTGGGGTTTGAACTTAGGACCTATACCTTGAGCCACTCTAACCAGCCCTTTTTTGTGATGGGTTTTTTCAAGATAGAGTCTCACAGAATATTTGTTTGGGCTGGCTTCCAACCTTGATCCTCCTGATCTCTGCCTCCTGAGTAGCTAAGATTATACACGAGCCACCGATACCTGTTTTTTGTTGTTGTTGTTTTTTGACAATGTCTTGCCTTGCTACCTAGCCCAGGCTGGCCTTGAACTTAAAATTAATCCTCCTGCCTCAGCCTCCTGGGTGCTGAGAATACAGGTGTTCACCACCATGACCGTCTAATGTTTTCTTCTATTCAATTTTCACTTCGGGTTACACAACATGATAGGGTAAGCCCAGGGCTGTGGGGGCAGAGCACTGTGAGAACATGGTGGGGAAGTCCCAGAACTCCAGGCTGGCTTCTCAGTAAAGTTGTAATGACGCAAACACATGGAGCAGGAAGTGTACAGGACTAAACTAGGCAAAAGGATAAGAATGAGGCAGGAGAAGCAGGGAGAAGGAGAGAGGAGTTGGTGCAAGGTATGACATTGGAGAAATGCAAGAGAACTCAGGGCTGGTCAGAAAAGATCTTGTAAATTTTATCAGTCATGTCAGGACTTCATCACAAGGGCAAAGGGAAGCCATCTATGGCTTTCTGGCTGGGAACACTGGAAGTGTGAAGAACTAGAAGGCAGGAAGACCAGTTGGGAGCTGCTATAGTAAACCAGGCCGGGGATGATGGAAATAAACAGACATGTTAGAAATGCTAAGGAGGTGGAGTCAACAGACCTTGATTTGCTAGGAAGGCTTTTGTCCTCATAAGGGCAGATGGTGATGGAGGTCACTGTTGGCTGTTGTTGCAATTAGGTATTTTGGTGGTAAGGAAATAATAGTGGTAGCAGCTCAACATCTACATTTGGCCACTTTGGCTGGACCAACTGTATCTTGAGGCACCAACTGGCTCTTTCTGCCTAAAATACCATTTCAAAGTCCTCTTTAAAATACACAAATACCAGAGCTGGGTGCTCGTAGCTCATGCCTGTAATCCTACCTACTTGGGAGGCTGAGATCAGGATTGTAGTTCAAGGCCAGCCCAGGCAAATATTTTTTGAGACCCCATCTCCAAAATAACCACAGCGAAATGAACTGGAGGTATGGCTTAAGCAATAGAGTGCCTGGTTTGAGAGCACCTGCTTTGCAAGTACAAAGCCCTGAGTTCAAACCCCAGTCCCATTAAAAAAAAAAAAAATGCACCCTCCAGTTGGGAAGGTGGGAAGATTTAAGAAGGATTGCTGTACTGGAGGTCCCAAGACATCAAGATTTTAGGAGCTGGTGGAGTGGCTCAAGTGGTAGAGCACCTGCCTAGCAAGCATGAGGCCCTGAGCTCAAACCCCAGAACTGCCACCAAACAAATAAACAACAACAAAAAAAGGTATATATATGGTTCAATTGGTAAAGTGCCTCACATCTCAGCACACTGTGTCATTAAAAATAATAATAATACAGTATAGGGAAGGCATATCTTGAGAGCCTTATCTGTTGTTTTTGTTTTGTTTTGATTTTTTCAGAACCTTATATTAATTAACTGCTATATCCCTGGTAAAGACTGGTTGGCAGTCAACTCAGACTAGGGATGTAGGGATGGAGGAGGGAGAGGAGACATGGAGGACAGAGTGCAGTGACCAGGCCATGGAATCCCAATGAGATTCTCTCACTTCACAGAGTTGTTCTCCTCCTGTCCCAACCCTGCAAAATCCTAGACAACTCTGGGGTCTTAATTTTTCATCACCAGAGCAGCAGACTACAGCAAATCAAGGATTTTACCAAATGAAAATGAACCTGGGTTCAGTTCTAGTTAAGGACTAGGAATTAAGATACAGGTATAAGGTCCAAAGCAATGTGAATGTATTTAATGTCACTGAACTGGACAGTTCAAAATGGTTAAAATAACGAATTTTATGTTATGTATACTTTACCGCAATTGAAAACACAATCAGGTTATTTTTTCTCGGTTCTGCATAGTTTCTAAAACAGCTTGATTTGACTTCCATTCAAGCTGGTGTACATTTATGATTGCTTTCAAGGCCCTTTGGGTTGGTTCCTAGTTTACTGAAATGTTAGTATTTTGGTTAGGGATTCAGCAAATTTATGTGGTTTGCTATGGATTATAGTAAACGAATCAATTTGAGTCATTTAGAAATACTTATGCCTTTGATCAAAAGACAGATATGACAATTTCTTTGGCAGGTGATTTTACAATATCAGAATTTAAAATACTACCTGACCTAGTAATTACACTATTAGGAACATATGCTATAGATTTACACATACAAGTATATCAAAAGATGTGCATGTCTTTAATCTCAGCTACTTAAGAGGCAGCGGCAGAAGGATCAAGAGTTTGAGGCCAGCCTAGGCAAAGATAGTGAGACCCTATCTCAGAAACAAAATAAAAACAAAAGGGCAGGGAGTATGGTTCAAGAGGTACAGCACCTGGAGAGCATACACGAAGCCCTGCGTTCAATTCCCAGTACCAAGAAAAGAGAGACAGACAGAGACAGAGAAAGAAAGAGAGAGAAAGAGAGAGAGCAAATATTGGCTACATAGTTTGTAACACATGCATACAACATGATACTATGAACATTACATGTGTTTTAAAAGAATGAGGCAGATATGCTAACAGTGAAAAGCAGCTATGATATGATATGTAACAAAAGACCAAACAACAGTATGTACAGGATGATCTCATCTGTATAAAGTAACAATAAAGGAAATGAACACTCATATACACAAACACTGCATACGTATTTCTACACCAGACACAATGGAAGGGCCCACAAAAAGCCAAAGACTATCACCTCCAGGGACTGGGAGCCTGGTGGGGCAAGTACTACTTTTATTATTTTTTTTAAATAACAAAAAAATCTTCCAGGAGTGGTGGCCCATGCCTATAATCACAGTTACTTGGTAGGTAGAGATTGGCAGGATCGCAGTTTGAGGCCAGCCCAAGCAAAGTTTGTAAGACACTACCTGAAAATAAAACTAAAACTTTTGCTTTAGTTTTAACTAAAGCCCCTTTTTAAGGGCTAGGGGTCGTGGCTCAAGTGATAGAGCACTTGCTTAGTAAGCACAAGGCCCTGAGTTCAAACTCCAATACTGCCAAAAAATAAATAACAAAAATCTTTAAAATGAACAAAGAAGTACCACCCATACCCACTCTCACAGTTAAAGCAACTTGAGCAACCAGCTATTAACCTGGAAACACCAATTAACCAGCACCACCACCTCCAAACCAGCCATGTGTTCCGCCCCACAGCCGTGGACACATACCTCTGTAGGTGGTAGATCTTGTGTGTGTACTGGCCTTTCTCACCATCCTTCTCATATGGTTCATTCACCAGGACCTCCACACCTTCACCACCACCTGTTTCATTTTTACTGGCCTCAGCCACAGAATACAGCTGCCCCACCTGATACTAAAGGAACAGAAAGACAGACATCATTCTCTAGGGTTACATATGGTAGAGATGCCAGTGACTATCCAGGGTGACTGTCCATCACCCTGGGATCCTCTGATCCAGGATCTCATCCTAGAATTCTACTCTGGGCCTTGCCCAATCTACCCAAAGCAACTAAAAATACTGCCCTATGCCTCTCTTTAGCCAACCAGATGTATCTAATTTCACCCTTTCCATTTTCACATCACCCATCAGGTTTAAAGAAGCCAGAGAAGCCAGCTCACACCTATAATCCCAGCCACTCAGGAGGCAGAGATCAGGAGGACTGTGGTTTGAAGCAAGCTCAGGTAAATAGTTCGCAAGACCCTATCTTGAAAAAACCCATCACAGAAAAAAAGGGAGTGGGGGGCTGGTGGAGTGGATCAAGGTGTAGGCCTGAGTTCAAACCCCAGTACCAGGAAAAAAAAAAAAAAGAGGCCAGAAAATATACTTAATTCTCACAGCACCCTCCAGAAAACAGATTATAGAGTCCAAGGTAGCTTTGGCCTGGACCCACTTCTGGTATTAAGACTCCCAAACAGGATCTAGGTTGGTTGCTAGAAATCTCTTTATCCCATTCATTTAAACAGATCCTCAGACATGACTTCTTATCAAAGATAGCTGCTCAGGGCTCTGTGAAATCCACAACCTCTGCTATAAAACTGGCTTACCTACTTGCTTTTTCTCCAGTGATGGGCCCCTCCTCACTCTGAAAAGAGCTCAAAGAAGAGTCTTCTAGGCAACCAGACTTCCTAGGCTTTCCAGATTCCTAGTGGGGCTGAAGTAAGTGCTTCTGCTTCCCATATTGGATAGGACAGATTCCTTCCCCAGTCTGCTGATTAGGTACCCGCCTTGTGTTGGCAGTTACTAGATGGCAAAAGCCTGGTTTTCCTTTATTTGGGTCATATGTCACCCTATCAAATCAACAGTCAAGATCGCTGGCCTCTTCTGACCCCCTCAGGACAACCTGATGCTAAGGCCAATGACCTGGGAAGTGCCCAGGCCTGGCCCATTTCCCCCTTCTTTCTGAGGGAAGCTGTCTGGAGGGAAAAAAAATATGGTAAAGAGAGAGTGAACAGCAACAGAGCAGGAAGTTACATCTATACCAAAGGACATATCTTCCCCATCCCTGCTAGTGCTAACCAGGCATATGCCTTAGGTAGCATGAGGAAAAGCATAGAAAATGCTTAATTACCCAACATTTTGGGGGATGGAGATTAAGCTTTCCTTTACCCTCTACTCACCTTTCCTGGGGTGAAAGACTAGGATTTTTCTCCTCTGAGAGTAAAACAGAGAGAGAGACTGCACCCTGGCACCACTGCCTGCAATAGCAAGACACAGAGCAGCTTCCAGGGCTGCTCACGGCAGCTCCCTAAGCACTGCAGGGAAATTTTTGGGCAAAGTCTCGGAGAAGCAGTAGACCAGGACAATTCACTGCTCACCACGAAGCTGAAAGAGCACTAATTTTCGAAGCAAAAACCCAGAATAAAATGCCAAGGAAATGCTCAGGCAAGTGATCAAGGCTCAGTTAATCCCATAAAGAGGAACATCTGGGTGATAGCCTTGACCTTAATCCTTAGCACCATCACTGCTGCCTCGATGACCCTATGGAACCCCAGACTGACCCAATGCCTTTTCAGTTGCACCACCTGGCTAAGGCATACTTGAAACCCCTAACAAGTGGGTCAGGGTTTGGCTGAGCCAAGCCTTCCTAAGGAGCAGAAACTCAGTTTCAGAGAACAGTTATAAGGACACTGGATCACTGACTCAGCCATATGAAAGAGCAGGCTGGGGAGCTGGTAGAGGGGACTGGGCAGCCAGCTAGTAGTGCTCCTTGGGGAGGGGGCTCCCAGGCAGACAAAGACTGATGTCCTTACTGGGTTTCCTTTTCAGCTGTAGGAATCGGAGGGCAGGCTCTAAGAGGATCAGTCTGTTGGCTGGCATCTTCCCTCTTTTAATCTCTCTTGATATTCTGATCCTTTAATCCCAACGAGACAAGTGAAGGCCGTTTTATTAATCCAAAGGGATAAGTAAAACTGACCTGCACAAGTTTCAAGGGAGGGACACTCAGTGTTCCCTTTGGCATAGTTGCTCTGCACCCTGGGAAAGCTGCCAGACTCAGATTGGGTGGCAGTAGGGGTAGGGGCCAGACCATTAAATCAGATAAGTAACCCTAAGGAGACCAGGATTCCAGCCTTGTCAGGCCTAGGACAATGTTCCCCTGTCCTTGAGATTTGTTCCCTTGTCCCATAGACTAAGATGTTCAGCTAAGAAAAACAGTGGCTCCACTACTTTGGCAATCCAGGAGTGGGAGCCCAGGAAGATGCAGTGAGTGGGCCAGAAATGCTGACATGAAACAAGTAATGAAAAACAGTACAGCTCTTGGTTCCACCTACATGGCCCTGTCAGGTCAGGTGTCATGAATCTCTGCCCTACCCACAATGGAAGGTGGGCCAGCCTAAGCCAGGAACCACTGGTGGACACACCCAGGTCAGACAGCCAGGACTTCTTACTCTGCTGCAGAATGCCTAGAAACCCAGGGCAGTGGTAAGCCAAAGGCTCTGGCCAGAAGCTAATTTGCCCCAAAATACTGACTCAGGCCATCAAGATGATTATAAAGATATGACCTTCTTTTTCTCTTTTCTCCCCAAATCAGAAGCTACAAAGACCTCAAGTCATGGGCTCCAATATAGGAAGTCAATCTAACAGTCATAAGATGCTGGGCTGTTCCCATGGGAATGGTGAGTCACAATGGGGTTATTGACAAAGACTCTGAAAGGGTTGATCATTACTTATTTCTTCTTTGGCCTCCCCATTCAAGAATTTTCTGAGGGCTGGCAGAGTGGCTAAAGTGGTAGAGTGACTGCCTAGCAAGCATGAATTTCTGAGTTCAAGCCCCAGTATCACCAAAGGAAAAACAAAAGAATTTTCTGATCTTCTGGAATCAAGGTTCAAGCCATCAAGTAGCAGCTTCAGTCATACCAGAGGTTTCTTGCTGAGAACAGGCTATTGCCATACAAACAGATGAATCCTGACCAGCACTCACTTCCTAAGCTTTTGCTTAGCCTAGGTTCTTGCTTACCCCACCCGGCCCTGGCAGTTCTTCAAGGCTGCAAAAATATCATCAATAAGCTAAAAACTGCCAGGTGTGGATCTCTCAAGGTGGGAATTTCCCTCTCCTTCCACTCTTGGCCCTACCATGAAAGGTTTGGGATCTGGCCCCTCCTGCCTTACTGCACAGCAGCTGAAAGGTGCTTCTGGGCAGCTCTGGCCCTCATCTTCACACTCTCAAGACACTCCACCCTCTATTTAAAAACCTCCCTGTGTCGCTGGGCGCCAGTGACTCACACCTATAATCCTAACTACTCAGGAGGCAAAGATCAGGAGGATCGCGGTTCAAAGCTATCCCAGGCAAGTAGTTCACAAGACCCTATCTCAAAAAACCCTTCACAAAAATAGGGGTGGTGGAGTGGCTCAAGATGAAGGCCAAGTTCAAGCACCAAGTACTGAAGAAAAAAAAAAACCTCCTTGTGTAAAGACTCATTCTGCCTGAAACATCCCAATGAGCAAATCCCAACACAATGGGCAATATATTCCTGGCAGAGGTGGGAGAAGAAGGTTGGGATGTTCCTTAAGCAGAGAGAAAGTCACTGGACCACATCCCTAGTTTCAGGGAAAGGGATACATGCTGGGCATTTCTGCTTGGCCTTCTTGGTTGAAAAATAATCACTTTTTTTTTTGTGGTTTGAACTCAGGACTTTGCACTTGCTAGGCAGGTACTCTCATCATCTACTATTTTTAATAATGACAGCAAGGCTCCCAAAGGAGGTGAGTTAACCCCTTCCCCAAAGTTAACAGCTGTCAGCCCAAGCACCTGGTTCCCAGGACCCAAGTACATCACAAGTAGCTTCAGGTATCACAGCAAGTATCTAGTCATCACCTCTTTTCCCCAGGTTTCTCTCTCTTCTCTCTCTTCTCTCTCTCCCTCTCTCTCCCTCCCTCCCTCCCTCTCTCTCTCTCTGTCTCTCTCTCTCAGATGGAGTCTTACTGTGCTGCCCAGGCTAGCCTCAAACTCTGGACTTCAAGCCATTCTCTTACCTCAACCTCTCAAGTAGCTGGGACTATAGGCACATAGTACCATGCCCAGCTTAGTTTCATTTCCTTGGTCTTAGTTTCATTTCCCTTTTCTGTACTTAGATCCCCCAGATCATGTTCAAGTTCACCTCTGTCCTCCCAGGTTTCTACATCTTTTATCAGACATTCAGTCCACCACTAGAGACAATTCTGTAAGGAGCCAATGCATGTCCACCCCTCTTGGGGCTAAGAAGCTTGACTATTTGTCTCATCTAAAGAGTGTGTGGGCTCTGTGGCCTGATTTCACTTCTCAAAGGTCCAGTTCCTATTTGGAACAGGGGAAAGTTATCAAGCTAGTCACCTAGTGTGGATGGGAGTGCTTCAGAGATTTCCAGCTTCTCAGTGGCCCTGCAGGAAAGAGAGTTGGTGCCATGACTGAGGGCACAATGCAGTGGGTGGGTCAGTAACACTGACATGACACATGGCCAACAAACCACCCAAACTCGAGTTTCACTGAAACTGGGGTGGGGCCTGTGGATTCAACAGTAAGCAAAGAACAAGGCTGCGCAGGAGAGGAGAGAGGAAGTTCAGAGAAAGGGTGGGCCAAGGAAGGTTCTGTGACAGTTTTCTACTGTCCAAGAGACCAGCTCTGAGTCAGCACAGCCTATGAACCTTCTTGTGACAAATGCTGCTGCCAGTTCCACACACACAGAGACATCAGACCCAAGAACCATAAAAGGACAGAGGGCAAGCCAAGCCCATTTGTCATTCCCTGCCCTCTGTAAATGGAAGTTTCTGTGCCAGGCAAAGTGGCGCACCCCTACAATCCTAGCACTTGGGAGGTGAAGGCAGAAAGATTACAAGTTTAAAGCCAGCCTAGGCTACATAGTGAAATCCTGTTTCAAAAAAAAAAAAATAGTGTGCAGGGGGCGGGGGGGGGGTATTTCCAGCAGTACCTAGCAAGGCTAGTGAGGGCTTCAGATTTCCTGCCCTACTGCACACTTCCCAACCAAGTCAGGGAGGTCCCAGAAATGCACATATCATTCCATCAATAATATGTCCCCAAACAGGCACAGTCCTAACACGTAAAGGGCTGGTTTAATCTCTATTCAAAACCATCCAGCATGCCAACAGCTTGGGGCAGGACACACACAGTTGCTCCTTCTATTGAAGGCAGCACCAGGAAAATGTACATTGAACACTGGTTATCTGTACATTAGAACAAATAGGAAAACTACACCAGCAGTGTGGCCACTCCCAGCCCAATTGAGCCAATCATCACAAGCACTTATTTACAACCATGGATGAAAAAGAAAAAGGACTTACCTCATCTACAGACACAGGCAAGATGACTCGACTACAAGAAAGGGAAAAGAATATCAACTTCAGGCTCCAAAACCTGCCCACTTGCCCTTAAAAGTGTCATCTTAGGACGATATTCAAAGTTTGTTCCATGTGACTCTATACTCACTAACAAAAACCCAGCAGGGAATGGCCCTCTGAGTACTTCAAGGCTAGGATCCTCTGTGCCCTTGTGGAATCCCCTTCAGAATCCTGTGATTCAGAGTAAGCCTGAACCCCTTAGCAGCAACTTGCCCAGGCTGCTGACTCACATTTGGAGCTGTCTTCTTCACATGCTCCCTCACCCATTTCTTCCCCAACAAGACATGCTAATGCATCTAGTAAAACAGAGACATTAACACAGAAGGAGCCACCATGATAAGGACTCAGAAGCAAAGAATCAGTTCCTGGGGACATGCATCTCTATGGACCCAACCTCCCAACATCAGTCTTCAAGGTGAAAGGCCAGGAAGTGGCCAAGTTCCCTGGAGGGTTAATCACCTGAAGAGCATGCACCAACCAGGTATGGTGATGAATATCTGTAATCCCAGCACTTGGGAGGCTAGGGTAGGAGGATCATGAGTTCAAGGCCAGCCTGGACCTGGACTATATAATGGGACACTGCCTCAGGAAAAAAAAAAAGAGCATGTACCAACTATTTCTACTCTGAGGCAGGATATTACAATACAAGCTACTACCACGAAGCTCCAAGAATGGACTCCCAACTTATGCCCTGACCTCCAGAAGCTGTCCAAAGGCACCACAACTGATCACATTCTTTTCTTGTCCATTTCAATGACCACCAGGTGTTGGAGGTACCACTGGTAACCAGACAGAGAAGGCATGACCAGTTAAGTCCCCACGGGGGTCAGCAGGGTGAGTGAAGCAAAGGGCTGGTAGCCTTCTCCAGATGGCTTACATTTGTAACACAGACCAATGTTTGGCTCCCCAGTTCAATGCTGTGAGGTTAGAGCTGAGGGGAAAGGCCTTGGTTGCACTCTGAAAAGTTACGCCAGTTCCCAAGATTAAATTCTCAGTCCCCAGAGCCTTGCTGGAACCTGCTGGGCCCTTCTGCGTCCTGTGTGCTTGCGTGGTGAAGCATGAGCATGTCCTCCTTGCTAAGCGGTACGTTTGAGCATGGCTCCTTGCTCCAGGCTGCTAAATAAATCACTATTTTCTAGTACCACAAAGGGCCCCCAGGAAGCAAGAAGCACAGAGAGGGGTCTAAGGAAAACATCACAGTAAGAAGCAGGCATCAAGCGCAGAAAAGCAGCAGGAAAAACAAAATGGGCTCCAAGTCTTTACAGCCTACTGATGACTCCCTTCCTCTAGAACGACTCAAATAATATAAATCCTCCACTTTATTAGATACCGCCACAAACACTGTCCTCCCATTAGAGAAAGTCAACAGTGCAGAAAAATATTCCCAACTTGGAGGCCAGAATTTCTGCACCCTCAGAAGAAACTTCCTAGAAAACAATGTGCCTTTCATCTTCAAGAACCAGCAAAAATTACATCTAAGAATTTGGAGAAATCAAATTAAGGAGAATCCTGTTACAGGAAGTCTCAGAAAAATCAACAGGACAATCTTCAGATCAAGCTTTCCTCCCCTCCCCCTCCTCCCACCAAAAAAGACTAGGTATCAGCCAATTCCTCACAAGATGCTCTGAAGCTGCTTCCATTACAGCAGCACACCCAGACGTTTCTCTCATGCTCCTTGGGAACAAAACCACTTCAGAGGCAATAGAGTACAATTCCAAAGGAGAGGGCACAACTGGGCTGAGACTGGAGCCATGCTCACTATAGTGTGACCTTCACTTGCACCCTTCCCAGAGCTGCAGCACTGCAGCCACAGCCAAGTGTCTCGGATGCCCCCCTCCTGCCTTGTCCTGTCCCCAGCCCAGCGATGCATACACAGGGCACAAGTTGGGCAGGAAGGAAACACAGATGCCAGGCAGGCTCTACACCCTGACAGGCATCAAGGGGAGGAGAACAAAGAATGGGAAAGGTGGACCTCCTTTCCAAACTCAGACTTCTTCTGAAGGCCCTTCCTTCCCCTGCATGACCTTCTTTTCAAAACTACAGATTTCTACAGATTCTAGGATTCATCTGGGAATAGGAAAAAAAAAAAAAAAAAAAAGACCTGAAAAATGGGAAAAGCCTATTAGCTTGGACACTAAAGATTAAAATGCAAAGTGCACCATGTTCTCCTTGGAGAACCTTGGCATCCTAGGGGTCTTCCTCTTCACCAAGTAAAGCTCTGAGCTCGGGCTGGATTAACATCAGACTAGATGTCAAAGGAGGTGAAGGGGCCTCTACACAATGCTCTTCACATAAGGTGTCAAGCTGGAATGACACCTCCGCTATCCAGACTTCACACTATGTTCCAAATGTACTAAACAATTCCAAGGAGCAGGCTAGTTGGGGATGGGCAAAGTACTTTCATGACAAAATGAAAAGACTCCTCCCTCTGCCTGCTTGGCTACTAAGAGTTCTCTCTACTTGCACATTTCCCACTTCTGGACTTTCAGGGCATCTGGCCCAATGTTGCCCACTTGCCCTTCCTCCAGGGAAGCACTGTAATGAAAATTTACATTTTCACTGTAAATTTTGTAGGCACATGTTCAATCTCGCTCACTTTACTAGGGAAAAAGTCCTGTGATGTTTCTTGGAACCATGAGCTTCAGAAATGGGTTACCTTGTATCTGAAAGATTTAGCATCCAAACATCTCCAGCTGTCATTCAATCCCCTGGATTTCAGGAGTACACCCATCTTCCTGCAACTCCTGCCTAAAATCACCAGTTTCTCACCTCCAAGGCATTACTTAAGAACTCCTTTGCCCTTGACTGTCTCTCAATTAATGACTTGAAACCTCCTCAATTTCTCAAAGCCATCTCCTCATCTCTTTGCACCAAAACTGAGAACTCCCTGGAGACATGCCGCCCCAGTCTTGGTCCCCACCACCTCCAATAACTTGTTGTACTAATTCACAAACATACTGTCTTTCTAGGCTGTTCTCTACTCTGGTAACTTCCTGGCCCTCTCCATCACAACTTCCTCAAATCGCTTCAGACCCTGCCCAATATTTTCTGGACTCCTCACTCAATTGTCCCCAGTCCTAAGCAGTCATTCCAAGCTTTTTCCAAATGCCTCCTCTTCTGTACCTACCACTTGGGTACCATGTCACTCCAGCTCCAGTCCCCCAACTCAGCCCCCTAAGCTCTACCTCGCTCCCCTGTCACTCAAGTCTAGCCCTGTCTCCCTAGTCATTTTTTCGTGTCTAATTACTGCAATCTTGCCTCTGCTGCCTGAGAAGGCACTGTCCATGCTTCAGGTTCCGCCTCAGCACTCCTTGCCATCATCTCAACTCCATTCCAGGAGCTGTCTTATCTGATCCTTCCTGCCCCTTAGTATTGCTCAGTCCTCAAACCCCTCCCCATCACCGGCCAGCTCACGGGCCCTGCCCGCTCTTATTCCACTGTTCCTGAATTCATGGGACAACACCTCCATCTCTCGCTGGTCCTCTCAGCCCCTCCTGCAGTTCTGGCTGGCCCCTCATCTCTCTCCCCCCACTGTAGGATCACCCCACATGTCATCCAGTGCCCTTGATTCCCTCGGCTCCTCATGCCCCGTCTATCTCTCACTGTCCCTTTAACCCCACCTCAGGCCCCGTCCAGCCCTCACCGGTGCCTCGGCTTCTCCGCAGGCCTATTCGTTCCTAACTACCCCTAGAGCCCCACCTCAGCTGCAGGCTGACTCTCTGTGGCCGCATCTTAGGCCCTGCCCGGCCCCCAATGTCCACTCCGTCCCTGCTGGACCGCCCAACAGCTCATCGGGCGCTCTCCATCCCCTCCACAGGGCCATCAATCTCGCTGGTCGTCATGCCCGACCCTCCCTTCCTCCTCGCTTCCGCACGGCGGACCGGACACTCACTACTCCTTGAGCAGCACCATGTCGCTTCGCGGCTCGGCGGCTGCCCGCTGCCCGCCCGGCCTCCCGCCCGCTTCCCGGCGGCCGCTCTCCCAGTGGCCAGGCCCGGCCTGGCTGCCTGTGCGCCTTCGTCGTGGTCTGCTCCGTCCCCGCGGCTCTTGCTCCGGTCGCCTCGCGGGCTCCTGCCACCCCGGCCTCGCCGCCTCCCGCGCCGCTGTCGACTCCGCCCGGAGCTCCGGTTCCGCAGCGCCGCGCGGGGGCGGGGCGTCTCTGCGGCAACCAGAGCGTCACACGCAGCGGTACGCGCTGACCTCAGCGCAGAGGCGGGGCCTTCCCGGGCCCGTCCCTCCCATCCTTAAAAGGGCTGCGGCGTTGACTTAGGCAATCGAGGTGGGCCCTATGAGGGCGCAAGACCCGCTTAGCAAGCAGAGCAGGCGTCTAGGAGCTGGCGGGGTGTTCGGTGTGAATGCTCTTCAACAGGAGCGGATACACCCCAATGTCTGGGCTTTTCCGGTGGATGGGGTGACACCCAGGAAAAGAGGAAAGGTTGTGTCAAAAAAATAAATAAAATTGGGGGCTGGGAATGTAGTTCAGTGGCAGAGAGCTTGCCTAGCATGCACTTAGTTAGGCCTGGGGGCCCCAGCACGGTATAATAATAATAATAATAATAATAATAATAATAATAATAATAATAATAATAGCATAGTAGTATTAATAATGGCAGCTAAATGTATGATAAGTTCTCTTCTAAGTACTTGAGAACTCTACCAGAAAGATACCGTCACAGTCCCCATTTACAGGTGAGCAGAAAGAGGCAGGAGTCAGACTTTCCCAAGTCCACGGCCCCTATATGTTGGAGCTGAAATTTTAACCCAGCAGTCTTAGAATCATGTCATTTACCCAATAAAGATTTCCTGAGTGCCTGTGCTTTCCTTGAGAGAGTGAACAAGGCAGATATCATCTAGAGTTTAGGAATCCCAAGGTCAAATGGAGAGTGGGTAGGTGGTAGCTGGAGGTGACAGAACCAGGCAATTAGAATGAAAAGGGCTTTGAGTGTTAACATTTGGGTTTGGTGGGCACCTAATTAAGTATGAAGGGTATTCAGAGAAGGCATCCTGGAGGAAGAGATTCTAAGCTGAAATCTGCAGGGGCTGAGGAGGGGAAGAGTGTAGCAGGCAGAGTGAATGCAAAGGCTGCAGACAAGGGCAGAGCATGGTGTGTTTGGGGAACTGAAAGAGGTGACTGGAGCATCAAGTTTGGAAGCCAAGGAGCTTGGGAGGGCTAGGTTCCTAGCAGGTGATGATAAGCCACAAAAGGGCATGAGCAGTTTTGTTATGTGAAGGCTCACTCTGAAGGCTAAGGGACAGAGGCCATGGCATCTAGGGTCCAGCAAGATGTTAGTTGTGAACACTTCTTTGCAGCAAGAACAGATGCACCCCGATGCTTGGGCTTCACTGGTGGGTGGGTTGAGATCCAGGAAAAGATTATGTAAAAAAAAAATGACAGGTTTTGTGGCACACATCTGTAATCCCAACTATGTAGGGGATATAGGTAGGACAATGATGGGCCAAGGCAGACTCCCGGTAAAAGCATGAGACCCTATCTGAAAAATAACTAAAGCAAAAAAGGATTAAGTGCTTGGCTTAGGTGGTAGAGCTCCTGCCTAGCAAGCATGAGGCCCTGAGTTCAAACCTCAGTACTGCCAAATTAGGGGCTGGGAATGGAGTGGGCCAGAAGCCATGCAGGGACACCAGTTAGGAGCCTGCTGGAAACTTCCAGGAGTAAAAAGAGCAGGACTTGTTTGCTTATTTGCTGAGAGGGTGACAAGAGGAGAGGATGGAGGTGGGAAAACCAGGAAGATTTCTGGCCTGGGAAGCAGGATGGGGTCATGCAGGGTGGGGTGTGGAAGGTAGGAAGGTGAGATAGACTGCCTTCAATAAGAACACAAGAAGGCAGCTTGGCACAGGAGAAATAATGACTCCATCTCTTTTTTTTTTTTTCAGTACTAGGATTTGAACTCAGGGCCTACACCTTGAACGACTCCACCAGCCCTTTTTTTAATGAAGGGTTTTTTCAAGATAGAGACTCTGGAACTATTTGCCCAGGCTGGTTTCAAACCTTGTTCCTCTTGATTTCTGCCTCCTCAGTAGCTAGGATTATAGGCTTGAGCCACCGGCACCCAACATAATGACTCTATCTTGAGACTCACTGAGTGCAGGGAACTCTCCATTCAGGTGAGATGGTAAATGGGCTGCCTAACATAGGGCTTGGGAAGGCAACGTAGAGCCAGTGGCCATACTGCTGTCGCTGTCCAGCAATGACTGGGTGCTCGAATTGCCCTGAGGGTTGCATGTGTTGGCCACTCATTCATCAAATCCTGGAGTGGGAGCAAGGATTTTCCAAGTCTATTAAACAACAGAAATTGATTTAGAAAAAAAAACCAAAACACAAAAAAACTCCTTGGAAGGCCAAGAAAGGAGGCCAAGAAGGGAAGCTTGAGGACCTGAAGTCCAAGATTAAGTGGCTTAGACCCTGGTCCCCTGACCTTCCAGCATAGGGCTTTTTCTCCTCCATAGTTCTTTCTTTTTAACAAATGCCTCTGTGAGTATGCTGGCTCTCTCCAGGAAGTAACCAGATCCTGCCCCCTGGGAACTTGCAGTCTAGTTGAGGAAACTACATTTACTCATTCACTCAATAACTATTGATTGAGCAACTGGCCCTGCCCTAGGTCTTTTTCTAGGCACTCAGGATACAGAGGGTGAACAAGCAAAACAAGGTCTTTCACTTGCCGAAGAGAATATAAACAAATACAGATATGGCTTTCAGTAGTGACAGATGTGACAACAAAGCTGAACTAGGTGGTTGCCTTGGTGGGTGGCATTAGTTGGAGGTCAGGGAAGACCCATGAAGGAAGCAGTGTTTTGACTGAGGCCTAAAAGATGACAGGGAGTCCTTCTAAGCTGGCTCCTTTAGCTAATAAGAGTTGAGACAAGGTGAGATTGGGCACTGGGGGAAATAAAAAGTCAAACAACCATCGGAAGGCTGAGAAACATACTCCTCCCTCCAGGAGCTCACAGAGAGAACTTGCACCTGCAGAGGACAGTCACTAGCTTGTAACAATGGTTACAAGCTTGAGGATTTGGAGAAGGTTCCGGGAGTTATGGGAAGCCTGTGGTTATATGGGAGACTTGAGCCAGATGAGGCTAGGAAGTGAGAATGCAGATCAGGATTCCATGCAACACAGGTGGAATTGGGGGTGAGAGGACAGAGCAGTGCATGCTGGTTTCAGTCTGAGTGAAAAATGAGGTGGCCCACAGATGGACTGGATGTGAGGCCTTGAGTGTCAAGCAAAAGACTGTCCCTCAGTTTCAGGGCCCAGGGAGCCATTTGAGGGCCTCAAGGATTCCCTGCCCCCCCCCCACTCCAATTCATTGCCCAGTTTCAGCTTTTTTGGTTTTTTGGTGGTGCTGGGGTTTGCATCTCATGTCTCTACTACTTGATCTGTTCTACCAGCCCCTCAGTTTCAACTGTTACAGAGGGTTTGCCACTCTTTCTTCCTGTCTTTTCTTTCCTGAAGCATTTTAAAGCCTTCCATGTTTCTACCTCCCTTCTAGAAATACAGAAATTTTCTTATAAATCCACAGTGCCATTATTATACTTAACAGGCTTACTAATAATTTTTCTTCCTTTTTTTTTCTAGTAGTAGGGATTGAAACCAGAGCCTCTCAAATGTAGACAAGAGCTCTACCATTACCCAGGTGCCAGTGACTCACACTGTAATCCTAGCTACTCACGAGGCAGAAATCAGGTGGATCGCAGTTCAAAGCCATGCCTAGGAAAATAGTTTGTGAGAACCTATCTTGAAAAAAACCCATCACAAAAAAGGTCCAATGGAGTGACTCAAAGTGCAGGCCTTGCGTTTAAGCCCCAGTAGCACAAAAAAACATCAAAAACCTCAAAGAAATATCTAATTTCCTTTTATTTATTTATTTATTTTTGTTCTTAGTACAAGGGTTTTTTCAAGACAGGGTCTTGCGAACTATTTGCCATGGCTGACTCTGAACCATGATCCTCCTGATCTCTGCCTCCTGAGTAGCTAGGATTACAGGCGTGAGCCACCAGTGCCCAACAAAGTGCTCTACCTCTTGAGGCATACCCCCAGTCCTTTTTTAACTTCAGTTATTTTTCATATGGGATCTCCTGTTTATGCCCGGACTGAGCTCCTCCTATTGATGTTTCCTGTGTAGCTGGTATGACAGGTGTGTACCACCAAACCCAGCTTCTATTGGTTGAGATGTGGTCTTGAGAACTTTTTGCCTCCTTATCTCTGACTCCTGAGTAGCTAGGACTGTACGTGTGAGCCACCTCGCTCAGCCTTTGTTTTTGTTTGTTTGTTTGTTTTTCTGCAGTTACTGGGGTTTGAATTCAGGGCCTCATGCTTGTTAAGCAGGCGATCTACCACTCGAGCCATTCCACCAGCCTTTTTGTTTGTTTGTTTTTGTTTTTTGAGATGGGGGGGTCTCACTGTGTAACCCAGGCTGGCCTCGAACTCACCATCCTCCTGGCTGAGCCTGGAGGGATACAGGTGCTGGAATTATAGGTGTGCACCGCCACAGCCTGTGTTCCTTTCTTTTCTTACATGTCTTTTTCTTTAGCAAGTTTGCTTCACCTTTGTGTAAGGTTACCCTTCAAATGAAAAGGCTATATTCTACAACTGTGCCTCATATGAGTCAGCAGCAACCACCCCCTCCTGGGAACAGACCCTCTGGTGCCTGTTTCCTTGGAGTCCCAGACCTAACACTTCCTACCTGTGTGACCCTGTGCACATGAATTAACCTCTCTGTGCCTCAGCATCTTCATTTGTAACATGGGGACGATGATACAAGTGCCTGCCTCATGGGCTTACTGAGACTCATGAGAGGAGCCGAGGTGCAGAAGGAGGCTGGTACCACTGCCACTCCCAGCTACTTCTGCATGCTCCAGGCTTGCAGAGGACAGAGAGAGAGAAACAAAGAGAGAGAGAGAGAATGGAGAAAGGGAGGGGGGGAGAGAGGGAGACATTCTGGAGTGTCACGCCCTCTTTCTGCCTGTGTTGCTCCACCTGTATCTTTCTGTCTTCTCTTGCTCTCTCCAGCAGCTCCCCTCTCTCTTTCCCTCTCCTCTCTGAAGCTTTTGTATCTTTTCTGTGTGTCTCCCCTCTCTTTCCACTCCACATATCTCTCTTCATGTCACTCTTGTCTTTCCTCTTGGTCTCTCAGCATTTTTCAGTTCCTTTAACTCTCTTACTATTTCTTTTCTTTGGGCCCTCCCTTTGTGTCAGTCTCTTTGGCACTCTGCTCTGGAAACTGTACCTTCAGCCTGTGTTTCTTTCATCTTCTGTTTGCAGCTGTCTCCTTTCTGCCTGTCTCTCCCCCACACCCCAAGAGTCTGCACATCTTCATCTTTGTGTCTGTGGGTCTCGTGGTTCCAGTCCCCTGCGGTCTCCCCTGGTTAGCCCTTGTTGCCACCTCCATTGTGGCCCACTCCTGTAAACCTGTAACCCATCTCTTTGTATCTTGGGGAGACTGTGTTTCACTGTTTCCATCTTCTGTTGTCTCTTCCTGGCTGGTGAGCGCATGCTTCTTTCCCAGACTCATCTCTGTTTCTCTCTCTCTCTCTCTCTCTCTCTGTCTCTCATTTTTGGTACTGGGGTTTGAACTCAGACCCTTCAGTATGCTAGGTAGGTGCTCTACCACTTGAGCCATGCCCCCCCCCCTTTTTTTTTGACAGCACTGACATTTGAACTCAGGGCCTCCCGCTAGCTAGGTAGGCATTCCTACTAGTTGAGCCATTCCACCAGCCCTTTTTTCTGTTGAATATTTTCAAGATAGGGTCTTGCAAACTATTTGCCTGGGGCTGGCTTCAAACCTTGATCCTCCTGATCTCTGCCTCCTAAGTAGCTAGGATTACAGCCATGAGCCACCAGCATCCAGCTTCCTTTTTGTTTTTGAGATAGGGTCTTGCTAACTGCCTTCAAAGTCACTGATCCTCCTGCCCAGCTCTCAGCCTCTTTTCCATTTATTTCTGTTTGCCTATCTTTTTAAAAAAATTTTGCTGTATTGGGGTTTGAACTCAGGGCCTACACCTTGAGTCACTCCACCAACCCCTTTTTTTGTGAAGGGTTTTTTTGATATAAGGTTTTGTGAACTATTTGCCTGGGCTGCCTTCAAACTACGATCCTCCTGCTCTCTGCCTCCTGAGTAGCTAGGATTACAGGTGTGAGACACTGGTACCTGGCACCTATTGCTTTTTAAAATTTCATTCCCACAATATTTACTGAGTAATTCTTCCATGCCAGGAGGTATAGCAGTGACCAAGGCAGGGCACATGCCAACTTTCAAGGAACATTTGTTCTGGTGGGGAGACAGATACCAGGCAAAAGAACAGAGCCAGCTGAGGGTGAGAAAAGGAAGGAAGGAAGGAAGGAAGGAGGGAGAGAGAGAGGGAAGAAGAGAAGAAGGAAGGAAGGTAAGAAGGAAGGAAGGAAGGAAGAGAAAAAGCTGGGTGTAGTGGTACCCCTCATTCTTCTGGGTACAGGAGTAGGCCAGGCTTCAGGCAGAGACTTGGGCCTGTGAGGACAAGCTGGCTTGGTCTGAGCTTCCCTGACAATTGCCTGTCCCTAAATAGGGACTGTGTTCCACTCAGGAGCTAGAGTGTTTAAGCCATATGCTCTCTCTGATAGCATTCATTGTGAACCAGGCTAGGGGAGACAAAAGTAAAAAGCAAGGGGCTCCAGCCCCCACAGGCAACCTAATGCAGGTGGGGGACCACCTGCTGGGCAGAGGATACCAACCACTTCATCCTCTCCCCTCTCCCTACCTCAGACAGTGTTTGACTTACATAGGGTTAAAAATGATTCGAGCAGCTGTGATATTTTTCTTAAAAATTCTTTTGAGCCAACATTTTAAAGGGAGGATATTTTATGTAAAACTCAGCTTCTAGCTTCTCTTGGGGAAAAAAATCAGATCTAGCAACACGGGGCTCATCTCTACATGGTAGCAAATAGCTGGAGCTATGTCTGGGCTGTCCCCCTAGATGGGAGCTGTGGTCTCCATGTCCCCACAAGTCTTCTTGCCTCCCTGATATAGAGGTCAAGGTCTAGTTGTCCCTGTCTGACCACAGAACTTATGCAGTAGCTGTCCTTATCCTGGAGAAATATCTTTTGAGCCGTCTCCATCACAAGTGGAGAAATGAAAGGGAACAACAAAGAGATGTCAGCAGAGCTCAGCTTCTGAGTTTGTAGTCCTGACAAGGAGCAGCCACCAGGGATATTTGTCTGGCATCTCTGTGCCCTGGCTGCAGGGACCCCTGCTTCTCCCTTCTTCCTGAGTGGACAGTCCCACCTCATGCCACCTCTCCCTGGGCCTTAAGCCCTCTCCATGCCAGCAGGATCAGGGACCAGGCCTCAGACAACAAGCAGACCACTCACCCACCTACTTCCTCATTCCCCCACTGTTTCAGAGGGGAACTCCCCAGACTTAATCTGTCTCCCTGCTGTGGCTAGCTTGATGGGAAGCCTGTAGGAGGAAGCGCAAAGAAGTGCTCCCTTTGAAACCCGGATTCAGCAGCAGCCCTGGGCTTTCCACCAGGAGGCTCCTTCCTCTGTCCTGTCCACCTGCTTCAAAGGGCAGTGCAGAAGGCCAAAGGAGTTAATGCAGCCAAAGGAGGGGTGGAGTCAGGGAGCACATATCAGACAAGGTGACAGGGAGTTTGGGTAAGAGATATGTGATCCAGGGAGAGAGACAGGAAACACAGAGGAAGCAGTTCTTAGTCATTCTTAGCATATGTTTATTGAGTGCTTACCATGTGCCAAGGAGTATGCCAGGTGCTAGGAACTGCAAAGGGGCAGGGAGGAGCCAGGGTCAACTGCTGAGTTGGCAGTGACACTGTGTCACCCTAGTTAACACAGGGAACAGATTCACCCTCAGGCACCACTCTGAAGCCTGGGCTGGACCCTGGACCCTGGATCTGGCTTGCCCATATGCTCCTTCTAGAAACGGAAAGGGATGCAGCGAGGCTAGGTCCATTCCTTCTTCATCCAGGTGGTGCAGCACATGGGCAAGTTCCTACACATTGCTCTAAATATGTACACACCCCAACACATCCAGGACACATCACACACACACACACAGAGTTAAGAAACCCAGCCAAGCAGTTGTCCAAAGAGATGGTGTGGAGGTGCTGGCCCCATAACTGGGACAGGAGTCACCCCACTCAATATAAACCTGCCCACCATCTAGAGATGATCTGGCGACACCTTTTGGCCAAGTCTCTTGCCAAAATGGGGAAGATATAAAAGAAAAGTGGTCAGTGAATGACTTCTTAAGGCTTTGCTGAGACAGGAGCTCTCTAAGGGGAGTGGGGTCAGCAGGGACAGACCTTACCATTCTTACCATGGCCACCAGTCATGGTCAGAGTCATTTTAAGTAAGTGTCCTATCATATAGGTAAGGGTAGAAACTTGCTGTCTGCCTTTTTTTTTTTTTTTTGCAATACTGGAGTTTGAACTCAGGGCTTCACACTCTTTGGGCAGGCGCTCTGCCACTTGAGCCATGCCTCCAGCCCGTCCACTCTCTTCCCAGTTCATAATGCCTTCTGTGGTTGAATATCTACAAACTGCCAGGTGTACTACCATGCAGACACGGTACACTTAGCTGTTCTTGGAGGGCACTGTTGACTCCATTTTATAGACAGGAACTGAGGTTCAAGACTTGCCTAAGGTTCTTAACCTCTGCTCTTCTCTATCTTTTCAGTATTGAAAAGGGTCAAGGTCAGGGAGCTGCTAGTGTCCCTGGTTCAGTCTTGGATCTGCCCAGGACAGTGAGAATAACTAACTTTAGGGACCAAGGAACACAGGTGGTGGCTCCATGCTGGCAGGGAGAGGCCAGAGTTGTGACGGGCTGACCTCATGAAGGATGCAGAACCTTTGTGACACTCGGGAAGCTTTGTTCACCCCTGCTTACCCTGACCCTCCATCCCAGGGAAGGGCTGCTGCCTGAAAAGCAATCTCTTGCTTTGGGCGGTCCTGGGCTCTACCCTCCTAAGCCCATGGTCTATATTTGAGGAAAATGGGCTACCACTCTGAAGTTGGGCCCCTGGTAATAGGCACGGTAAGGCGCCTTGCTGTCCAAAGACCCCATAAGAAACCATTGTGTGTGTGTATAGGGGGGCAGACACTGCTATGGAAATGGCCCCTGAAGCCCAGCTCTGTTGAAAAGGCAGAACTGAGTTATCTGAAGGAGCGCCTCACCACAGGTTGCTTCTAGATGTCCCTGCTCGACATCTATCAGAATGTGTATCTGCTAAAATCTGTACAACCAAGAAGTATATCAAAACCTCCACTTAGCCAGGAGGATGGAAAGTTCCAAACCAGCTTCAGTGACATAGCAAAACTGTCTCAAAACAAAAAACACCCCCAAAACTCCACTTAGTATTTGTGCTACCATCTGGGAGAGTCCTGCCTGTATGACTCCAACACTGGCTATCCTTCCTTTTTCGGTGTCTTTGGGGCCTAGGGCAATACGATGCCCTCAGACTGCCTGGGCCATGATAAGGGTTTGTTGTTCTTTTGACCAGGGCAATATTGGCACAGGAGGGAAAGGGACGTGGAGTGAAACAGAGACCCTAAGGCCTGCACCTTGTCTTTGGCCTTTACCATGGTGGACGGGGCTCTGTGCACAGGCCCAGCAGGGGGAACTGCAGATAGAAGTCTAGAAGGCTTGGAGGAAGTCATACACAAAGAATGCCCAGACCAAGGTCTAGAGAGACTACAGAGGGGGTCCCAGCACTGTCCCTGAGGCTGGTCTTGTCCTTGGCCTCACTCTGAAATCACAAGGCTGGACATCATTTCCGTGCCTTCCTCTCCCTCACTCCCAACCCTGGAGGACAAGGGGAAAGAATGGAAGGCATGGCCACTTGGCACCCTGCCTGTGACCACCCTGTGGTCCCATCCTCATCTTAAGGCACTCCATTTTGAGACTGGGGTGACCAGGCATTGCACTCCCAGGTAACCCATCAACCTTCAGGACTCAAATGATTCTACCAAGTAGAACTCAGTCTACTCCTGAGGAAACCTTGGATCCAAGAAATGGAGACCATACTTGAACTTGTTCCCCCTCCTCAGGCTGTTGCCACCCGACTAATGGCCTGGCAGCCTCTGGAGCTGCAGGTCTGAGTGCGATGTCCTAGTCTACAGGGCTTTGGCCGCTCTGATGACATAAGATTTACATTTGAGTCCTGGTTCTAATCTTGGGCAAGCTACTCCACCTCTCTGAGCCTCAGTGTTTCCAACTGTAAAATGGAGATGATAACATAGCATCTATTTCACTCTAGATTGTTACTATGATTCAATGATAACAGGAAAACATGTAACTTATCAACACTTCAAAGTCAGGGTAATTATGACTGGCCTCTGGTTTGCCACTCCCATGTTCGAGCCTCTAATCCTCCCGCACTGTTGGCTATGGCCTGTTTTTCACCCCCATTTCTACTTTCCCAATGCCAGCATTTTCCCTTAAACTGCCACACCCTAAAGGCTGCTGGGCCTAGGTGCTGCAGAGGACAGCACAAGCCGTATCTGTCTAACCTCAATGTTCCTAGCTTACAAGAGACCTTGCCAGTCAGCATTTCTCCAAACTGCCTTCCTCTCCACCAGTACCAAACCCTGGTGGCAACAGAACCAAGGCAGAAAAAGATCTGGAGTCCACAATTTTAAGACCCCAGGAGCCTCAGCAGCAGGTGGTCATCAGGTCACAGGGGGGAGATAATTCAAGTGGTTACAGCCAGGCCTTAGCAGCATGCCACATCCCTTCTTTTTGGTTTGTTTTTGAGATAGGGTCTCTCTATGTAGCTCAGGCTGGCCTCAAACTCCCTATCCTTCTGCCTCAGCCCCCCTACCTCAGTGCTGGGATTACAGACAAAGGTACACCACAACACCCAGTGCCACATCCCTTCTTGGACAACCATGATGCTTACAGTGTGGCAAAGTGCTGTGCTTGCTGTGAAGAAATCTGCTTGACTTTAACTCAGCATTTCCCATATAGACTATTTTAAAACCAGACTAAACATTAAACCATCACAGGCCAGTGTTCTGAAAATGTGAAGACAGTTCTTTTCGGGGTCTTGCACATGCTAAACGTGTGCTCTACCACTGAGCTATATCCCCAGTTTTTTGCGGTTGTGATTTTTAACATTTGAGCAGACCAGAGCCGAGATCTGGTGGTTCATTGTTACTGTGGAGCTTCAACTTGGCCTGGGTCTGTCCCTTTCTCTTCTCTATCCCCCAGCCACATACTGATGTTGTTCTCTGAGCCCATGGTTCTTCTGGGGTCATCCCATGTCCTGTGCTCAGGAGGAACCCTAGAGGTTGTGGGACAGCGACAGGACATCTGTGTAGACAATGAGAAGGGATCAAGATTAGCCAGTTTGGCTGAGACGGACAGAAGGGAGCAGACAACACTTCTGTGAAGCTGAATTTGTCTAGGTGGGGCTGTAAGGTCTTTTCTGGCCCCCTGTTGCTCCCCAGACAAGTCACCCAAGGAAATGGTGAGCAGCCAGGTACAGCTTGGGAGGTCAATGGTAGAACATCCTGTCCTGCCTTTTCCTCTCAAGCTCAAAACAGGCACATACAGCAGTCAGCTGATGCTAGGTCATCCCTTACCAGGAGGAAAGTGGATTTATTGCTTTATAAAAAGAAGTCCCATAAAACTTGAGAAAACAACTATATGCCTAAAAAAAAATCAACCTACCCCTTTTGGCACTCTGATAAGTCTCAGACACATTTCTGGAGACTGTCAAGGTGGGAGGGTTGGTAAGCCAGGTAGGTCTGGCCTCTCCCATGTGAACAGCTCCAGAGCCCTGATGAGTCTACCAGCAGGGGGTGCTGTGGCCTCACGGCCCTGGACAAGCTTCTGGCTATGTGCAAGGCTGACTCTCAGGTTCTGGGCCTATGCAGACCAGGCTGGCTCTTGGTCTAGTTAGTGGGGTAAGAGCAGACTCTAGAGCCCACCATCATCTCACACACACCAACATATACACACACACCCCACAGGAACACACACCTCTGTCCCTCACCAACCCACTTCTCTGCTCCATGTCTGTCAACCACAGCCTTATTTCTGCCCCACAAAAACAGTTGTGTATAGTGGGGTAACTTGGTGGCGCCCCTTTAATTCCCTTCAGGTCGCAGACTGAACCCAGAGTGGCAGTGGCAATGTGCTCCACTCATCCACAAAGGGAGGTGAGCTATGACCGATCAGCCTTGTCCATGACTCCTGAGTCTTTGTCTTCCCATCCTGCCCTTCAACCTCTCCCCAGGCTGTGAGCCGGGGCGTGGTGGTGGTGGGGGATGATTCTCTGTAGGCCACCAATGAGAGGACTGGCCACAGACAGGCCACAGGGGGCTGCGATTACAAAGGGGTTAGCACCAACAACAGGAAGCGGGTCCTTCCTTCCTCAGGCAGCCTCAGACTGGCCAGGGGAGGAGGTGAGGGGCCAGGCAAGGGGATGCAGTCAGTGCAGGCCTTTGTCCTCGGGCAGGCGTGCTTGATGGACATGCAGCCGAGGGGCATGTGGCAGGGCGTGGACAGCAGGCACCTCTGCCTTGGCGAGAGTCAGAATCCAGACCCTTGAGAAAGAGAGCCTGCCTGCTGAGTGTGCCCTGGGCTCCTCCTGCAGGCAACACGGGAGACCTAAGGCCCAGCGTCCCTTGGGGGTTAGAGCAAGGCCAGGGCAGCCATGCTTCCAGCAGAGGAAAATCGCCCGTCCTGGGTTCTCTCCTGTCTTTCCTCCATGGAGCTCCAAAGCAGGACCAGGGCCCTGTGAAGGATGAGGACTCCATTGTGGCGAAGGAGATGATCCTGGGGGGTGGGGTCCTCTGGGGTGGGGAGGAGTGTCTCGGTCAGTCACTGAAGCATGAGCAGGAGGCCACAGCTGTGAGGTGGTGGCACTAGACAAAAGCCTCCTGGTTGGATGAGCCATTGATCTTGAGGAACAGCTTGTCATCTTCCCTCTTCTGCTGCAGCTGCCTCTCCAGCTGGCGCCGGTAGCAGATCAGGTAGAGGGGCAGGCAAAACCCTAGCATGCTCATGATCAGCAGTCCCACGTTCACCTGGAGAGGCAGGAAGAAGAGGCCATGACAGGGGGCAGGGGCTGTGGTCAGCAGGGCCCAGCTCAGCACGCTCCTGCACATTCAGGTTTGGGAGAGGGGGTGGTCACGGGAGAAGACAATGAAAAATGAACCAGGAAGGTCCAACAGGTCCCAAGGCTCATCACTCCACATTCCAGCATCTAAATTTCCTGGTTCTCCACAGGCCACTCAGCAGCAGCCCTCAGGGCCTAAGCTGAGATTGGGACAACCCATGGAACCTGTTAAGAATCCTGGCTCTTGAAGCCAGGTGCCAGTGGCTCACGCCCGTAATCCTAGCTACTCAGGAGGCAGAAATCAGATGGATCATCTTCAAAGCCAGCCTGGGCAAACAGTTTGTGAGACCCTATCTCAAAAAAACCCAACACAAAACAGGACTGGCAGAGTGGCTCAAGGCCTGCCTAGCAAGCATGAGGCCCTGAATTCAAACCCCAATACCACCAAAAGTAAAAAAAAAAAAGAATCGAATCCTAGTCCTTGGCAGGATTTATAGGAAATCTCTTCTATTTACCTCAAATCAGGTTCAAAGAGGTTGTTTCTCCTCCTGCCTGGCCACCATTCACAAAGGGACCCTGTCTTTGTTCTAACCAAAGTTCCCAAATGGCCCACGCTTGGGACTCCAGCCCAAGTGAGGCCTCCCAGCTCCCAGACAGCAGAGTGGAGAGATGCCCATGATCACTGTCCCCTGACCCTTCTTACCCACAGAGGGTCTCCTTGGAGGGGACCCATCATGGCCAGAAACAGAGGCTGTTGTAGGAGGGCAAAGAGTGCGCTGATCAGAGACTGCAGTCCTGTGAGGCTGCCAAACTGTGTAGACGGGTACCTGTTGGGGCAATCAAGACCTGTCACAGTCTGTGCCATTCCTAGGCTTCCCAACCTACCATGGCCCAGCTGAAGTGTGCTGGAATCCCAGAGCAGTGCTTTGGATGCCTGCCTGAGGCAGGAACAGCCTCAGGACAGTTGGGTGCTGGCTCAGAGTTACTTTCTGCTGAGCGGCTCTATAGTTGCTGTTTTGGACCAGCCCAAGCCCCAAACTCTGGGAAGGGTCCCCCCCCTCCAGATGTGCGCTGGGCCTGTGGGTGTCTGGCAGAGTTGAGTGGAAAGTGTGGTGCCAGCAGGAGTCTGTGGCTTGGGAAACGTGCCCGGGGAGCAGGTTGGAGGCTGGGCTGGGCTCTGCTGTACCCTCCTCCAAAGAGCATTGTGTAATCATGGAAACTCAGCATCACAGCTCTTGCCCGACTCCCTCACACCCTGCCAGGGCAGCCACAACTTCCTCCAGGCCTGGGGGGGGGAAGGCGGGGGACAAGCAGACCTGGAATGACCCCCGTGGGATGCTGTTGCTGGAAGAGGGAGTTCTGGGTTAGGTTTCAATGAACATCAGGCTTTGCTACCCCAGAGACGGAAGGGGCTTCCATCAAGGAATGAGCTGGCCTCAAGGTCAGAGACAGTGGATAATGGTGTTTGAGTTCCAGTTTTGGGGCCAAGCAGCCCTGGGTCAAAGGAGGAGGAACAGCTGGGCAGTCTCTTGGAAAAAGATGCTGTTTCATTTCAGCCAGGGGCCAAGAAGGCTGTGGTCAGCAGTGGACCCTTTAAGGCCCTGGGAAAGGACAGCCTGGCACATCCTGGGCTCAGTCACTGCCCATGCTGAAGACCATGTGAACTTCAATATTTAGCTTCAGGCAGCCAGAACCCAGCCTTGTCCCAATAAGCAGCCAGGGGCGGCCCCAGAACTCAGCTGAGCAGTGGCCCCTGGGGCCCTAATGACTGGTACAGGGGCACTGACCCCACCTGAGGGATTGGCTTCATATTAAATACCAAGGCTCATGGGCACTCAACTGTTTGCCCATGATCCACCTGCTGCCAGGTGTGGCCTTCCCCGACACAGCCAGTAGAAATCCTGGTACCTGTTGTCTGATGCTGGGACAGGCTGGCCCAGTCCAGGGTTTCAGTCCCACAGCAGCCTCCACAGATCCCCTCACCCACCAGACTACCCCAACTTCAGGGACTTACACAGCAGCATACAAGCCCCCCACAGCAGAGTGGATGAATCCTCGCACGACCGTGTGCAGGATGAAGGAGAAGATCTGAGGGAGGGAGAGCAGAATGTGAGCAGGAGACCCCAGGGCCCTCCTTTGTCCCCACCTCCAGTTCCCAGGGTCACAGGAGTGGAAGCAACCTGGAGTTGTCTGCTGCCAGCTCTCCAGAGCTGACTACTGAATTTTCAGGAATTATGAGGCCAGCTGTTAAACACAGTATTAAAAATTAACTTGTATGAACTTATAATTAAATAGATTGTTAAAATGAAGGTAATGACTACTTAACTTTGTCACTTCCTAATCCTTTTACTATGTTTTCCTATGGTCTGTGCTCTGTCTTATGTCTACTGTGTGTGCAGGGTGGAAACCAGCTCATGATGGTGGGTTATTCTTTCCACCTCCTTCCAATGACATCATATTGGGAGCCTGAAGTCAGTCATGACACGGTATTTGTACCATGGACATCTGCTAATGCTACACAGGTCAGGGATCTTTCTCTCCAGTCCCCAAGGCCCACCCAGAGCACAGCACTGAGTAGGAGATTGCTAACCCTGACCTTGATCTCCTGTCTTCGTTCCCTTGAGGACTTGCCCAGAAGTTTCTCTGCCTGGTTACTCAGGCCCTACTGGCAGGCGGCTGGTTTCCTCTCCTTAGCAAAGCTCTACTGCAGACTTCTGGTGGAGAAGAGGGTTGGGTATTTCCCTGGGAAGGCTACCGCTGCCAGGCTTAGCAAGCTCTGAGAAGCCATTGTTAGTTAATGATCCCTGAGAGGCGTCAGAGCATCCGCTTTGCCACCAGGACCCTGTGTTTGTCCTTTGTGTCTTTTATACACAGCCCTGCCATCTTGCTTAGCAGCTTCCAGGAATGTGGGTAGTGGTGAGGGAAGGGGCTGCCATTGGCAGTGTTGAAGAGGGCTGTGCCTGTATGTCACACACATGCACATGCAGACACTTCAAAATCCTTGCTCCCTTTTCACAACTTGTTCTTCAATGAGAATGCAGTAGAACAAAAAGCAGACAGTCCTCCACGAGCACTGCCTCTTGATCAGACAGGATGGTTAGGGCAAGGGTCTGCCAGTCTTACAGCAGAGCAGTAAGGGATGCCAGGGAGGATGCCTGGGGCAACAAAACTTGCACCTGAAACTGGTGCAAGTTGCCCACAGCTTACTCTGGTCTGTACACCCAGAGTTGGCATGTACACGATAGTACCTGTGGATGCACACACCTGTGTGCACAATGTAGCCCAACACCTGGCCCCTCGTAAACAGGAAGGGCCTCTTGCTTCCTCCATACAATCTGGACTTGGGCTACGCCCATCAGGAAGGACTGCAATCACTTACCTCCCTTCAAGTGTGTTAACTTGGGGACTGGGCCAAAATCTACCATTAGAATTCTTTCACAGACCAAAGGGTGGGGCCAGGCAGGTGACAAAGTCTACCTTGTTCACAACCTTAACAAATCAGGTTTCAAAAACATCAGCAATCTGTGCAAAGCCAGGCATGGTGGTCCATGGCTGTAATCAGGAGTCTGAGGCAAGAGGATCATGAGTTCAAGGCAAGTCTGGACTACATAGGGAGACCCTGTCTCACCAAAAGGTAAAGAAATTTTGTGCAAAGAAATTAATCGTTTGAACCCAGATGCCAAGTCATGATCGTGTTCTCCACTCTCCAGGGCAGGGGCCCTATGGGCACTCATGCCAGGGAAGATGCCAGTTTGGCAAGACTTCTTTGCTTTGGACATCAGACTCCAGCTGCTGGAGCTAATGCAAAACAAGTAACTGTGCTACAACCCCACATGGTTCCAAGAAATTGACAGTGGCAGTACTCATGGTATGCAAGGTGCCCAAAAGACCAAAAAGAACAATATGCTTTCACAGAGAGAGTTTGTGAAAGATGGCCCAAGTCTTCTTCCCCATTCACCCTCCCATCGAGCACAGAGCCTGGCAGGTGGCAGTTCTGTCAATAATGGCAGCTGGCCATTAAACTGAGTGAATAAAAAGTCATATTTGCTTTATTGATGTTTTTTGTGATATATCACATACTTTTTAGTCTCTAAACAATGTTCCTTCTCATTGTCCCATCCCTCATGTGGCCTCTCCCTCTCCCCATACCTACCTGTAGAGGCAGATTGGGAATGAGACAGGTCACCCCAAAGCCCACAAGCAGCAGGTTTGTAAAGGCAAAGGCCCGCATGGCATTGGTAACCTTCTGGATCTGCCGGTCCCGCTTCTTCTTCTTCTTCTCGCCTCTGTGGAAGCAGAGTACACAGAGGAGCTGGGGGGCTCCCTGGAGGAAGGTGGGCTAGCTCAAGAAGTTAGGCCTCAGGCATCTCAACACGTGAACTGATGCAAGACTTACAAGCAACCACAGCACAGCTAGGGGCTGTGTCTGGGCTAGAGCAGCTCTAGGGACACTCCTTAAGGCCATCTCATTTGAACACAATGTGCAACTCAGTGGAGGGTCTTAAACCTGGAACAGTTCTCAACACACCGTATTGCTTAATGAAGACTGAGCTCAGATGATGGGGAGGGAAGCAGGAGAACGTTCCTTGGGCTAGGATGCAGCAAAGCCTCACTTCACCATTAGCTCTGAGTTCACCCAAATCTTGCAGGAAGCTGGTAACATGCCAGGTAATAAGCCAAAGAGTAAATGGATTTCCTCCTGGGGGGCAGGAGAGGGTGACGGACAGAGATGGGCACACATTACCTCTTGGCTATAGAGCCTGACCTAGGTAACAGAGCATTCGCTGTAATTATTTTCTTGTGGATTAACTACTACCGATTCTATTCTCACCTCCCACACCGACACCCCAGGGATATCCAAGAAAGAATGTCAAGTGCTTGGTGATATGCAGGGAGTCCTAGGCCCACCGCTTCCTAACTATGTGACCTGTGACCTCAGGGAGACAACTCAAATACCGAGCTTCAGTCCCCTCATCTGTAAAATGGGTACAACACTAATTCACACCTCCTTCTTGTGTTGTGAGGCTGAACTGAGGCATTGTGTGTTAAGTGCCTGGCGCTGGGCCTGATACAATAAATAACAGCTTATTATATTAAGGTGGAGTCACAGAAGACCACGTTTAACTCATCCTCTGATCTTAGAGCCCAACCCTTCCATAAAGCAGGGCTCCAGCACCTTAGTTGAGCCTCACAATCATCAACAAACCTATTAACACATCTGGTTACAGCAGCTTACTACTTGAACTGAGTGGAATAAACCCTGGAGGCAAGTAGCTTTAAGACAGTCTCATGGTGCTGGCATGCCAAGGACTGGGGGCCATTCTGGGGCCCTGGTCTTTCCTCTGTTGCCTCCAAACTTCAGTGCATCAAAGAATTTCCATAAGGAAGTGGAAGACTGAGTGCGGGTCAAGCTGGGCTTGGACAAGCCAGTGAGCGACGTCAAGAGTTTGCAAGAGTACTGAGAGCACTCCTTTCTTGCCCTTCCTACTGCCTGGAAAATCGAATCTGCCCACCCTAGCCTTGCCTAACATGCAACTCAGTCGTCTTTTTCCAGGGACTGGGCTATGGCCCTGCCTACGCACTGGGTGGCGTCTTTCTCCTCAGGCTCCGCAGAGGCATCTTCGCACTCCTTCAGCCGCCAATCCATGATGTAGCCGATGACAGGGGCTGTCAGCAGGCAGAGTAGTTGGAGCACGCCAAAGATGGAGGTGTAGAGGGCGACTGGGGAGGAAGACAGAGCATCATGGGGACTCCTGCACACAATCCTGGGGGACAGGCCAGACACAGTCTGAAGGGGCTGATACTTGAAAGCCTTTCTGGGATCTTGAGGGGAGCCCAGAGACCTTAACCTCTGAAATCAAAGCTGGATCAAGAGGCAGGTCACCCAATTTTCTGCTCCAAATTCTCTGCTTGTTTCCCAGAAATAGCTAATGAAATCCAGTATGTCACAATGACCCCCCCACCAGAAGTTCCAGGAAGTCACTATGACTTGGGAACCACAAAATTACCAATGCCCCTCACTGAGGTTTTGTGTATGACTGGCCATTGGTTTTCTGCCTCTAGAAATATACCAGGAAGGCACGACTCACAGGGACTCTGATGTAAGAGCTTCCATCTTCAAAGATACTTAAAATTATATTGTGTGTGTGTGGGGGGTGTATTCAAGGAAACAGCTGCAGTTATTTGGCCCACCCTTATCCCCTACTAGTTTGACCAAGAGGGATATTTGGAATTCAAGGTGAGAGGTGTTGACTGGCTAGGAGGGGTGTTACAAGGTTCCCTGACAACCACCCTGCTTACCTGTGGCCATCACTGCATTGAGAAAGCAAGGGCAGAAAAGCAGACAGGAGACAGGTTAGTAGCAGAAATTGCAAGTCATTACAGGCAGGCGGGGACAGGAGGCAGGCTAGCTCAGACTGCAGCACATATCCCACTTCCCGTGAGACCCTCCTCAGAGTGCTCGGGGAGGCTGAGTCTGTCACAGGCTCCCAGGACAGTTATGAGAACGGGCTCAGCTCAGGTGCCCGCTGATTTCTCCTGTCTCCTGTTTCCTAATCACGGGCAGGCTGGTGAGTCAGGCCTGTGGCGCTGGCCAGCACCGTGATAGGGGAAGTGGCATGCTGTGTACAGAAGGCCTGGCAGACTCTGAGTCCCCACTACCACGTGACCCTGTGGGAATTATCGATCCATCACAGTTACCTCCTGCTGCACCCAGAGAGTGAGGTGAAAGAATCTACCCTGAGCACCAAGCCAAGCCATCTGATATCACAAGTCTCTCACAGTCAAAGTTATCTTTCTACCCCACCCACTCCCTGACCCACCAACAGCCCCTCTGAGCAGAGCGAGGGCTGCAGATGTTGGGTGCCAGAGGAACAGGATGGGGAAAACCAAGCCACTGGTGCCCAGCTCAAAAGTGACTTTTTGACTGTAGGAAATAGTTGGAAAAAATTCCCCAGGCAGGAAAAGATTTTTACTTGAGTAAAAGACCAGGTTGCCGGTGGCTCATGCCTGTAATTCTAGCTACTCAAGAGGCAGAGATCAGGAGGATTGTGGTTCAAAGCCAGCCTGGGCAAATAGTTTGAGACTCTATCTCGAAAAAACCCAACACACAAAAAAAGGGCTGGTGGAATGGCTGAAGAGGCGTAGCCATGGAGTTCAAATATCAGTACTCAAAAAAAAAAAAAAAAAGATCAGAGGTTGCCTTGCGAGAGAGGCCAGGGATCAGCTTTTCCTCAGGGGGCTATCTGGATTTTTAACGAGTGTTACATTTTAAAAAGGTTCCACCAGGTGTAGTGGTGGACATCTGTAGTCTCAGCTACTTTAGAGGTTTATGCAGAACTGCTTGAACTCAGGAGTTTGAGACTAGCATGGGCAACACAGAGAGACCAAGAAAGGAAGAAAGCAGAAGGAGTGGAAAGAGAGGGAGGGGAAGGAAGGCAGGAAGACTTAAAGGGTTCTAGGATGGAAATGAGGGGAACATCACTGGGCTAAACAGGGCTGACTCAATAGGTTCCGTTCCCCTGGAAGCTCCTGAGGGCCTTTACTCATGTGCTTTTCAAATTTTTGCACACGACACTCAGCATTTCTCCATTTTGCTTCGGAACCAGTGTTATCTGCTTCCCTGCTTTCCTTTTGTGAAAAGCAGGACTTCTTACCCGTTAAAAACAGATATTTGCTATTTTTACAAGGCCTATGGCATCTTCCCCTTGGTAAAAACAAGTAAACCAACAAAAGAAAGTTGCACGCCAGTGAGCTTGCCAGCAAAGAGGATGTGCCGACTGTGTTTGTCCCACTTGCTCGGAGATGACTAAAGCTGACTCAGCTCAAGCCCTGGGGAAGTACTGACTTTCTCTGGAGAAGCAAAGCCTCCCTCCACTGAAGAGCTGCACTGCTGTTTTTCCACGTGGGTTATCAGTTCTGTTTACCGGCGTTAACAAGCCTCAACTGGATTGCGCGCTCCTCCTGGAAGCCTCTGCCGCCACCATTTCCCAGTCTCCAGCCAACACACCCACCCTCCCCCTGGGCCCCCAGGGTCTCCAGATGCCGTATCTGTGGTCTACAGGGCTGGGCGTGGGACTGAATTTACTGTCTTCAGCAGCCTCCAGGTGCAGGCCTCTGCTCTGCAGTGTTTTCGCTTACACACACATACCCTGGCCTTCCCTGCCTGCCCTGGAAACATAAACCCCACACCCTAAGCACATGGAGCTATTTCAGTCCTCTCCTCCCTCCTGATCCGGGAAACCCCGGATGGGGACATGAAAGAACAGTCAGGCTGGCGGGGACGAAACAGCTCTGGTAAGCCAACAGGGCCCCACTGATCCAGCTCCACCTAACACCTAGCACTCGTCCACACTGGCACTTGAGGTGCCTCTCCTGACATTATGCACCCAGCTCCAGGGGACACCTACCTGCATTCTGGTCACCGCTAACCAGGAACTCAAGGATGCTGTTCATAGCCCCCATGTAGAAGATGAGCCGCAGCTGCGTGACGCACATGGTGACCAGGCTGAGAAGCAGGATGGGGCTGAACACACTGTGCATGAAGGAGGGGGCTGCTGTGGGGAGAAGATGTGGGACTCAGGGTTGGGACACAGCCCACATACCATCCAGGACGTGGGGGGTCGGGGGGGTTGTTGGTGGGGGGCTCGTAGAGGAAGGAAGCCTGATGTGCTGGAGATGAGGGGAACTGGGAAGGGCCCCAGCGAGGTTCGTGGTGCTGATGCTGGATTGGACAAGTCCCCTAACTCTCTGAAACCTTAGGGTGTTCACCTGTAATTCAGGGCAAGCAGTGCCACTGCCCCTTTGGAATGAACTGGGAATTCAGTGAGACGATACCCGCAGAGCCTCAGTGCAGCCCCAATCGAGGGGGCCTGGGCTGTTGCTTCCAGATCTGAACTGGCAGCTACTCCAAGTTGCCCAGGGTGTGGATGCAGTTGCCCCTGTAGACATCTCAGGTGGATCTGGACGGTGAGGACCACGAGCCAGGTACCTGTAGCATCTGGCTGGCACTTCACCTCCAGGTCGACGGTTGACAGGCACAGCTTGTGACCCTCCTGCAATGCAGCTTGCTCCTTGGCACTCCTCATGGAGCTGCCCACACTCAGGCGGCGCCCCACTGTGGTCACCTGCTTGTAGAACTGCTTCCCTGTGATCTTGTGGTCAAAGCCCAGCCAGCTGAACTTGATCTTCACCCTGGAGGCAACAGGAGGGTGTTTGTTGGTGCTTTCCAGGACCCTGGCTGGCATGAGGGTGGGGCAGAGAGCACGCCTACTTACGAATAGTCCATGTCCTCTGGCCCTGGGAAGGGCTCCAGGGGCCAGTTAAAGAAGCAGTTGAGGAAAACCAGCCCAGAGCATCCGGCCCAGACCACAAGGATGACGATGAAGGAGGCACCAGAGTCATAGATGAGCTGACAAGCACAAAGGGATAGTGGTGGGAAGAGGGAAAGCCAAAGTGGGCAGAATGTCATTAACCTCCTGTGCACCCAATATGGACCACATTGTCTTGGAGAGGCCTTTGCTGGCCACCCTGTTACTGTTATATCTGTCTCATCAGCTCACAATGAACAGTGCTGGCTGAGATGATTCTGCTTCTTGATTCATTCACCTGTGTATTGTCAGTCTACCTCCCTGAGGACAGGAATCTGCTAGCCTCATCCACTGGTGTTTCTCCAGTACCTTGCAGAGTACACATGGTAAGTGCCCCAAAATACTCAAGGAATGCAGACACGAACATCTCCCTCTGTGAAATGTCTCCCTCTGCTTGACCCTGGCACACGTCCTCACAGTGGGACTAGGTGAATGTGATACTGGCAGAGTAAGGGCTGGGTACCTGGCCTGGCAAGCAGGCAGGTTGCTGAGCCTGCTAGTGGCTACTGTCATTAGTACCATTTCTTTCCAGCACCTATATGGGAGTTCCCAAAGTACTGGCACACAGCTGCCCAGCTCCCCAGGGAGGAGGCCAGCACTTAGCTACTAAGAAGAGGAGGAACTTGAAGGCTCCTCCACCATTCAGGAGCAAGAGAAAGTTCACAGGATGGCCAGCCAGGTTCCTAGCCCCTGCCACCTGGATTCCCAGGTGCCCAGCCTACACCCATGACTCCCTCTCCTTACCACAGCCCACTGCCCACCCCCACCCCGCACACAGTGTAGCTACAACTTGGTGCTGGTGTCTGGGAGGAAGAAGCCCCTGCTGAAACCCTGACAGGACAGCAGGACTTGGATGGGCCTGGTGGACGGTGAAGCGTGTGCTTCATCCTGACCCAGTGTGACTTCCACAGGCTCAGAATCCAGCCTAGGGGGGAAACAGCTGAACCAACTTAGCCAAGAGCAGCACTTTGGCTAACGGGGAGCAACAGCCCAACAACAGGCTGGGAGCACTCAGGACCGGAGGTGAGTTCACTCACCCTCCTTTTCCTACCCTGGCCTGTGGTCACACACTACAGCGACATGGGCCCTGCGGTGACAGGTGCTTCCTGCTCAGGTGGGAGGGGTGGAGAGGGGCTGTCCCTAGTGCCCACAATTCCTTCTCTCATCAGAGAGGGTTACAGCAGCCTTGGGGAGGCCTCTGAGCAGAGATCAGGACAAAGCAAACGTGCTGGAAAACCGCTGGCCACATTCTCACCTTGATTCCTGGGAAGGTGACTGCCGAGGAGGCGTAAGATCCAATCATCAAGGCAATAAACGTGGACCGAAGGTCACCAAACATGTTGGGCAGCTAAGGGGACAGAGGAGGAAAGGTTTAGGGAGAGGGAGCAGAGAAGCAAGGCACTGTCAGACCTCAAGTCTCACCTGCTCTCCCTCCTGGGTAATCCACAGGGTAGGAGTCCAGGGTAATTACTGCTAATTGCAAGCTTTCTCTAGATGTGAAGAGATGATTATTTCACTTTCTGCCTGGGATTACCCCACCCCACCCCCACTCCCTGGCATAGGCCAGGGGCCTTGTCTTTGCAGGTTTACACTGAGACGCAAAGCCTTAGGCACTTCTCAAAGCAAGAAAGCCCGTTAAAAATAAGAATCTATTTGGGGATAAGAGTGTCATTTTATAAATAAAAATATCAGAGTACCAGAAGGACCAGATGTCAGCAAAAGCTGCCTTCGGTTTTGAGAGTAGGTTTCTGGAAGGTGCCAATCAGAATTCTATAATTCCCTCGTGGCTGACAAGGGTTTCCGCTTTTCAATTTCTCTCTTTTTGTTCTGGGTGCACTGGTGTTTGAACTTCCGGCCTTACACTTGATAGGCAGTCGTTTAGTCTACCACTTGGGCCACAGTGCTGGCCCCTTTCGCTTTAATTACTTTTGAATAGGGTCTAGCTTTTTTGCCCAGGCTGACCTGGACTGTAATCTTCCTATTTTCATTTCCCATGTAGCTGGGATGAAAGTCATGCCACACACAGTTTTTTACTGGCTGAGATGGGGTCTCACAAACTGCTTGCCAGGGTTGGCCTCAATTCTCAATTCTCCTGATCCCCACATCCTGAGTAGGTAGGATTACAGGCATGAGTCACTGCGCTCAGCTCCTGCTTCTGAATTTCCAAGGGCAAGGAGAGAATTCTCTCCTCTCCTAGTGATCAATTGGTACCTGAGAAGGTCAAGTTTAGAAAGACTCAGGCTCCATTTCCAACATGGCCACTCTCAGTGTCACACAGCAACTTGCCCTGGGAGCAAAGCAAGAGGGGGCTCATCTAAAATGACTTCCAGGATGAACCCTCCAGTGACTGCAGAAATCCAGGTGTGGTTAAGATACTATCACAGACGCATGAATTTCAACAGATGTGGAGATGAACACGTCCAACCAGCCAGCCACACTTTTCCAACTCCAGAAGAGACTGCACTGCATGTACACCTACAGTGTCCCTGGTGTTGGGGACACTATGAAAACTATGCCAACCTAGTGTATTGAATTCAAGCTGCATATATGGACCTTAAGCTATGCTCCCCTTCCCCATTTGTCTTAAATCATTTTTGGTTTATCAAACATGGCTACAGCTAAGTGTGGTGGTGCACACCTACAATCCCAGCACATAGGAGGCTGAGGCAGGATTGAGAGTTCAAGGTCAGCCTAGCCTACACAAGAGAAATTCTATCTCAAAAACGAAACAACCATGCCTACTGCAAGCAGCTCATTGCTGCTGAACAGAGGTAGTTGGAACTTAGCTATCACTTCTGTTTTACCCACAATTGTCAATAAGCAATGCATATTATCAAAATTTTAAAAATTCCCAAGCTCACCATCAAGAAAATGAAAAGAGCAAGGCGCCAGCAGCTCACATCTGTAATCCTAGCCACTCAGGAGGCAGAGATCAGGAGGATCTCGGTTCAAGTCATCTTCAAGCAAATAGTTTTCGAGACCCTATCTCGAAAAAATCCATCACAAGAAAAGGGCTGGTGGAGTGGCTCAAGAGGTAAAAAGCCTGCCTATCAAGTGTGAGGCCCCAGTACCACCAAAAAAAAAAAAAAAAAGAGTAAGAAACTTAAGATTTTGGGGGCTATCAGGAATAAGAAGAAATGAATTAATTATACTGTAGGTACAACTAAGCCACTTCATGGTGTGAGGCTGGGGTCGTCAGCCAAGATCTCCAAAGAATTTCAGGTACACAAAAAGTCTTCCCCTGTAGAGTGGGTCCTTCTCAAGAAGGGTGTAAGATGGGTACAGGACAGGGGCACAGGAAACATAGTACATTCGTGAGTGCCCAGACCCACCCCTGTGAGCACAAAGGTGCTCCTGCCTCTTGAGTAACTGCTACTTATGATTCATGAACAGGTTCTGGTCTACAGCTCACATATTTCGGCAGCTCCACGCTGGTTATGCCAACAAAGAAGTTTTGTAGAGGAGGCATCCCTGGGGTCACATCCACCCCAGGGAAAATCCAAAGACTGGGTTCTCCTATGCAGAAGGAGGGAACTGCTCCCGCCTGGGATTCCAGTCCAGCCAGGACTGATGAAGAAAGGAGGGGATCAAGGGATCAAAGGAGGCTTAGAACCCAACCAGAAGAGCAGATGGAGGCCAAGAGTCCAGCTTCCTGGATGCAGGATCCAGGCAGGTTAAACAGTCTTGTTCTAGAGTGAACCTATATGCACATAGCTATTATTTTTTTGTAGCACTGGGGTTTGAACTCAGGGCTTTGAGTTTGCTAGGCAGGTGCTTTCACCACTTGAGCCATTCTGCCAGCCAGAAATGTATTCTTTTAAGTAACAAATCTTCTATCTCAGGAAGGGTGGGTTATGGTTTTGTATCCAACGTTTTTTTAACCCAGTGTCTCACTGAGCCATTCCACCAGCCCTTTTTTGTGTTGAGTATTTTCAAGATGGGGTCTCGCAAACGATTTGCCTGGTATAGTTTTGAACCACGATCCAGCTCCTGAGTAGCTAGGATAAGAAGCATGAGCCATGGTGCCTGCTTAGTCCTTTCCTTTTTTCCTTTTTTTTTGCAATACTGAGGCTTGAACTCAGGGCCTTCACCTTGAGCCACTCCACTAGCCCTTTTTTTGTGATGGATTTTTTTCAAGATAGGGTCTCCAGGACTATTTGCCCAGGCAGGCCTTGAAACGAAATCCTCCTGGTCTCTCCCTCCTGAGTAGCTAGGATTACAGGCGTAAACCAACAGCACCTGGCTGTCAGACCTTTTCTTTCTACCTTCTTAGTCTCAAGATTGCCTTAAGCCTCACCCAAGCTGGCAGCCAACACAACAGGGCTTAAGGCAAGCAGGTAGCCTGCCTGATCTTCAGGAGTCTCCTCCTGGCTCTAGGCCCAGGACAGAGAACAGGAACCTGGGAGAAGAGGCTGATTTTCCACCTGTCTGTGGCTGAGACCCTAGTCCAAGGCCTGGACAAGGACAGCATCTTTCCAGCTGTCCCTCCTGCTAACCAGCGTTTCCCTGCCTAGAACATTCTGATCAATACCAAGAGAATTCTTCTCTTCAACATGGTGGTTTGGCCAGCAGAACCATTCCTAGGATAGTGCAGAGCCTCAGGCCAACATCTACAATCTTATATTTGAAATTACAATTTCTTTTTCCGATTGGAAAAGTAGTATATGCTTCAGAGGTTTAGGCAGGAGGATCTGGAGTTCAAAGCCAGTGTGGGCTACATGGCAAGACTCTGTCTCAAAAAACAACAAAACAATGTATGTCTACTGTAAAACATTTGGAACAATGTATACATAAAAAGTAAAGTAGTCAGGCACTGGTATCTGTAATCCTAGCTACCCAAGAGGCAGAGATCAGGATGATAAAGGTTCAAGGCCAGCCCCAGGCAAACAGTTTACAAGACCCTGTCTTGAAAAAAAATCATCACAAAAAAGGGCTGGTGGAGTGACTCAAGTGGTAAGAGCACCTGCCTAGCAAGTGTGAGGCCCTGGCCTCTTCCTCTCGGTCCCATATTGAACTCGAGTTGGAAGAGGCGAGTCCGGTCTCAAAATGGAGGTAAAACCGCCGCCCGGTCGCCCCCAGCCCGACTCGGCCGTCGCCGCCGCCGCCGGGGGGAGGAGGGCCATGATCCAAAGGAACCAGAGCAGCTAAGGAAGCTGTTTATTGGTGGTCTGAGCTTTGAAACTACAGATGATAGTTTAAGAGAACATTTTGAGAAATGGGGCACACTCACAGATTGTGTGGTAATGAGAGACCCCCAAACAAAACGTTCCAGGGGCTTTGGCTTTGTGACCTACTCTTGTGTTGAAGAGGTGGATGCAGCAATGTGTGCTCGACCACACAAGGTTGATGGGCGTGTAGTGGAACCAAAGAGAGCTGTTTCTAGAGAGGATTCTGTAAAGCCTGGTGCCCATCTAACAGTGAAAAAAATTTTTGTTGGTGGTATTAAAGAAGATACAGAAGAATATAATTTGAGAGACTACTTTGAAAAGTATGGCAAGATTGAAACCATAGAAGTTATGGAAGATAGGCAGAGTGGAAAAAAGAGAGGATTTGCTTTTCTAACTTTTGATGATCATGATACAGTTGATAAAATTGTTGTTCAGAAATACCACACTATTAATGGGCATAATTGTGAAGTGAAAAAGGCCCTTTCTAAACAAGAGATGCAGTCTGCTGGATCACAGAGAGGTCGTGGAGGTGGATCTGGCAACTTTATGGGTCGTGGAGGAAACTTTGGAGGTGGTGGAGGTAATTTTGGCCGTGGTGGAAACTTTGGTGGAAGAGGAGGTTATGGTGGTGGAGGTGGTGGCAGCAGAGGTAGTTATGGAGGAGGTGATGGTGGATATAATGGATTTGGAGGTGATGGTGGCAACTATGGTGGTGGCCCTGGTTATAGTAGTAGAGGAGGCTATGGTGGTGGTGGACCAGGATATGGGAACCAAGGTGGTGGATATGGTGGTGGTGGAGGAGGTTACGATGGTTACAATGAAGGAGGAAATTTTGGTGGCGGTAACTATGGTGGTGGTGGGAACTATAATGATTTTGGAAATTATAGTGGACAACAGCAGTCAAATTATGGACCCATGAAGGGGGGAAGTTTTGGTGGAAGAAGCTCTGGCAGTCCCTATGGTGGTGGTTATGGATCTGGTGGTGGAAGTGGTGGATATGGTAGCAGAAGGTTTTAAAAACAGCAGAAAAAGGGCTACAGTTCTTAGCAGGAGAGAGAGCGAGGAGTTGTCAGGAAAGCTGCAGGTTACTTTGAGACAGTCGTCCCAAATGCATTAGAGGAACTGTAAAAATCTGCCACAGGAGGAACGATGATCCATAGTCAGAAAAGTTACTGCAGCTTAAACAGGAAACCCTTCTTGTTCAGGACTGTCATAGCCACAGTTTGCAAAAAGTGCAGCTATTGATTAATGCAATGTAGTGTCAATTAGATGTACATTCCTGAGGTCTTTTATCTGTTGTAGCTTTGTCTTTTTCTTTTTCTTTTCATTACATCAGGTATATTGCCCTGTAAATTGTGGTAGTGGTACCAGGAATAAAAAATTAAGGAATTTTTAACTTTTCAAAAAAAAAAAAAAAAAAAAAAAAAAAAAAAAAAGTGTGAGGCCCTGAGTTCAAACCCCAGTACTACCAAAAAAAAAAAAAAAAAAAAAAAAAGAGAGAAAAGTAAAATGTTACTCTTACATAGTCACATTACCATTTCCATATCTTTAAATAAATAATTTTCCTTTAAATAAATATAAAAGTTTAACACAACTGGAATCATATGGAACATATTGTTTTATAAGCTTTTTCTCTTTTTTTTTGAGATGGGGATCTCACTATGTAGCCCAGGCTGACCTCAAACTCATGATCCTCCTGCCTTGGCCTCCCAAGTCACTGGGAGTACAGGCGTAGGCCACTTTTTTGTTTTTACTTCATATAAACATTTTCTAATACCATCTACTATTCTCCAACATAACTGAGACAACTACCTATTATACCTTTATCTGTATCACCTATAAGTTATGCAATCATCATGTTAAGCCTCAGTCCTTCTCAATTTTTATCATATAAAAAATATATGGTTGGTAGAGTGGCTCAAGTGGTAGAGCACCTGCCTACCAAGAGTGAGGCCCTGAGTTCAAATCCCAGTACCACCAAAAAATCCCATAAATTGAAAAAAGTGTTTATTTGTCTTCTAATCACTTTGAACAACTTTAAAAATATATATTCCTCTTTCATTAATCTTTTTATATTGATTTTGTGAAAACTTTTTTTTTTAAAGGCAAGGACTTAGTATGTTGCCCAGGCAAACCTTGAACTCCTGGGCTCAAGCAATCCTCCTTCCTCAGCCTCCCAGGTAGCTGGAACTACAAGCAGGTGCCACGGCCCTCAGCTATAAAGGCTCTTTATATATTAAAAACATTCAAGGCTGTCCACGTACCCCAAGTATATTTACCCACTTTGTAATTTAACTTCCTCTTAGTTCATGATGTTTTTTGACCAAAACCAGTGAGAAAGGTTGTTTTTTGAGACAGGGTCTCACTATGTACCCCAGGCTGGCCTGGAACTCACTACATATCCCAGGCTGACCTCAAACTTGCCATCCTCCTGCCTCCATCTCCCCAGGATTGAGATTATAGGCATGTACCATTACACCCTGCTAGAAGTTCTTGGATTTTTTGGTTTATTTTCCTTTCATTTATGTATTTGTTTTTTGGCAGTACTGGGATTTGAACTCAGGGCCTCAAGTTAGGTAGGCAGATGCTCTACCACTTAAGCCATGCCCCTAGCCCACCCCTTTTTTGCAATACAGGGGCTTGAACGCAGGGCTTACACCTTGAGCTACTCACCAGCCCTTTTTTGTGAAGGTTTTTTTTGAGATAGGGTCTCAAGAACTATTGGCTTAGATTGGTTTCGAACCGTGATCCTCCTGATCTCTGCCTCCTGAGTAGCTAGGATTACAGGTGTGAGCCACCGGTCCCCGGCTGCACTTCTTATTCTTTCGTGACCACAACATTGACTATTTTCTTCGGGTTTCATTGGTCAAGGTCAACCTTAAAGTCCTTTTCAGAACGATTTCATCTGATAGAAATGCTAAGTAGCTCCTACGTACTTTTGACTACCTATTTAAAAACTTCTAGCCAGGTACTGTGACTCATGCCTGTAATCCTAGCTACTCAAAAGGTGGAGATTGGGAGGATCATGATTCAAGACCAACCTGGGCAAAAGTTAGCATGAGCTCCCATCTCAGATAAAAAGCTGGGCATGGCGTCACATGCCTGTCATCCCAGTTACATGGGAGGCATAAGTAGGAGGATTGTCTAATCTGGGCAAAAACACAAGACCCTATCTGAAAAATAACTAAAGCAAAAAGGGCTAGGAACCAGGTGCTGA